GATGAGGATCATCGACATGAATGTCATGTAGAGCAGAAGGCGATATTCGGGTACAAGGCTCGAGCTTGGGGTGAATGAGACAAGACCGTTGCAATTGAACGACCCCCTGTGCTTACTCGTGGGTCGGGGGGATGATGAACCGTCTCATGTTGATGCGGCTCTGTCTGTAGCCCCCAACAGAGCCTGTAATGCTCCTTGCTCCCCTCCCCCCACCACAAATGGCACTCCCCCTTGCCCCTTTTCTGTACAGGAATCCTATCAACACTGCACCAATTGTCTGGCCTGAATCGTCGCGGCATAAATGAAGGATCAAATCGGGCGCAACGACAACAAGTAGGAGTGAAACTCCACGTGGTGGCATTGAACCGTTCAGAGCCGAAGACCTGGCGGATCCCACGGACTAGGCAAATCCATCGGCAGATGTCATCCTCGACACCACGTGTAGCGTTAATATCGCTTCTGGAGGTGGCTATGTTGAGTGGGGCCGGAGGAAGCCAATATAATGAACCACCCTGATCAAGTACATAGTCGTGTTCACTACCTGAGAACAGCCCTACGTGGTGTGGTAGGGCTGAGGCGCCGTAATTTTGCATACTCTTGCAACCGCGGCCTTTCCACCGCGCCTCCAGGGTCTGATGATGATTGGATTATACGCGCAGCAGCCACCTCAATGCGAAAGATGGGGTCGCACAGCGACAGCAACATGGGCATATGCAGCAAGGTCGCATTCCAATTTTCAGAAACCCACGGGCATCCCTGGATCTGCAGAGGACCTCGTGGACTGGCAACCATATTCGTATCGCCTCGCCCATCACAGTCTGACTTGCACCGCCATGCAAGGTTTCATGGCACGTAACCCTACTAAGGAACGTATCAACGAGTGACTAAGTAACCGCCTGAGCATCATTCGATGAGAGCCTGGCGAGAGAGACAGCCTACGTAACTTACCAGCAGACTTTCCTGTACCACCTACCGAGGGCCATGCCGGATGACGTTCACCACCACCCCCGGACCACTGCGACTCGCTCGCTCGGTAGAGAATCGGGAAGCACGCAATGGTAGCCAAGGCGTTCTGCACTTGCTTCAAGCGCGCGCCGTCGTCTGCCGTTGTCAGGCAGCATTTTGCTTCGACTTGCCTTGGATTTAGCGCGCCCATTTCCAAGACACCTCCTCTGAACGCACTGAGCGACCGTCCCCCCCATCACCATAGGGTGACACAGAAAATCGCGTCGCACCGCCTCAGCGTATTTCTATCTTTGGAATTAAGCTCTCGCTCAAATGCCGTATTTCGGCCAATCAGCTGCCCTGCCCTCTGGTCCCCGACTCGCCGACTTGGACAGCCCAGGCACTAAGCCACCGCTATACCCTTTCGGACGCTATAGCGCGAAATGACAACGTTCACTCATCAAACCCCACATCAGACTACTGCCGCCAACTACCATAGTAAATTACTCCAGATGCACGGTTTGAGTAGACATCGCCATGATAATATTGTCGCGAAACAGCAACGGGACCGCGGAAACATGTTGATAAGGTTCATATGGGCATGTCCCTCACACTCCATAGTGGAGAAGCACGAATCATTTAGAAAAACCTCAATCGCGCATGCGATAGGCCAGAGGCAATTTTGAGTTTCTTCTCGCTCTCTCCCTTGGGCGCCGGCCGCCTTTCGGTTAACGGATCACAGTGTCCAGATCCAAGACATCATCCCACAGATCTCGCGAAATAAGTAAAGATGCCACCATTCATGTAAACCAGTCGTACAAATTGTATTGTGTTGATGGGGAGCGATCACACAAAGTATTGCCGATGTTGCCGCAGATCCAGGCTCCATAATGAAGATCTTCAGAGCTTAATGATCAATCCTATCAATCTCGTCGACGTCCCCTGCCGTTCATTATGTCATCCGCTCCTGGTCCGAATCCCTGTGCATCGTCCAGTCAGTCGGCTCCGACCCCCTTGCTTTAGGCCTGTCCCCATTAGGCAGAGGTCTCGGCCCCCACTCATCACGACTTTGGTGGACAAGACAGACCTCCTGTTAGTGGGCTTCCGGTAAGCGCTTCAGGCGGAAAGAGGGCATTTCTGGCGTTAGATTCAACGTTCGAAACGCACAGAACTGGGCGTACAGGAGGGCTTTGAAATGACTGGTTAAGATACGCCAAGCACATAATATGTCTTCGAGGGCGGCATTCCATCGCACGGTCATCATGCGTTTCGTCGACAGCTCGCGATGCTTTCGCTTACACAAGACCTGCGGCGCTGACAAGCGAATGGGCCCCTGACCGCTCAACAACGAGCTGCCGGACATCTGCGAAAGTGCCGGGAACTCATGACAGCTGGAGAATCACTGCTTTAGGTAAACCCGCAGGCCGGCCTTTTCGAGCAGATGCTTACTGCGTAATGTTACATGTCATCATTGGTTGATACGTGTTATGCATGGCAAAATGTGCTGGCCTGCCGAGATGAATCACGTTTAACAGACTACCAATGAGGGCTGGCAATTGAATACTACTATGTGCCGCGTCTACTATTGTGCTCGCCTCTTGTTAATACATAGGACCACCACTGCAAGAGCTACATAGGTGCTGCTATGTATGTGCGTGCGTCAGCACTGGAACAGGATAAGGGCGGGCGGTGCACAGCACGAAACCGGCCCTGGACCTGGAAGTTGACAGTAGCGGTGGGCGGCCACTGCACGATTCGATTGGCTACCCCACGGTTGAACTGCAGATTTCCCAGGCTGTGCACCTCCCCAAGACGAGGAGGCCAACTATTGAGCATTATGCACATGCGCTGCGGATGGCGAACAAAAATATACTGGACTAGTTGACGCAGTCTCGTCGACCAGTGCTCCTGGACCAGATGACGCTGCGCCGGCACGACTCATCGCTGTGTCGGCTCAACCACCACACGCAGGCAGCCAACGTGGAACTCAGGAGACTGAGCACATGCCATGTCATACCCTGCCATGCCATGCTATGTCGCAGCCTCCACCATACTGCCCGATGGCGGCGGTCCCCAAGCAGGAATGATAGCGAGCTCGGGCTGATACAGCCTCCACCGGGCCTTAGGGTGGACGTTTCTTTCACCGTTCCGCGTTTCTTCAGAGCGCAGTTCGAGACCCCGCCGTTAGGCGTTCTCTCGTCTTTCTTTACTCCTTTGAGAAATCTCCGACCTCCTGCTTCTAGCTTGGGGTATAGCGCAGAAGCTATGGAGATGACATCGCGCGCTTGAGACATTTCGGCGGTCCAGAAGGCGTCAAGGCCGTTGTCGCTAGACTTTGGCTCCTTGGCTGCCCCCATGTGCTCTAGAGCCCTTAGGCGCCTCAAGCCCAATTAGCAGCGGGCCCAGCGCTTCAGAATCCCCCAGGACTTCAGACCCCAAGACTGCAACATCCGGCAACTCCATTTTCGAGTAAAGCGTGCCACAGCCGCGACCGACGGCGGAAGGAACCTCGATGCATCATTATTGGACCCTGGCAATATTGAGTCTCATGATCCCGTGGGTTAAGGGTCCTCAGAAGCATAAGTTCGTAAAAGCAAGGTAGCCACAGGGAGGCCCTGACTCTGACAAAGACCTGGGTACCGCAGCCGCGGGCAACATTGCTACGGGATCGCAATGACAAGAGTCACCCACGGTTATGTCTATTAGCACAGTACGTATGTGATTTCGAGCCTTGAGCCCTGGGCCAAGAGCGAACACCCTCGTGGGCATCTATCTACAATGCCTGTCTTGCTCCCTTGACAAGATTGCAGAGTACGGGATCGCTGGGAGGGGAGGGGGCCAGTTTCCGTGATTATCCTTCTTCGTACACGCACTGTTTACTGTGCATGTTGACAGAGAATGTATGTACGTATGCGGTATGGAGGGAGACTTGACTCTCTGGGCGACTAGGCTGTCCAATGTGACCAGGGGTGCAAAACTCCCCTCCCCCTTGTGGCTCGCAATCCTGTACCTGGATGGGATGGATACGGGCGACAGCCCGCGCAAGAGTGCTTGCTCAGCGGCCATCTGGGCACATCGAAAAGCGCAGCGCTCACGACCTGGCCTGGTGTGAATGCGCTGGCAGGGGGTACCACGTCCTGGCAGCAGGCTTCCCGTGTTGACTCTCGCAACCCACTCAATCTGGACCCTGCAGACCTGCCCGAAGATACGTACCCAAGTACTGGTGTACTCGACACTAGAGCATCATGCCCCCATCTCGTCCCAAAAGGCTAGACCGAGTGGGAAGATGACAAGGGCCCGGCAGGCTTGTACCCACGACTCCAGCCGGCTAGGCGGTACAGAATCATTGGCAGGTACATTGGTACATGGGCGGACTTTTGTCTGCAAGACCCCTGGCCAGCATGGGTCACTGCCACCCAGGCTCTTGTAGGGCAGAAGATTCCCAGATCCACGTCGGCGGGCTATGGCCTATATGAGTGCATAGTTCCCCTCGACGGCCCATCCTGAATGTTTCTGCCCCCATTCATGGAAACCAAGCATCAGTACTCTATTGTCCTATAATACCCTCCACGGCATTGCATCGTCGTTGCTTCTGCTTGCTGTGAACAGACCCCCAAGAGGCTTCACATCTATCTTGCCTTTTAACACCCAGTCGGAGACCGTCTCACAGCCCACTGCATAATTCCGGACTGGCCGTGTACAAGTCGGTTCGTTTGAAGAAGAAGAAATCATCCCGACAGCCACGCGAAATTTGGATCATTCCGTTCATCCTGAACGCTTAGAGGTCCCTGGCACTTACAACTGGTATATATACTCCACTGCCACCCGTCGCGAATCACTGTGTTTCCTGGCGTAAACACCCTACGAGGGCAGCCATTCCAACACTGGTCACTCTGCTCTGAGCATCCTGGAGCTTGGTCAAAGACTACTGGATTTTGCCATTCCACCTGCATTGATCAGGTATTTGGTGGTCGCGCAGAGAGCAGCTTAGCTCTGCTCACCAGACTGGCCCGCTGCGGACCCAGTCCTAATCACCAATTCACAACACAGCCATAATGGCATCGATAACAGATCATCCATATCACATGTTCCCGAGATCTGGAGAACAAGATTTCATGCTTTACCCCGAGAGCCAAGCGCCGGCTGGCTACGCATCACCGCCCATGGACGGCCAATATAGCCCCGAAGCATTTGGATTCCCTCAGCACTCGGGCTTCGAGCCCAACCCAATGTATACCTTTGACAGCAGACTGTCCCCTGGGGCATATCCCGAAGACGGCGAGCTTCGAGTCACGTCTTCGAACCTCTCGACCACTTCAGCTTCATCGTCCAACATGGGATCGCCACACTCAAACCACGACCAACTGGCGTATAACCCAGAGTTCGGCCAGAACGCCATGAGCATAAATCCCGGCATCGTTGGCGACTATTGCACCGGCACCGAATACTCGACCTACGTCCCCCAAGAGATGGAGGGATACAGCATGGTTTATGAGAGCAAGCCTGGCTTCGTTGGTGAGTTGGCACAGGTCCCTAGAAATTGTACGCAGACCGATTCTATTTCCTTTGTGTCATCGTCCGACGATTTTGTCCCGCCCGGCCTCGCGCTCGACACCAATCTACCGAACAATTCTTCTTCCCCGACGCTGTCGAGGGCCACTTTCGAATCTCCTATGTCTTCAGCCCCTTCTGTATTCTCACCTCCCATCACGGCTGGGCCGCAATGGGACAGTCCCAGCAGCGTGGAAGCACCGAGTCCTGTCATTCTAGCCAAGACTCCGCGCGTTTCTTTCTTTTCTCAGAGCAGCGGTCATTTCGCAGCTCCACTTGGTTGTCGGTTTCCTCTGTCAAATGCGAAGGCTTTCCATGCAAGGGAAAAGTGTACTGACTCGCGCCCTCGTCCAGATCCCTCGGTACTTCACCCGGAGCTCAGAGGACCCATGGGGCCTCCCATGCAAGGATATGAGAACACTTTCTCACCACAGAACCCCTACCCCAACTCTCCCGCACTCTCTGGAGCCACCTCGCCCGTGCCTGGCATGCGGAACGGTAGCGCTTCGCCTTACGTTCCCGCCTTTCAGTACAGCCCTTTCGCAGTTCCTGCCCAGGACGGCCGCCGGCCAAGCTTGTCATCATTCCAGTCGCAAGATTACTCGTATAGTGGAGACGAGTCCAAGGAGAAGCAGCGATGCCCCCATCCAGATTGCGGCAAAACGTTCAAGGACCTGAAGGCGCACATGTTGACGCATCAGAATGAACGTCCAGAGAAGTGCCCGATCCAGACGTGCGATTACCACGTCAAGGGATTCGCCCGGAAATACGACAAGAACCGCCACACCCTGACGCACTACAAGGGCACCATGGTGTGCGGTTTCTGTCCTGGATCGGGCTCGGCGGCGGAGAAGTCGTTCAACAGGGCTGATGTCTTCAAGCGACATCTCACAGCCGTGCACGGTGTTGAGCAGACCCCTCCGAACAGCCGCAAGAAGACTTCTACTTCGGTGAACACTGGCAAGAAGTTGACCGGATACGCACCAGACGCCACCGGCAAGTGTTCGACATGTTCGTCGACATTCTCCAATGCCCAAGACTTCTATGAGCATCTGGACGACTGTGTGCTGCGTATTGTCCAGCAGGAAGACCCCGCTGAGGCAGTCAACGCCCGCCGCTTGGCCGAGGTCGAGAACGACAAGGAGGTCCACCAGACCCTCGAGAAAAACTCGCTCCCCCTCACGACCCAGACGAACCCCCTCTCTGATGAGGAAGACGATGAGGACATGGACGAAGACGATTTCCAAGATGCCGATTACAAGGGACGGAAGCCCTCGCCCAAGAGGAAGGGCAACCCGGTCAACGGTGTTCAGAAGTCGCGCGGCATGACGCACTCCCGCGGCGGCCCAGCGCTCAACGCCAAGACCAAGGGCCGCAAGAGCCGCCGGGACTATCCTTCGTCATGGGGCTTTGACAAGGGCCAGATGACCATGAAGAAGCGCGTGATGGCTGTCTTTGATGGACCTCGCCGCCTGGCCAAGGACGACATGATGCTCTCCACCGAGCAGGAGGTTCGCCTCAAGCTGTCTGACGGCAAGTCGTACGTCACCGATCTTGACGTTCAGACCATGAACCGCGCGCACGGCTTCCTCGGCGCCACGGATGAAGAGAAGGGTGTCTGGATCTCGGATGATCCCACCGAGGAAGACATGCGCAAGATGCTGGAACTTGCGGGCCAATAGAAGCCACACAAGCAACCACCCACCCCTCTCTTCCTCACACATACCGGCTGCGCAACCTACGTATATACCACTACCCACCTAATCACCGCCCGGTTTCCGTACACAGAGATGACACCGACTACCAAAAGAGAGACGACGGAGCATGACTGGCGCAGGCTATTACTGTATCTTGTATCTGCTATTGACGGACTAATGACACTATGACGCTCTGGGAGGCTATTAAAGGAAGGAATTCATAAAAAGGAGCGGCGGGCGACAAACATTCACGACGGGATTGGAATGTGCATTGGAAGGTGGCCCTTTCCCCCAGCGAACGCTACCTTCTGCGCTCCGCTGCCCGGGTTTTCCGACGGCTATTGTTTTTTTTTTTTTTTTTTTTTGTATTTACTCACCTCTGAGCGTGGTGATGATACCCTTGTTTGATATTCATTCTCATGTCATACTCATCATGATGGCTCTCTCATGACCAGATACTATCTCCATAATTGAGACTAGGCTACGGCAGATAGCCCCGAGTACACAAAAGTGCGTCTCGTTTCGCTGTGATGTAATGCGTCCTCGGCTCCGCTTGCTAGGCCGACTCGTGAAACGTACACAAAGCCCACAGTGACTGACTTACAGTTTGTAATCTCACGGGTCCGGTGGTCTTGTCTCGTGGGCCCCCCCCGGCTGTCGGTCAGGGACGCCTGCTGCCTTCCCCACGCAGGAGTCAGTTACGTCGCTCTGAAACAGACCAGAGGCCCGCCAAGAACTCACCGAGAACGGCATGAGTAGCAGGAGGGAACCCTCGCCAAGCCACGCGTCTCGGTCCGCGCCATGAGGCCACAAGTCGGAAAGGGGACGCTCAGCCAGAAAAGTATATTGAGGGAACCTCAAACAACGTCTTCGGCGTTCTCCGTGGACCACTGACTTTTGGGGAGCATGGCGTTACACTCAAGGCCTCCCCGACCCTGCGCTTCCCCATTGGCCAGTTTCCCGCAAAGTCAATGGTGCGCCATGGCTGCCCACGACTTGCAGGGGAACGTCTTGGGCTTAGCTGAGCTCACCCACATCCACATCCACTCGGCCGGCGCAGTGGAGCCAAGAGTGGCCCCCGATTTTTCTGTACCGCTAACGAGGTCGCTATACCGGTTCCAGCCAGCATCTCGGTAGAGTTGACAGCTGGGTTGTGGGGATGGTGGGCTTTGGTGGGCTTTTCTTGGTGGGCTCGGGGGGGTCGGTTGGGCAGTGTTTGATCTGGCTGCTGGGCCCCCTCTGGCTGATCTGAAATGAGAGAAACCCTCATCCCTGCCGAACCTGGCGTGGGGTCACACGGTAGTCGCAAGGGCACCGCCCCTCCATACTGGCAGGCAAGAAGCCCGCAGTCCGTTTCGCAGCGCTGCGTTTCGTTCCGCACTGCCTCGCCAAGCTTTCCGCTTTTTCTTCTTTGGGCGGAGGGCCCCCAGCCCGAAGTGGTCTCTTTCTCGCTTGCTAGAAAGTCACAGGTACCTACATAGGAAAAGAAAGCGCAGGGGCCAACGGCGATCCGAAGCGCTGGAACCAAAGGTTTGACATGATTGGCCGGCGGGCCGGGCCGCTGATCTTTCTTTTCGTGTTGAAGAATTTCTTTTCCGTGACCTGGCGCCGACGCACTCCCGCGCCGAGGCCGTGGATTCTCGTCCGTGCCGTACCTCACGCTCCGGGGCCGCCTCGGAGGCATGCGTCTCGTTCTCACATCATCATCTTCCGTGCTCCGGAGCCCCGCACCCTCCACCACGTCTAGCGCTTTTTCCAGTTGGGGCTTGTGGGAACAGCCATACCCAACCGCCCCTCAGCGAAAACGGACATTATTGCATCTCAGATCAAGAGAATGTCTCTGACAACACGCCTCACCTCGGCCAACCAGGCTGACGAGGCCGAGGACTTCCTCGCCGACAGCCTGGGCGTCGTTTTCCCCGACGATGTCATGACCCTGCACGGCGACGCCTCGAACGCGCTGCGCTACACCTCGCCGCACCTGCCCAAGCCGCTGCACATCCAGCTCGCGGACCCGGACTCGGAGGACGACCGCCGCCTGTTCGGCCACTATCTCTGGAACTCCAGCCTGATGCTCGCCGAGTTCGTCGAGGCCGGGGCCCTGGACGTGCAGCTCCTGCGGCCCCTGGGCTGCGGAGGCGAAGACAGCCGCCTGGCGACGGCCGCGCCCGGTGCGGATAGGTTGGGGGAGAAGGCCTTCGACGTCCGCGGCCTCGACACCATCGAGCTCGGGGCCGGGACTGCGCTGCCGAGCATCATGGCCTCGCTGCTGGGCGCCAAGAGCGTCGTGGTCACCGACTACCCTGCGCCGCCGATCATGGAGGTGCTGCACAAGAACGTGGCCCACAACACGCAGCCCGTCTTCTCGCCCTCGGGCGCCGCGTCCGACTCGATACTGGTCGACGGCCACGCGTGGGGCCAGCTGGACACACCGTTCGCCCGGGCCCGCAGGCGCGGGTTCGACCGCGTCTTCGTGTGCGACTGCCTCTGGATGCCGTGGCAGCATGCCAACCTGCGGGCGTCGATCGACTGGTTCATGAAGGACGGGCCGACATCGCGGGCCTGGATCGTGGCTGGGTTTCACACGGGTCGGCAGAACATGTCTGGTTTCTTCAACGAGCGGGCGCTGGCCGGGTCCGGGCTCGAGGTCGAGAGGATATGGGAGCGGGACTGCGACGGGGCCGAGCGGGCGTGGGCGACGGAGCGCAAGGACGACAGCCTCCGGAAGCGCTGGATGGTCGTTGCGGTCCTCAGGCGCCTGGCCCGGATGCCAGTCGCCAGCGGCAGCGAGACCTGATCTACTCCTTGGTGCTTTCACGCAGACCGATGCCACAAGGGCTCTTCGAAAGAAGGGAACAGAACACTCCCTTATACCAGGTGCACTGCGCTGGGTTGCCACTATTCACTCCCAACAAGTGGAGCCCCGTCTTCAGCTCGCGCCGCTAGCAGGAAACATTCTTGTTTTAGTTGTCCCGGATCGTGAGCCTACAGCACGCTTGCCCAGCCCAAATATTCAGCTCGCCCAGTACCATTTGGTTGATTGGTCGCGCTCGGGGCCGTGGCGCCTGTGACAAGTCGCGGTATAGCGTTTGTTGAACAATACCATCGGGGGATCGACAATAGCTGACGTCGGGCTATGCCGCACCGCTCAAGCCATCACGGACAAGAGTGCCCAAAAGGGTATTTGGCTGAAGACAATTCGAGGCCAGGAGTCAAGATTGCATCATGGGCGCTGAACCGGCTCAAGGTGGTTGGATACACATAGGAGCATCAGTGTTGGAGAAACATGTTGATACATAAAAATCCCAAATTGCGCTATATATGCATGCTATGCAATATCGGAACGAATGACGACGAATGTTGCGAAGCCCTTTCTTGTGGCTTGGATATGACAATCTTGGCGACCCGGGTAGTCTTCATCCTCCCGTGTGTTTCAATGCTAATGCCCAAGTCAACTTGGTATGCCTTGTAAATGCCGATCAGACCCCAACATAGCAAACATTAAATAAACCAGGCTGTTGCCGAACATCAACGGCGTTGCCATGACTGATGAGACCCCCCTAGCAATCCTCCCCTGCAACCATGACAAGAATGAACAGGAAAACAGAATTTTACGGTAAGCACAAGAGACAGCAGAAAGAAAAATAGAAGAGAATGGTAGGAACCTGATTGTTGACTTCTGCATCGTAACGTGGTATCTCCACCCCTTTCCTCCACATCATTATGCTGAATGAGCCGAAATTGGCCAGTGTTGCAGTATATACGGCGATTGCAACTGTCATCCCTCCGTCCCCCCTCCGTCCCAAGTTGAGTCCCGCGAGTCGTGTATCATGAAAGCAACCCTCCGGCACCCATTGTCGTACACACGACTCTCGATTCTCATCGGCGCGCCCAACGGAAGCCGCCCAAATTCGCTCAACACGCATTACTTGCACTAGCACTGAACCATTAGTAAGAAACCCCGAGATCGCTTCCTCACGTTTCCAGGATATCTCGCTCCTCCTCAGTTGGCAGCAGCGGGGTCTCGCGTTGCGGGATATCCTCGCCTTTTTCGAATGCAGCCCCGGGTCCGCTGTAGCTCGGTTGTGAGACTGAGATTGGCCCAGCGCCAGTGTCTGGTTGCTTCGACCTCTCAGGCGCTTTCTCCTCGTTGGAAGCAATATCACGTACAAGGCTAGAGTTCGCGCTCCCTTTCACCGGTTGCGGGCTCAGAACCTTGGCGGATTGCGCTTTATACGTCGGAGACGTCAGCTCTTCTGAGCCGAAAGGCACGGGGCGCGGCGGCAAAGTGCCGCTGTCGTGTGAAGCACCACCCAGTTTCTGCAAAACGGCCTCAGACTGCTGCTTAGCCAGTTTCTGAAGCTGAGCCACAGGATCCTTATGGTAACGCAGAACGTTAGTCAGGTCGCAGAGGCAGTCTGATGGCTTCCACCTAAGTCCATGCGCACATACCCATTCGCTCTGGCCAGGCACGCCCTCCGCGGCCGGCAGCAGAGGATCTTCGTCACCGTCGCCGATACCAGGGACGCCACCACCCCAGAACTTTGGCCGGCGGATTGGTGCCGGGGTGACCGGGAGACTAGGCCGTTCCACTTCTGACGGGAAGTCAGTCAGCTTCGAGCCCCGCCTCTGCCAGTCACGCTCGTCCACCGCACCGCCGGGACTCGGTAGATCAATCGTACCAGGGGACTTCAGACTTCTTGTACGGCGGTGCTTATTCTGCAGCTTGTCCACGTAACGCTCGATCTCGGGCATTTCGTCCCAAGCATTCGAGCGCGTAAAAGAAGTCCAAGGGTCCGATGGTGTGATGTGAATGGTAGGGGTGGCGGGTGTGATTGGCTCTCTCTCCGGTTCCGTAGTGGAATGTTCTGTAATTGAGGACTCAGTCGACTGCCGAGGTTCAGAAGGGACAAGAGCCGATGGCTCACCCGTAGGCGTACTTGACGCCTCTGACTCAGCTGCTTCTTTCGTTCGAGAAGTCTCATCGGCAAAGACACGAGTAGGCTGCGGTTGATTGGTTTCCCAGGGGAAAAGCAACTTTGGCCTCTGCGTGCGGTGAGCGGGTGGTTCTTTCGGCGGCTCGTACCACATGTTCTTGGGAGGGCTTGGGTATCGTTCGGGAGGGACGAACGGGGCAGGATCTTGTGACATCTGATATATCGTAGCAGGGAAATTCGCAGCTTCCGGTTTAGAGTCCGCCGGGGGAGGATGTCTACTTGTTGTTAGCGCCGGTACCGTGACTACACATACGGACTTGACTGACCTTTGAGCGTCCCATTGAGCGAAGGTGACAGGGGGTGGCTCAGGCTTCCGCTGCTCGGGAGGGGGTGGCGCTGCCTCATGGCGATGCGGTTCAGGAACCTGCTCTTTGCGAGCCTCAGCTTCAGTTCCCTCAATAGAACTACTTAAGGACGATGCGCTAGGAAATTGCTCGTGTGGCTGGGCGGTGGCTCCAGGCTGAGCTTCTACATGATGCTCCAAATACTGTTGACTTTGGTGTTCGCCCCGATGTTCGGGGTGGTCTGGATCATGATGAAAGCCATGCTGTTGCGATTCGTCGCCGTCGTGTTCACTATAGGGCTCACCAGTTCTTTCAACGTGCTCGACGTGGACAACTTGGGGCTTGGGGGGTTGGTATTCGCCCTTGGTCAAATATTGTACCAGCTCCGACGTTGACTGGGAAGGCGTGATTCCCGGTGACTGGAGAATGTTACTGCCCAGCTCTCGAGAAAGCAGATGTCGGAAGTACTTACAGCAACTCGATAATGTCTGTCATATACAGCCCACCACCGGCCAATCATCTCATCATAAGGACCGCTCCCAGTGCTGGCGTACCGTCCCTGAAACCACGGTTTCTCAGGGCCAATGAAGTGGACCATGTTGATGCTGGACTGGAAGTGACGGTAGGCAGGCACATACTGGTAGTGGCTAGACGGCGTAACATTGTAGGTGAAACTAAGACGATTAAAGCCGTTCTTGAAGTGCATGTTCAGGAGACCCTGATCCGCTCCATCAAAGGATATGCCCCGCTCGGCCATGGCCGCCAGGGCATAATAGTCACCCATGTTGGGTGTGAGAACCATGACACCCGTGTTGAAAATGTCGGGCCAGCCAATATCTGGCGCTGCCGAGAATGCATGTGGGATGTCAAACAGCTCATCGGGCGCGCGGTACGCGATGACGTCGGCGTCTATGTAGACGATTTTGCGGAAATTGACCTGTTTCCATAGGTTGATCTTGGTGAAGCTCGAGTGCAAGTCGGTGCGGTTCATGAGCGACAGATTCTCGGGGAATGCAGTCCGAAATCGGGGCACGGGGATGACATAGTCGTATACGGTCTGGATTGGACTCCGTTAGACAGCCTTCGCCAACGGGGCGTGTCGTGTTGCTGCAGCAGACGTACCTTGAGCTGACTTATAGCTTCGGCCGCTACCGAGTCCAAGGTGACCAGGACGCCGAGCTTCTTGGTCGTGCCGGCATCTCGCAAGGAATGCGCCAGGACCAATGCGCCTACGAGGGAGTCAGCGAGCTTGTAAAAAGCCAATTGGCGCTCGGGCGCTTACCGGGCAAGTAGGTGTCGTTTAGTAGTAGCTGATGCGATGCTCTGGTTAGCAAGTTGTGTGCGGGTTTTGCAGAGACGCTGGGAGCATCTCACAGTCAGGTAGACATCCTCCGCTCCTGGCACAGCCATTGTGTGCAGGACTTGGAACAAAACAACGCCAGAATGGAGAGTATGCGCCCGCTCTGTATGGAGGACCAGAAACTCTTTTGTGTCGCCTTGGGGAGAAGGGCACGACGCGGAAGACAAGAGGCGAGAGAAGCACACAGACAACTGAGAAATGCGCGAACGAGTGCGGCGCGGCGATGGGACGATTGAGGCAAGTGGGCGCGGTGTAGCTGTGGATTGGTCAGGCGACAATTTCCTCGGTGACGACGCGAGGGGCGAGGAAAACAGCTGCTGACCTCTCGACAGGATGCACGCCTTAGCAAGCCTAGGAAACGGTAACCCAGGTAGCTATCGATGAGCTGCGTTCCCTGCTAGCCTGGGGATTGATACCGGTATCGTGCAAGGCCCAGGCAAAGTCATGGGCCGGCGGCGTCTGCTAGTCCGGCCGTGCAGCCTTCGCCGGGATTTGCAGCACAGGGCCGGCGATGTGTGACCAGATCAGACAAAACAATAGCGAGCTCGCAGGCACTTGGGATGCAAGATGCCGCTAAGGTTCAGCCGATGGCTACGGGATCCCGGACGCCTGACTGCTATGTAGACTTCGTTTGACAGTGGCTCCAGGGAACCAGTCTTGGGTGTTGGCGAGAGGTCACAATGTGCTTAGATGTTGGAGACAAAACCCCAACTCGAGTCGAGAGCGGTGCTCGTTAGTTATGGCTCCATCTTTCGTCACTCCAAGTCCCCGTGGGCGGACAAAGTGGACTCCGGAGACAGTGGATGGAGAGGAGGAGCAGAGGAGGATCAAGGCGAGCGCCATTTGGCCATCGCTTGATCAGGGATCCCCATCACGGTCGGTTGCGAAATTAGCACCTCGCAAAGGCCCCGAGAGCTCCCCACTTCTGCGCTAGTGCGCCGAGAGAGCCCAAGCTCCCTTCCAAGACCCTGGTCTGCACCCGTGCATTTCATCATTGTGCAGCGAACATCCACATCGGCCGTTAGGTTGCAAGCGGATACAATACATTCATTCAACGCCTTTAGTTAGTGATCAGTGCCGATTGATATACCGTCTCGTAAGTCAACAAATCCTCCAACGTAGATTATAATTATTGTTCGCCAGTAGGCCATTCCAGCACGCAAACCATCACGGACGGAGGGTTATTCGTGATGCAGACGCAGGGATGGTCTTAATATCCGCAGATTACAGACGCTGCAAGGTGAGGAATTTGCAATCTGCACGACCCACGCCATGCAGCAAGTCCTGCTATCACCAGGCCGATACGACCTCATAAATTTTACACTGTTACGCTTCAGTTCTCCCACAGCACTCTATTTACGTCTTCTGACGGCCGGCTGGCCAGCAGATAACTAAAACCGACCGAGAATGTCGACGGCATGCGTCAGATTTCCGGCTCATGGCCTCTCCATGTCTTCTCTCAAGACAATGTGAAATCACGAACATGGCTCTTGTAACCATTGCCTATACTATCGTGCCCACTGTGGCTGATCTTTCCTGCAGAAGAGCTGGTCACTTGCTTTTCCATAGCAGCAGGGTGACGAAACCTTGATGACCTTCAGCGGAAGCTTGACCAAACGGCTCTTTGTTTCCCAACCCCAACCTCGAACTTCCCCTCCAATGCGGAACCCCCGCATTCTCTGAGAAGCTGAGCCAACCACAACTCGACGCCAGCTATCAAGTTGCCCAGGTTAGGCAAGATCTCACATTAGCAGATCTGCCGTTGGGGATGCAAGAAGAGACCACGAGACCACGGCCTTTTTTGCCTCCAATATGACGCGGGGCGGACATATCTGGTTTCCGGTTTTCAAACCATTCTCGTTGTCAGTCCAGTTCGGTAACAAAGGAAGGAATGCACCTTCAGGAGAGCCAAGCCATGCAACAAGAGATGGAAACATCCGACACTGGTCCATCCAACTTGACCAGCAACTCATTGACTTGGTTCTGGTTTGTATTGAAGGGAAAAACAAAAGAAAAGAAAAACTGCACCTGAAGTTCTGCCGAGTCTATCGTAAATAGGCTTGGTTCTTCGCTATTAGCTAAGAGGGGATAAGGGGTAAGACACACGTCAAATCCACCATACATGTTATACTGAAATCACACAAATGCCGAATGCATTGGCTCGTTTGATGACTATCATTATCCAATGTGAGATTCCGAAAATAATGTGTGCAAGCCATAAAGATTTGATGTAGCAATGTGGAGGGTCGTACCTGATTAGCTGTACCTATCCGATGCCTATCCTAGGCACAGCCGGGATGATACAGGTGGGCCTAATGTATATACGAATGTGCTTTAGCACTTTTTACATTGGATTGCATTTGATACTGATACTGAGTGCGAGGATGCACTATGATTATTTTTCCTATTTCTTCAATAAATCTTTGAAGGCGTCGAGGCACTTGCTACTATGTGTGCTATTAGAAAAGAGTACTATATGGTCATTGGCCCTTGCTCCGCCACCAGGCAAGTGTAAGTTACCTGACAATTATGTGGCCTGGGGACCCCACCACAACCACCTTGGGGGCGAGCATATTCCAATCACCACTTAACATTTGGCGAGGCATTCAAGCAGGAAACCATTGAGTCAATGGGAAATTTGTCTACCCAGTCCTGCACAGTAACCTCCCACTTGCAACCTGTCATCACACATCCCAGACGCGCCTTCTGACTCTCGAGCCATGACAGCTTCCTTCTCGATTTCAACACACGCCGCTTTCAAGCTTTGTTAGTCTCGTCTCGAGCCGCCATCCGACCACCTTTGGTGAAAAAGCCAAGGGAAAGCAGATAATCATCAGCACCATCCAGCATGCTTCGAGGATATGCCAAGTCAGGCTCTCAGAAGAAGGTCGTCCGAGGCTCTGGAGCATCAATTACGACAATCCGCAAGAGAAACGAATCCCCTGTACTCCAGAGCAAACCACCGAGGAGCCGAGCTATTGTAAGTTTCCAGTTCACCAATGGCGGTTGCTATTATGCACAGATTCCCTGGCGTAAGCATTTATACCCCCCGTCTGGGTGTTCCAGAATGGGCTACTGGATGCGAATGATATGCATACGCTCCAGCAGGCCGCAAACCATATTCACAGCTATAAGGAGAGGAAAGTATACAGTGTCACAAAGCGAATTGTTTCACTTCAATGAAGATGCTTTGGCAGGCACAGGACACCCATCATGGCGAACACAAAAGACAAATGAGCTCGCTATTCTTCTTGAATCACTCGAGGTCGTTCATGAGCAACATACTCGCAGAGTATATCCACCCTTGTTGAAAAAGACCACAGAAACCACATAGTTGCATAAACTTTGTTTGCATTTCCCGTTGAATTGAAGCTCGCCACCGTTGAGTATCACACCAGGACTAATCACGGGCCATAGGTTTCCCGGCAGACCGCGGACGAACCTGGCGGGAACGGCGTCGGTATCTGCCTCTTCCTGGAGAAGCTTCCCCTCGAGTTGCGCCTGCAGATCTACGAGACGCTCCTGTGCTCGCCAGACGTGATAGCCATATCCGCGCACCGCCGACAGCAGCCCACCGAGGGGGCCCGGTGCAGCTGGTGCAACCACATGCACCGGTGCGACATGGTAGCGCCGTGGCGGCCGCATGTGACTCTCCTGCGAACATGCCGGCAGATCAACGCCGAGGCCACGACGGTCCTGTACCAGAAGAACGACTTCTTGGTCAGTGGTGAGTGTGCCTTTCCCCCTCCTCTTTCCTTCTATCCGTCACGCTCTCACTAACCCACACGGCCGCCCAAGTGCTCGTATACCAGACGTACCAGCCCACTAACGACTTCCTCTGGCACCTGCGGCAGTCGACCCTGGTCCAGATCCGGCACATGCGGTTCCGCGCCGGGTGCCGGTGCATGGACTGGGTGAGCGGCGAGAGGCAGGAGTGGCAGACGGACGGGCGGGCGCTCAGCCGGACGTGTTTCCCGCACTGCGTTCTGAGCTCGGTGCGGCCGTCGCCGTCCAGGGCTCGGGAGACGCACCGCCTCATCCGCTGGCACGTGCTCGACGACAAGCGCACCTACTGCAACCCGTGCCGGTGGTGCCGCGCGGTGTTCGGCGAGGTGTTCTAGGCGGTGTTGCCCGACGTCGACTGGCAGTGCTCCGAGAGAGACCAGAAGTGCTGCGCATTTCTTCAAAGGGCAGGTCGGCCACTTGCACACATCGCGTTGCCTTTACATCGCCTTCGGAGTGGTGTACTTGTATCGGGCGTTCAGGGGATTCGATAGGTATTTACTGATCCATGATACCCATTAGCATGCTGCTCAAGAAAAAATATTTACGGCAACACCTTGGTTCCAATAAAAAATGGGTATCCTGCGGTTGTGAAACTGCAACTGGCATGCCACTGACGCCGATTTGCCGCCCATCACACTGCCATCACGTCAACAACCATTGGGATCAACTGTAAGTTGATTCTGCGTAAATTATCACTAGACACTATGAAATGAGGATGCAATGCAACGCTGTCTGTGTACCGAACCGCAGTAGTGACTGTTGTGGTCAATGTCCTTCTATATGCACCCCAACTTTTCTATTTAACCATCCGGAATCGCTGCAAACCTTCACTGCAGTAAAACAACCCTCTTCTGCGCCAAAGGGAAACACCATGAACCAAACGGCTTGCTCGTGCTCCGCCGTTGCTGCCTCTACAGCTTGGCCTCGACTCAAAGCTCTTTCTTCAAAAAGTGCTCCGGCTTGTGTGTGGTCTCGTAGTCAACGTGGACGTAGGCTCTCTCGATGTCAGGCAGGTCCTCCAACTTGAACTGCAGCTCTTCGGCTACGTCATGCGTGGCGCGCAGGCTGGCCTCGGGGTCCATGACGATATCCACCTCGGCGATGAGCCGTGGGCCGCTGTGGTAGACGCGCACGGTGTCGATGCCCTGGATCAGGTCCGAGTGCGTGACGCAGACATACGTGATCAGCTGCTGCATCTCGACCGATGCCACGACGCCGACGAGCAGCATGAATTCGGAAAAGGCGGTGCGCAGCCAGATGACGGAGATCAGGACGGACAGGATGATGGCACCCATGGGGTCGATCCACCAAGCCAGCTTGGATCCTCCAACCGAGGTCAGAATACCGAAGCCGTTGATCAACAGATCGTTGCGGTGGTCCTGCCAGAGAATGTCCACTTGACTGTACTTGTCCTTGATACCCCAGCAGTACAGGAACAGCGCAAGCTTGGTGGCGAAAGCGATGGCTACAGCGATGATGGACGGGAAATGGAAGTCCTTAACACCCTCGTGCTCGTTCTCGGCGAGTTCCTTGGCGGAGAAGGCGATCAGGATGAGGGACACGGCTGTCATCATGAAGCAGAAGAAGATATTGCCGGCCGTCTCGAGACGTGCCTTACCGCTGGGAAATCGGTTTGGATCCACGCGCTTGACAGCTCGGTTTGAGAGGATCAAGAGCAGATTGCTCATGGGATCGAAGATGGAGTCTGCCATAGTCGTGAACAGAGACAGAGAGCCAGAGGAAATGGCACCGTACATCTGCAAGATGGACAGGATGATGTTTGCTGCGAAACTGCCATAAACGGCAATCTGATGCCGGAGGTGGTCATCGCCCTGAGTCTGCTGCGCCTCGGCACGATGTTCTTCGACCGTCTTGAGCAACCGCTCAATTGTCTCGTTCTGCGCCTTGTAGAAGCCCTCCAGCTTGTGGGCCTTCAATGCACTGCGACCAGGTAGGCGAGCAGTCAGCGATTTGCCGCCATTTGGCGCATCCGCGGTCCGCTTGCGAGATGTGTTGGCCTTGATCTCATCCAGTTGGGCGTCAGTCTTGAACGCCGACTGGAGGTTGTAAGGGTCGCTGCCCGAATACCGCCTGGTCGCCTGCGATTCAACATCGCTTCCGTTCATGTTGGACGGATGACGGGCAACGGGGTGCTCGCCGTCGTCATTTACGGCTTCAACGCCGGTGCTGGTGCCGTTGCCGTTCGCAGGCGAGGACTGCGCAGCGTGCCTCGGAGTCGAGCTCCGGGAGTGGTTACTGGGCTCATGATGAAGCTGGAAAGGATGCGGGTGCAGCGTGATGCTGTTGGAGAGATCGGGCTCCATGGCTCCTGAAACAAGGTGAAAGAGCTTCTTTTACAGCCGGCGACACAGGGTTTCGAGTTTGTTTTCCTGTCGTGAGTATGTTTGGCGGGCAGAAGGAAGAGTGTGCTGCTGCGAGCTCTGGGGGAACAAGACTACTGTAGGGCGACGAGCGAGATTATAGGTATCGGCCAGGTCCGATTTGTGCGCTGGTTACCTCCCCAGGACGTACTGTAAGAACGAGGCAGATTGCAGCCAGGGATGACGGAGGCAACTAGAGAGGAAGGAGAAACGGCTACCAAGCTCGGGGTGTCTTGGTAGCCCGAGAAATGAGAGCACGTAAGGAGATCACTCAACTTTTATCAGATCACGCTAGATTGATTGCGGAGGCTTTCTCCTTCGCAGGAGGGGAACCTTCGGTGTAGTGGCAGCGCGGCTCCTTGGCGAGTGCTCGGCACGGCAGCTGTGTGTGCGCGATACACGCGGAGGTCAGACAGGCACAGCAAAAACCAAGCCGTCGCTAGCATCACCATCTTGCCACGCCGGGGGGGAGGGCTGCGATTGGGAGGGTCTGCGCTGCACGTGGCCAGCGTGGGCTCGAGATTGGCAGCCAAGCAGTGACGCTGGCTGGGGCAGTGCCAAGGCTAGCAGGCACCTCTCTAGTAGATCTGAAGGGCCGACAAACAAAAACCCCTTTGCCCTTGGGCTTGGGGTGGGCAGTTGGGCGACGGGCGCCGCGGGTGGAAAAGCCAAGGGGCGTTGTGGAGTGCAGCGTACGGACCAGCTGCAGTCTGCGCTCGGCATCGCCAGAACGTCGAAGGGAGGTTCGGCCTGGAGGCTGCGACACTTCCAAGAGGTTCAAGTAGAGTTTTGAGGCTCAAATCCAAGGGGACCTTAATGTCTTTATATATCGCCCCGGCTCCAGGGTGCGGCGATCGTCCCGAGGGGCTTAAGCGTTTCAGCTTCGGTGAAACTCGGAAACGATTGCTCATAGTTGCACCACGGCACCCGAGGAATCGCTCGATGGCCTAGCTAGCCACGACGAGCCCACGCTACAGACGAACAGATACCTATGTACATGGCCAGGTCCACCCGTTTCTCAATGGAGCTCCTCGAATATAGTCGCGATTGACGATGGGCCGATACTTGATGTAATTATGCCATGGCTACTCCCAGCATGGCCCGTTCTATTCACGTCAGGGATCATCTATAAGCACTTGGTGTAATGAACCACATGTGCACCTCCTATAGTGTCCACCCGCTCCCGGTCCCGACTTGAGAGCAGTGGACACCCAAAGCACCATTCAACCCACTTAAACACAAGGGTATCGCAAGCTTACAACGCCGCATCCGCCCGTCTCAGAGGATGTGCCTCTGTGTTGAGCACCCACTTATCCAAGTCCACCACGTCCCAAGCGCTGAAAACTAGATAGAAGTACTTCAGCGTCTCGGCGAGCCAGAAACTCTCCATACTGTTGACCTGGAATGGCCTTTCCTTAGTCACGTCGTCCAGCGACGCTGCCGCTATCTTGGTGTGCGTGTGCTTTTCAATGGCAGTGAACATGTCCCAGGCCTTGTCCATCCACGTCGGATCACCTGTCATCCTGTACATAAGGAAGACGGACTCGATTGCTTCTGGTCGTAGAATGTACTTCCGGTCGTGGATATCCAGCATGCCTTTGGGCAACTCTCGCGCGTCGACAATATCCTGCATCTGTTTGTCCGAGAACCCTTCCTGATGGGGGCGCCAGTGCTTCTTCAGGCTGTCCATCCACCGTGTCTCGGTCCACTTGCAGTCATCCTTGCTGGTATCGGGATCGCAGGGAATGAAGGTGAATATTTCGGGGCCAATGCCCGAGGGGGTAGTCTTGTAGGACCAAACACAGCCGTCTGTGAGCTGAATGGCCATGTCCATATCTGCGGGCCGGTTGAAGATCTTGGCAGCTAAGCCCACCATGCCACCTGCGAAACATGTCAAGTGTTGGGCTCGTGCCGTCATCTTGATCTCGGGGGTGTCGTAAGGACTTGACACTCTGACATCGCCCGAGAAGAGCAGCGGCAAGTTCTCCGGGTTCAAGGCACGACGGAATAACTGCTTCTTCGCGACATCGATAAAACCCTCGTATAACTTCCGAGGTTGCTCCAGCATGCCGCCAAGGAGCAGATATTGCTTTGGGAAGTACTCGTACAGAGAGTCTGACATGCCGCCCAGTGTGAACGTATCCCCCGTGAACTCGACCGGGGTCTTCGAGGCGTCCAGGACTACAGGCCACATGCCAGGCAAATACGTGTTGCTTTGGCCTCGCTCCATCTGGTCCGATATTCTCTGTGCAGCGTCGTGGTACTTGAGGTCGCCGGTCAGCTGGGAGAGTTTGGAAAATTCCAAGGTGAGGGAGCCAATTTCTGCCACGAGAACGGATCGCGGCGCCGTCTGCTCCTGGCCCTTGACATACTTGCGCCAGTCCCATCGTGAAATGGGCATCCGGTTCGGGGTGTCGAACGCGCACATGAGCAGTTCTCCCACCTCCTTCGCCTTGTGGAGCAGATTCGGATACTTCTTCCCACTCAACTCGTATGCCGCCAAGAAACCACCGAGGTACCGGATCGTGGTCTCAAAAACATTGATGTCTTTGGCCGGCGTCGTTGCAAAGTCAATCTGATCACATGCCTGGGCAGCTTTTGCAAACTCGTCCTCCAGGCCCATGATCCATAGCGTATCCAAGGAGTCAACCAAGGTCGCTGCCCATCCGGCGAAAGGATTCTTGTAATCGCCAGTGACGGGAGTAACCTCGTCTTGCAGCCAAGCATAGGTCGTGTATCCACTCCAGCTATGCTGGAAGCTAGCCTTGACAGCGGCAAGTCGCTTAAGCCGCTTCTTCTTGGACGCATCGTCCTCTTGCGGTTCTGTGGCCTGCACTTTCGGAATCGGTGCGGCCCGGGGCTTTGTGGGCAACGGGGTTAATGTCTCGACTGGGTAGCGGGTCGGCAGTTTCTTCCAGCGCATGTCTTCCAAGGCTTCTCCGTAATCCAAGTCGCCGGCCTTGCCAGGTCGCATGGCCGCGGGTCGGACACCTTCAGACGGGCCCCATGTGTACCACCAAGAGCCGAGAAGCCAAAGACCGACAACGGCGAGTATGATGCGCATGCGACGGACGGCCATGGCGGTGGCTTCGTATCTCAAATGAAGTTAAGTGGTCGGTCGGGAGCACCCATCGCGTTGAGGCGCGGTCAGATTTCGTCGTATAACTCGTGGCCTGCAACGAGAGAGCCGAAAGCAGGGGCCAAAGAGAGAGGCTGAGAATCAAACCTAGGCAACAATCCGAGTGAATGGACGGATTAATGATATCCAATTGAGTACCGAAAGGTGTATATGAGCCGAAGAGCCAAAGAGCCAAATAAGGACAGAGGGAGAAGCCCGAACATGCGCAGTGGACGAGGCGGGAGGAAATGCAGATAAACGCGATGAGCAACCCGTCTCCTCCTAAAACTTGCCAAAGTCCTGGAAGCTCCCCTGGCGCCCCTGGCTCCCCTGTCGCGGCTGCACTGCACAGGCCACTTTGTGGGGGACGAGCCGCTATGGGCGCCACCTTTCTGCTGTCTTCAGGGGTTGTGATCAGCCAACTGCCAACTGCCAACTTTCTTTCTTTCTTTTAGCTAGAGGTGTCAACCTCCCTCCTTCCAATGCACGAGTTACCGTACTGCAGTAGGTCTCGGACCAATTTCAAGTCGCAATAGTCTAGACGCAGGCAGTTCGTTTATGCTATTTACCACGTTTCCTGGAGGGAGATGTCGACTGAAGATCTCAAACACGACCCGCCCTGAAGCAAATCCTAACCATCACTCTTCAAGCGTATCTAAGCACAGATCCAACAAGTACATCAAGAAAATTGACTGTATAGACATACCAAGAATTCTGGATTTATGATATATAAATCACTTGTGATAGAGTACCTTAAGTTCTGAGATCTTTATAGATCGATCTACTTGCCGCAGCCTGCGGGCCTATTGTACCTCGTAGCCCGCAGACGTCAGTTTTATGGTGTGGAGCTTTGGGCGTCTTTTCTCTCTACCCCAGTTATCTTATCGGCGATAACTGATAAGAAAAAAAGTTGGAGGGCTGTCGCAGCTCAAACGAAATAGACAGGCCCTGGTCACCTTTACAGCCAGCAATGGGCAGATCGTGAAGATGAAGACAGACTTCAAGGTGAGATGCATGCGCCATGCTTGCGCGACCGTGTGCTGATTGAAACCGCCAGTTTTCGAACCTGCTAGGCACTGTCTACTGCCAGGGCAACCTCGTCTTCAGCCCCGACGGCACATGTCTCTTCTCCCCAGTCTCCAACAGGGTGACCGTCTTCAACCTTGTAGAGTAAGCATTCCTGGCCCCCGACGCCGCTTTCAACTGCTCACAGTCCCCTAGAAATAAGTCATACACGTTGCCGTTTGCCCACCGAAAGAACATTGCCCGCATCGGACTCACGCCGCGAGGCAACCTGCTGCTATCTGTTGACGAGGATGGACAAGCCATCTTGACCAATGTGCCGCGCCGAGTGCCCATATACCACTTCTCGTTCCGATCCAAGGTCACAGCTCTCGCTTTCTCGCCTTCGGGACGTCATTTTGCGGTAGGCTTGGGCAGGAAAATTGAGGTCTGGCAGGTGCCCTCGACGCCGGATGCGAATACCGAGGGTGAACTGGAGTTTGCGCCCTTCGTGCGTCACCATACCCATACTGGTCATTTCGACGATGTGCGCCACATAGAATGGTCTTTGGACTCGCGGTTCTTCCTGACTGCCTCCAAGGATTTGACCGCAAGAGTGTGGAGCCTGGACCCTGAGGACGGTTTCGTGCCAACGGTACTGTCAGGACACAAGCAGGCCGTCATTGGCGCTTGGTTCTCGAAAGACCAGGAGACCATCTATACTGTCAGCAAGGACGGAGCCGTTTTCGACTGGCAATATGTCAGAAACCCTAACGCGCCGCCGCCCGAGGACTCAGACGACGAGATGGAGGATGACGAAGCGGCTGATATGCGTTGGCGAATCGTGCAGAAGCATTACTTCATGCAAAACAGCGCCACAGTGCGATGCGCATCGTACCACCCAGAGTCTAACCTTCTGGTCGCTGGGTTTTCAAATGGCATTTTTGGACTGTACGAGATGCCGGACTTCAACATGATTCACACCCTCAGCATATCCCAGAACGAGATCGACTTCGTCACCATAAACCAAAGTGGAGAGTGGCTGGCATTTGGTGCATCGAAATTAGGCCAGCTCCTCGTCTGGGAATGGCAATCCGAGTCGTACATCCTGAAGCAACAAGGGCATTTTGACTCGATCAACTCACTAGTCTACTCTCCTGACGGGCAACGGATCATCACAACAGCAGATGATGGCAAGATCAAGGTCTGGGACGTTGAGTCTGGCTTCTGCATTGTCACCTTTACCGAGCATACCAGCGGCGTTACGGCCTGTGAATTTGCAAAGAAGGGAAATGTACTCTTCACCTCGAGCTTGGATGGGTCAGTCAGAGCGTGGGATTTGATACGGTACCGGAATTTCAGGACTTTCACCGCGCCAACGAGGTTGTCGTTTTCCTGTATGGCTGTGGATCCCAGTGGCGAGGTCGTTGCTGCTGGTTCGTTGGACTCGTTCGACATCCACATCTGGTCTGTTCAGACTGGTCAGCTGCTCGACCAACTTTCCGGACACGAGGGACCTGTATCAGCGCTGGCTTTCGCACCCAATGGTGGCTTGCTGGTCAGTGGGAGCTGGGATCGTACTGCCAGGATATGGTCCATCTTCAACCGCACACAAACGAGTGAACCTCTTCAGCTTCAGGCTGACATTCTAGACATTGCCGTCCGGCCAGACTCAGCACAGCTGGCCGTATCTACCTTGGATGGTCAGCTGACCTTTTGGTCTATCGCAGAAGCAGAGCAAATATCTGGACTTGATGGCCGCCGAGATGTATCAGGAGGACGCAAGATTTCAGACCGAAGGACCGCCGCGAACGTTTCTGGAACCAAGAGCTTCGGTACGATCCGATACAGCACGGACGGCAGCTGCTTGTTGGCTGGTGGTACAAGCAAGTATATATGCTTGTACTCAGTGAGCACCATGGTTCTACTGAAGAAGTTCACCGTCAGCGTCAACCTATCTTTGTCTGGAACCCAGGAGTTCCTCAACAGCAAGCTCCTGACCGAGGCAGGACCTGAAGGCCTTCTGGATGATGAGGGTGAAAACTCAGATCGCGAAGCCCGGAAAGACACCTCGCTGCCAGGATCAAAACGTGGCGACCCGGCCTCTAGGAAAAAGGTTCCGGAAGTAAGGGTCACTGGCGTTGGCTTCTCCCCTGCTGGTACCTCATTCTGTGCAGCATCTACCGAAGGACTTCTCATTTACAGCCTGGACAATGACCTTCAGTTTGATCCGTTCGACCTCAACATCGAAATCACTCCAGCTTCCACACTTGCAGTTCTTCAAACCGACCAGGATTATCTGAAAGCTCTTGTGATGGCCTTCCGACTAAACGAAGCAGGCTTAATCAAGCGAGTGTTCCAGGCAATTCCATACCCTGAAATCCCTCTTGTGGTAGAGCAGTTCCCTACCGTATACGTGTCCAGACTACTGCGATTTGTGGCTGCGCAGACAGAGGAGTCACCGCACATGGAGTTCTGTCTGCTCTGGATCAAAGCCCTCATGGACAAACATGGAAAATGGCTCTCTGCCAATCGCAGCAAGGTAGACGTTGAGCTACGAGTTGTTGCTAGGGCAGTTTCGAAAATGAGAGATGAAATACGGAGGTTGGCTGATGAGAACGTCTACATGGTTGACTACCTGCTTGGCCAAGCTCAGGACAAGACTCGGGATGGAAATGATGGCCAGGCTCTCTTAGAGGACAGCAACGAGACAGCGAAACTTCTGATGCCCGCTGGTGACGATGCCATGGCCGAAGAAGTGGGCTCGGAAGACGACTGGATCGGGTTGGATTAATAGATCGGAAAGGGAAGAAGCTTCAGGGACGGATAGAGCCATCACTCTCGAGACCGACTTTTGGCCTCGTGCGAACTATGAGGTTTGAGCCATGGAGATTCATTCCTTCCGGCCTGGGGAGGTGGATGCGATGATCCTTGCCACTTATAGATAACATAGGTTGGGCACGGAAGGAGCAGCAATCTTGTTTAAGAGCTGTATACACCACCTTATGTGAGATCCCCAATCGAGGGAGTCTGGCGTTTATCCATAAGTTCAATTGCAAATAAAATCCTCTCGAGAATCGCCTTAAGCCTGGCGTTGATGAGAAGTTGCTTTTTTAGATGGTCTGGTGATCTTAACATGGAACCTGCGGTCATGATGTTCACAATGCAGCATACCGGTCCAATGGTATCCAGCCACAACACAATGCTCACGCTGTGCATCTTGACGAAAACGCTAGGCGCGGGAATTTCTCACGGTTTATATTGAGTATCTAGGCAATTTTCTGTTTTCTACAGAATAAGGCTGGGTCAAAGCTTGGTCAAATCCCAGTCCTTTGCGTTCCGATATGAGAATATTGGTTCATTCTGGTCAACTCCTGCCTGGCTTTTCAACAAGGACGTGAAGCCCGACGCGCAAGCCTCAGCACCAAAGTGTCCGAACAGCTTGCATCTCGTGAAAATAGCCAAGTGTTCCAAATGAAGTGCAGACAAGTTGTTCATACATAAGCGGCAGACACAGATTTTCTCAGCACGTTCTGACATGCAATACTAAGTGGGTAGCAGCTTCATGTGGGTCGACCCACCTAACTAAGGAAACACTCTGAGTCCCAGTATATTTTCTCTCGGTGCTCGCACAATTCATCCTCAAGCAAAACGTAGCTTTGAAGTCAATTTGAGGGTACCGTGATCTTCAAGAAGCGAGCTTACAGTGTGGCCCGAGTAATCTGTGAACAGTTATAGATCGGAACTGGTGCTAAACCCCACTCACCCGCCAAAACGTCATCATGGCTGGTTGTGGCTGCTGCCTTGAGCAAAGCTGCCTATAATTTGCCACAGGTCTCACTTCACCAAAAGTACTGCAACCTGGTCGGAGTAGCCCGTCAAGGAAAGCTTTTGGGATACTGACCCATAGAGAAAGAAAGGCGTTATGATCTGAGTCTGAAGTCGCCTCGGAAGTCTTTACTGCAGGCTGAGTACGTAGGTGACTCACTACACATATACTGACCAATTATACAGTATCTCATGCATTTCAGGGATACCCTACAGTGGCTCTTACACTCCGGTTAATTGTGCATTAACATCATTATCGCAATGGTGAATGGCCAGACTTCTGAATTGACTATCCAAACTCATCCTGGTCCCGCTTGTTGAAGTTCTCACGGATTCCGGACCTCGTGCGCGAGCAAGACAAACAAGCGCCGAGCCCCCGAAAATACGCAAGCTTATACACATCCCGCAGGGTCGGGCAGTATGATATGACACCCTTGACACCACAACAGTCAAACTGTAAGACTGAGGGTTTGTAAAAACCGGTACTATCTAGGTGTGAGACCCCGGAATTGATACCAGGCAGTAATTCACTGCCTCAACAATCCCTACCACAACCATCCCTGACGTTGGTGTCGCGGGCGAGTAAGGCTTCGAGGGTGGCGAACCAACAGTCCTCCTCTCTAGGCTAAGTCTACGCGCGTTCTTGCCTGGTAAGGCGGCCTCCCCACAGTAGCCCTGGTGCGGCTCTCCAGCGACCAGTCACTATCACCACCCTTGAAATATAAAATCTCGGCTTACTCCTTCGAGTCGTCTGAGTTTGCTCTGCTTCTAACGGCACCAGATACTCCGATCGTTTTAAGGACTCGGACCTCAAGTTACACAAACCGGCGCAGCTTGAAGACTTGAAGAGTTTGGTTCTTTTCTCTCGAGATCAACTACAAGCCCAGGTGTCTGCGCAAGAGCTGTGCAAACATGGACATCAACTCTATGCTTCGTGGGGTTCTCCCCACGGTGGCAGAAAACGTCTCTGCCGCCACAAATAACACCTCCAGTCAGAACCACATGCAGCCAAACGTCGTCGAGACCTTACTGCCGCTGCTTGGGCTGCGGGCCTTCATGCCCATGTACAGCTTCATCGGCAATTGGCTTGGTTTGGATTTCACTTGGATTCTGTCCTTTTTCGGTATGATTTGGGCGATGAACAAACTGCTGCGCCAAGGCTATGGCACTTTGTACGGCTTCATCACGGAACACTTGCGGAGTAATATCCACATCGGAAGCAACGACGACATCTACGTACACCTAATGAGATGGCTTGCCCAGCAGCCCTTGATGTTCAACTCAAGATCACTGACTGCCGAGACTGTGAGCAAGACTGCATGGGAAGATGAGGATGACTCAAACGTCTCTCGAGACCAAACCGGCGTCTACCTGAATTTTTCCAACCAAGAAGCAAGAGCTGTACGTCGTACTATCTGGCCCTGCCTCCTTGGAACATAACTTACAATGAATAGCCTCCCCGCTTTATTCCTGCAATCGGAGTGCACAGTTTCAGGTGGAACGGCACGAAATTCGGGCTACATCGTAAACAAGAGTCCGTTTTCGATGACGGTGCCAGCAGCGGGTTCTCGTCATTCAAGGACCGAGAGGACTTAATTATCTCGTGCTTTGGCCGCAGTCCCGGTGAGTTTCCAGACGCAAACAATTTCCCAATGATGCGAAATTGACCAAAGATTAGAACCTATCAAGCAGCTTCTGAAGCACGTTAAGGAATGCCATTACAACAACCACCACGCCAGAACTATTGTCAAGAGACCCAGCCCCCAGAATCTGCGTCGATATGGTGGCCGCCACTGCTGGCAACAAGTTGCCGATAGACCTATCCGAGACATGAAGACGGTTGTACTTGACAACCAGCAGAAAATGCAGGTTCTGGCGGACATCAACGAGTACCTGCACCCTGCCACCCCGCGCTGGTACGCCAACCGGGGCATCCCGCTTCGTCGTGGCTACCTGTTCCATGGTCCGCCGGGCACTGGCAAGACCAGTCTTTCCTTTGCCCTCGCCGGTGTGTTTGGGCTCGACATATACGTTATATCCCTCCTTGAACCTTCTCTTACCGAGGAGGATTTGAGCGCACTCTTCAGCAGCCTGCCGCGTCGATGTATTGTCCTTCTCGAGGACATCGACACAGCCGGCTTGAAGCGCCCTGCTGAGGAACTCGCTAAAGATGAGGAGGCTAAGAGGACTCGCGGCAAGGGTGACCAGAAGGACACACCCAACGACTGGAAGGTCAGCGACTTGGCCAAAGCCCTTAAGAAGGAAGGCAATGATGACAAAAAGGGTATATCTCTCTCCGGTCTGCTGAATGCCATCGATGGCGTGGCATCACACGAGGGCCGCGTGCTGATCATGACCACCAACGTCCCGGAGTCCCTCGACGAGGCGCTGATCCGGCCCGGCCGGGTCGATCTACAGGTGGGCTTCACCAACGCCACCCGCTCGCAGGCCGAGGAGCTCTTCATCCGCATGTACGAGGCGGACCAGGGGCGTCGGCAACAGAGCGCGAACGGCTCGGCCACCAAGGCAAACGGCGCCGCCGACGGCCGCGCCGCAGAGCCCCTCGGCAACGGGCACGCCGTCCCGCCCGAGACGGAGAGCGCGATCAAGTCGGGCGACCTTGATATATCGGTGGAGCAGCTGCCGGGCGTGGCGCGCGATTTCGCCGACAAGATCCCCGAGTTCCAGTTCTCGCCCGCCGAGATCCAGGGCTATCTGCTCAAGCGCAAGAAGCACCCGCTCAAGGCGCTCAAGGAGGCCGACAAGTGGGTCGAGGCGCTGCAGCAGCAGAAGGCGTCCAAATCCAAGGTTCTGCAGGTGCAGTAGTAATGGCTGGCAGTTGGCTTTCAGGTAATTTCTATGTGACGATGGGGGGTTTTCGTTTTTCGGGGGATTCATGTTTAGATGGCCAGAGGGCAGGTTTCCCTGCACATCCTGTCCGAGACTCATGATATGGACAGCACGATTGTGAGGCAGCATGAAGATCGCTTTCCGCATAGCATCCTGTGGAGTTCAGCGCTACGAGACCATGACACACATATATGGTAAAGCAATGTAGTGCTCTTTAATAGATTCACGTTACCGGCGAAAGAAAAAAAAGAAATGCGTGTGTGTGCAGGGTCGGAGACTGATACCGATGTTTGGTAGGCCTGCAAACTATGCCGTGGTCTTCGTGGGTTGGAGTTCATGTGATCACGATGGTAAGTTTGATGACTTGAATAGGTTGAGTGACTCCGTAGGATTCCGAGAATGACCACCTACCGCAAACTTCGAAGCATTAACACTGGCTTCAGACAAGACTACACCCATTCTGACCACTGGAGGGTCCTATAAAAATCACAGTTGTCTAGAGGACGTTACGATCCTACTTGCTGGGCAAGCTTGGGTCCTCTTCAAGAGACATGTATTCTCCGGTTACCGTTAGTAGAACCGCGTGGTTAACAACTGCCTTTCTGGCACTTCTCGGCACTATAGCAACTTGTGCTGTTCTAAAAACAGGCCATGCCAACCATGTGCTCAGGGACAGCGGTGACCAGGCTGGAGCAATAATAGGGGGTGTCATTGGAGGCGGGCTGGTGCTGTTCCTACTCGCGATAGGCCTTTTCGTTTGGTGCTGCAAGATGCCTATCGTCCTTGGCCAATGAAACACAGCCCTACTTCTGAAAGATGTCGAAGCAAATACAGAAGATAAATGAATCAGAAGCTGGATGTTTCTACGCAAGACCCGTAGCCTGACAATACACCCGAATGTTCTCTCAAGTGAAGCCTTCTTAGCACATACCGACGGATCATTTCATACCGCCAACACGCAGATTGAGGGGATACTCATGGCAGAGCGGTTACATTTCCTTGATCCATTAGAAACCTGCCTATATTGCCGCGGTTAATCTGAGTCCTCGAGCAAGTATCATTGTGTATGTGGATGGAGGCGTTGGTCTGTGTATTTGATTATAGAGACTACGGTACATGAGCATATGTAAGCCATGGAGTATAAGCGCGGAGGCATGTGGGTCGCTCTTCCTAGAAGCGCAGACTTGACAAGAGGTTTCCAATATCGTACGGATGTACGAATTAGCTCAATGCAAAGAAGACAGCCCACCGCCTCTGTCTCTACCCGTCAAAAAGAGCGTGCGAATAATTTCCTGGGGCAAGTTGCCGTGCAGGCCTTTCTCATGGCAGTTGCGGCTAGTGTAGCGAAGCACGGGCACTTCGCCGGCATTGCATGACGGATTCAGGCTGCGCTAATCCGTGCCAACCGGGAGTTGGTTGACTTTGCTCTTAGCAAACGACACCTGCAGAGGACGAGATAGGTGTGGGCGGTTCAGGGTGGATCACGAACCCTCAAACAGCAGTTAGTGGTACGTGTGAGCGTGTTTGTCGGTTGAGCGGAATCGTGCACTGCTCCGTTGCTCTGTCACAGCTAACTTTAAAGAAGTTGGGTACCGTACGGATTGCCTCAAGAGGGTCCAGTCACTAATTGGACTAAGATTGGGGCTGGCTGTCAAAAAGCCCACTGGGCTTAAGTTGCTGGCTTTCTGACTGGACCCTTCAATTTCAGGGGTCTGGCAGGTACGCGTTACAGGGGTCAATCAAGGGGGTCTAGGGGGGTCAAGGGGGGTCAAGGGGCTGGGTTGGAGCAACTCTGGGCGGTGGCGCCTGGCAGAAATTTCCCCATACCTCACGGGCGAGCTCGGGCCCCATTGGCGTTTTGGACGTTTAGCGGTGTCAGGCCCACAATTGTTCCCCTAAACTCTGGAAAGCCCGTCCCCAAACAACATCGCACCCCTTCAACGCCATCCCGAGTTGCCAACAACCCATCACCGCCTCCCGCCCTCCGCCTCCGCCTCTGCCTCTCGCATCGTCTCCCCCATCGACACCCGCGACACCGCGTCCACTGCAGCACGATGGCGTCCGCCCAGCAAGGAACCGCAACTGCCATTGGCATTGCCAATCTGCCCAACCGCACGTCCTCCCCCGGCCCCCCTTGTCTTGTCCCGTCCATCGTACGGTCGACCTCCGGCTGATGTGCTAACTCCTGGGCAGAGCGTCACAAGATTGTCGCAAAGAGAGGCGCTGCTTTCACCATCATGGTATGTCCCTCCGCCGGGCGAAATGTCTCTTGTTGTGTCACCTCAGCTGACCGTTTGCCTCTTCCCCAACTCCAGGTCGCTGGTGAATCCGGATTGGGCAAGACCACCTTCATCAACACCCTCTTCTCCACCACCATCAAGAACTACGCCGACCACAAGCGACGCCACCAGAAGCAGATCGACAAGACCGTCGAGATCGAGATCACAAAGGCCGAGCTGGAGGAGAAGTTCTTCAAGGGTACGCGTCTACTCCGTTGGCGCACATTTGCTATTGCACCGCATCCTAACCTCCCTTTGCAGTCCGTTTGACCGTCATTGACACACCCGGATTCGGCGACTACGTCAACAACCGAGACTCATGGATGCCCATCATCGAGTTCCTCGACGACCAGCACGAGTCGTACATGCTCCAGGAGCAGCAGCCCCGTCGGCTGGACAAGATCGACCTCCGTGTCCACGCTTGCTTGTACTTCATCAGACCCACTGGCCACACCCTTAAGCCTCTGGACATTGAGGTCATGAAGAGGCTCTGCTCCAGAGTCAACCTCATCCCCGTCATCGCCAAGGCCGACACTCTTAGCCCGGCTGATCTGGCCAAGTTCAAGGCCAAGGTACTTGCACCCTCCCCATTGCCCCACCCGAAGACCGTAATTCGCTGACCATACCATGTACCAGATCCGAGCTGTCATTGAGGCCCAGAACATCAAGATCTACCAGCCACCTGTTGAGGAGGACGATGAGGCCGCCGCCCAGCACGCCAGGAGCCTGATGACCGCCATGCCGTTTGCTGTCATCGGCTCGGAGAGAGACGTCAAGACCAGCGACGGCCGTATCGTCAAGGGTCGTCAATACTCGTGGGGTGTGGCCGAGGTCGAGAACGAGGACCACTGCGACTTCAAGAAGCTCCGCTCCATCCTGATCCGTACCCACATGCTGGACCTTATCCACACCACGGAGGAGCTGCACTACGAGGCGTACCGCGCCCAGCAGATGGAGACCCGCAAGTTCGGCGAGGCCCGTCCCCGCAAGCTCGACAACCCCAAGTACAAGGAGGAGGAAGAGGCCCTGCGCAAGCGCTTCACCGAGCAGGTCAAGGTCGAGGAGCAGCGTTTCCGCCAATGGGAGCAGAAGCTCATTGCCGAGAGAGACCGTCTCAACAAGGATCTCGAACAGACCCACGCCCAGATCAAGCAGCTCGAGGGCGAGCTCGAGCAAATGCAGGGCAGCGTTGCCCGCAGCGGCCGTCGTTAAGCCACTCGTTGTTTATACCCCCGGTCCGCCTTGTTCCTCTGTTATGTTGAGCGTTTCCTCGAGAGCAGCAGTATTTTCGAGCCTTCTCGGTTATAATGAAAGACGGCGTTTCGTACGAAAATGTCATGCCCTAGGCCGCTGGGATGGCCCATGGATAGACATGCTTAAGAGCTAATTTGTATCTGTTCGACGACTGGAGGAGGGACGACAGATGATGAAAAGGAGCGGTGAACGCTGTAGGGAGCCCCCTGGCCCCCGGTCCGATACCCCTTGTACTCGGAATCGTTGGAGATTGGAGAGGAAGACGACACAAAATATTCTCCTTTATCGGTGTCTGTTGCTACTTTTCGGACACCCATTCTTTACTCAGAGCTGAGCTAGGCTTCTTTTTTTTAGTGAACGATGTAATTTTTGAGTTTCTTATGATACCAGTTAAAAACAGGAAAACTCGCTGATGCCTCTACGACTCCCTATTTATGTGCTCGCTGTTTCGTCAAAACGGAAGTATACTGTGGGCCCCCTATTGAATGCTTTCGTTGCTCCCTTGTGACCCAGACCTGTGACGTGACCCGATACCCTGACCATGCCCATGCTGTTTTCCTGCTTTCCTGCGCCTGAACTGTGACTGTGTATGCCTAGTATGTGTGATGAGATAGTATTGTTTGCCACTTCCACTCGGAAGGGCGTTTAGATCTGTCCCATGCCCTCCCTTCCCAAGGAAATCAGAAAACATGCGTTCCCAGAAAACTTCCCAGAAAACCCGTTGCGGTGCAGCACTGCGCCGAGAAGCCCATTTACAGAGAATCCATGGTGGCACGCGTGGCCAGCTGCTCGTTCTTGTTGCCGAGCTTCGAGATCTGCAGGAAGGCATCCACGCCGTAGCCCTCGAGGCTGTGCAGCTCGAGGCTGCCGGCCCAGTACTCGGCGTAGACCCTGCTCAGGGGCAGGCCCATGCCGAGCCGCAGGTGCGGCGGGCGGGTCGACAGGGACGTGAGCGAGCCGTCGTGCGCGCGGGCGTGGGCGTAGCTGGGCGGCGTGGGCCCCGCCTTGCCGTCCTGCAGGCCGCTGAAGTTGCCGTCGACGCGCAGCTCCTGCAGCGTGGCGGCCATCAGGGGCACCTGGGTCAGGTTCTCGAGGCGCTGGGCGCTCTTGGGCCCCTTGCTGAAGGACCACAGGTAGGGCAGGATGTCGCGGGGGATGCCGCCGCCCTGGTCCGAGACGCGGATGATGACGTGCTGCTGGGCCTCGCAGAGGGTGACCTCGATGGGCGGCGGGGGGCGGCCCTGGTTCTTCTTGGAGCGGGCGTGGTGCTCGATGACGGCCTGCACGCTGTTGCGCAGCAGCTCGCCGATGATGTACTCGAGGTGCGAAAGGATGTACGGGAAGCTGGCCTCCATGTGCCCCGTGATCCTGATCTCGGGGATCTGCACGTCGGGCCCGTTGGCGCTGCGCGCGAGCGCCTGCACCGCGGTGCCGCAGCGCTCGATGACGTCCCGCGCGATGCACTTGAGGAAGACCTCGCCGATGAACTCGCCTTCGGAGAGCTTGGCGCCGGGCGAGAACCACGGCGAGTTGAAGGTCTCGGTCAGAGCCAGGTGCTGCTCGGCGATTACGCGGCGGGAGATTCGCTGCGTGGCAAGGCCGGGTGTCAGTCACATGGGCTACTTTTGCTATCCTGAATGTTTCAGGGCCGCCCAACGGAGCGTGGCCCTTCCTTGACTCACCGATCTGAGGATCGTGTTCATGAAGCGGTCCAGCTCCCTCTGCTCCATCAGGCCGCTGCACTCGAGGATGCCCATGGCGAGCTTGGGTATGACGCTCAGATGGGCCCTCAGCATGCGGGCGATCTCCTGGCAGAAGCGCTCGTTCTCCTCGAGCGTCTTGATCTCCTTGACGCGGCGGAACATGTCAAAGGCGTTGTAGTAGAGGTCGTAGACGTCGCTGATGTGCGGGTTGGTGACGACGACGTAGGGCAGGCGCTGCATGTCGCGGATCCGGTGGGCTATGCGCGTGGGCAGCTCGGTGCGCACGTAGTTGGCCGAGGAGATGAGACGCTGCTCCGTCAGGGAGCGCCCGAAGACCATGAGCTGGCGGAGAGAGATCGGCCGCGCCTCCTTGGCTACCCATCTGCGGCGAGGGTGAACGTTGGTCAGCCATCTGCGTTCCAGCCTTGGAGCAGCAGGTTGGGGAGGGACGGCGGCACTCACTCATCCAGCACCTGGACCGGCCGCCATTTCGTGGCAGTCTGTATGCTGCGTCGCGGAAACGGGGCGAACGACCTGCTGTCACTCCTGCTCCTGGCTGTGGCTATCGAGAGGCTCCTGGCCGGGCTTCGCCAAGCGCTGGTCAACCGGATGGTCTTGGTGGCATGCTGCACCGCGGATGGCGACATTTCCACACTTCCATATGTGCCTGGCTTCGCTCCCCAAGAAAGAAAAAAAAAATCCAAAATATTTTTTTCCTGGACAAAACTTATCGAGTATAGCAGTACCCAGGCTGGCGACCGTCTCGAACGTCAAGTGCCATAAAAAAAAAGTCAATGAAGACGTCCGGTGGCCGACTTCGCAAACGTATGACTATGTCTGCGGATCGTAAGTTGGAAGAGCTCTGGGAAGAGCTTCGGGGCTAGCCAGAGCGAGAGGTAGGGGGGCGGGAGCTGGAGGTGGGCGCTAGCGCATCGACATGTGAGTCTCCCATGCGTGTGGTTGTGATTAGGTATTGACTGGACTCGTTTACCCCACATTTCACGCATTCGATAACGAGGCCCGGCACATGAGAAGTTGCTTTTCTTGGGGAAGATAGCTGTACGACCCGACGTTTCTATGACCAATTCAGGAGGCTGATGGAAGGAGACCAATGGTGGACGGTGGCAGTCAATGCCTGCAGCGCGTTTGCCGTCCAAGTCGGTTGGTATCCATGGATGGATCGATCTCTGCGAAGGTCGGGTGAAGGCCCAGAGTACTCCGTAGCTTATTCAGCTATTCGCATCGAACCATGGCGTGGTAACGAGCTCCGCTCTCTTGCCATGTATGCCTGTATGCTGCATGCAGCACGTAAACAGAGCAGCGAGTCTCAGGTCAGGTATTCTGAGACGTCCATGCCGTGTGGGCGTTCCGAGACTGTACAGTTGTGTCTGGATCCCCTCTGCCACACGCAGGCTGGCTGGATGGTGTACACCTCAGGGGAGCATCAGATTCCGCCAAAAAAGCTGAACCTGGGAGAGAAGCATACAGAAGACAGGACAGCCTTGCATTTCTCAAACCCGTTCATTTACCAAACTCTAGTCTGAAAGCAGTTCTTTCGGTTAACCCCCCAAACAGTATCCCAGATGGGTGAACCAAAACGTGCTTGCGTGGCGGGCACTGCGCTGACAAAATAGGCACAGGCCAGCGTTCCTCGGACCGTAGGTACATACATAGTAGTTAGCATACAATCTTGAATTACAACACAGGCTTGCTCTTCGCTGCCGGCTGATCATGACAAACGCATGATGATAATGATTGGACTGCAGGCGCTATCCGTATGTACCATGATATGCAATCAAAATCAAGTCAATCATTCAGGGACTTGCGCTGAAGTATCCGATGGTGTGTTGCGACGGCGTCGATTGCATGTACGATCAGCTACCAAATTACCAAGGTGTGGTGTTAGACAACGAGGATCCCACGTCATGGTAGTTGATAGTGGGGCTGCGCCTCAAGTGGGTTGGCCATTTGACACTGAGAAGATCAAGCACCAAGCCTACCTAGCAAGCTTGAGCACCTCTCATTCTGTACAAGTCAACAGCTGACAAAACCTTTGCGCGAACTTGAAAATATTGTGATTCTTGAAATGTATGTGAGTAATTTTTTTTTACGGCAAGCAGGCAAGTTTGCTTAATTGTCATGAGCCGAGGTGATTGAAAGTGGAAGAGGATTCCATGGGCAAACGAGCTAAGTGTTGGACCCGTACGGCTGGCTGGCGGGATAGTGGGGTTTGCTCCTTCACCGGCCAAGTTCCCCACAGTCGCTGGCGATGATGGTAAAGGCACAGTAAGCTTGGTATGAGTATGTGTTTCCGCGCCGGGCAGGCTTCAAAAGCTGGGCAGTCCAAGTAGTCATACGTCTTTCTCAACAACATTAGAAAGAACGCGGTCAGTATAGCCGTGAGCCTTGCAGAGCACAGAACAACACGGCGCGGTGGCCGCGTCTCTTCCAGGTTTTGGCTGTCGTTGCAGCTGGCATTGGTGTCGTTCACCTGGACTGCGCCTTGCTAAGTTACCCTAGGCCCTTCCGGCGTTCTCATGCCCAGCGCCCAGTGCCCAGCGCCCAGTGTGCAGCTAGTGCGTCCGCTGCCCCCCCGTTGCTGGAGTACAGCCCACCTTTTCGTCTGCACCTCTGGGCGATCCGCCCGCCCATCGACGAGGCAGCCTCTCAGTTGCAAGTTCCCAACTTTATTACACCACTCCCAAAGACTCCGGTGGCTTCCAGGAAACATCGTCGGCCTCGTCGCGTGTTCCAAGTCCTCGCTCTCCCTCCCGCACCTCCTGCCCGCCCAGCCTACTCTTCGCTCGACGAGCACCGCGCCCTCCCTCTCGGCCGTGTGGTCGTCGTTACCTACCCACGTCGCAGCTGTTGGAGAAGCCGGGCGGAAGCTCTGACCTCCTGGCGCCCGCCGGCCGCTGACCTCACCTCACCTCGCCTGCACCTGGGTCTCAATCTCTTCGTCGACCGTCATCCCGACCCCGCCGACCAGGCATTCGCTCCCCCAAAGCACCATCGGCGACCTCGACCTCGACCTCGACCTCGACCTCGACACGTCTGCCGCGACGCACACTCACGCCTTCCGCCGCCCTCCCCGACAGACAAACGCTGTCCATGGTGCCGCTTTCGTGATTGACCGACTGACTGACTTTGGCATGATCATTCCCGCTGCCAAGCAAACATGGTGAGCTATCCCGACCAATCTGTTTTGTATACCACAGCCGTTCCCTCTTCTCCTCTGCTTCTTGGTTGCATGATACGCAGTCGCCGCTTTGTTGCAGATCGTATTCTACACACAAAGAAAAAGACTGGACTTTTTCTTCCCATCCTCCTTCTCCGGATCGCCGACCAGGTCAGCCTTGCTGTGACTGTCGGCCAGGGCATGCGTCACCCCGCGGATGCACCTGTTCTCTCCTTGTCTTCAGTGCCTCGCGTGCACCTGGAGAGTCGGCGTTGCCCTCCTCCTATGCCCTTTCACCATCACCAAGAATATCTATACTAATCTCATGTATCTGCTCAAGAGTTACGATTCCGAGATCCATTCTCCCAACGAGATGGTCATCGACAGCCACGATGACCTCGTCCCGGCTGAGAACGAGAAGGAGCAGGTCGTCGACATCAACCCCGATGGCTTGGACAACGATGTAGAGCCCCGAGAGGGTGCCATCCTCGCGACCGACCGTATGTACACATCTAGAACTGCACCCCACGGGACACGGGCTAACATGGCCGGGGACAGATGAGGCTATAAAAGAGATTGTGCTCCCGCCTCTGTTGGAAGAGCCCAGAATACTAGAGGATGCCGTTAACACATGGGTCGTGGAGAACTGGAGAGGCATACAGTCCAAGAAAGAGCATGGGCCGATATTCCAGGCCGGCGGATTCCCATGGTGAGCTACACAGCCGACCTGCATCCGGCTCGAGCCCAGCTTTTCTGACTCTTGCTCATAGGCGCATCCTCCTTTTTCCTTTCGGCAACAATGTCGATCAATGTTCGATATACCTCGAGCATGGCTTCGAGGACCCCAGCACAATCCCCGACGACTGGAGCTGTTGTGTGCAATTTGGCTTGGTCATGTCTAACATCAATGACCCGTCTCTGTTCGTTCATCATACAGCGCACCACCGCTTCACCAAGGAGGAAAGCGACTGGGGCTTCACGAGATTCCTTGAGCTACGCCGAATGTTCCAGTCCGAATGGGACAACTCCGGCCGCATATTGGCCGAGAACGACACCGTGGCCCTCACGGCGTACGTCCGGATCGTCGAGGACGAGACGGGCGTCCTTTGGCACAACTTTAACAACTACGATTCAAAGAAGGAAACTGGTTATGTCGGCCTCAAGAACCAAGGCGCGACCTGCTACCTCAACTCCCTCCTGCAGTCTCTGTACTTCACTAACGCTTTCCGGAAAGCCGTATATCAGATCCCTACGGCCGAAGATGAAAGTACCACCAACAGCGCTTATACATTACAGAGGCTGTTCTACCAGTTGCAGACGTCGAACAATGCTGTAGGGACTAACGAGCTGACCAAATCTTTCGGTTGGGACACCCGCCACATTTTCGAGCAACAGGATGTTCAGGAGCTCTCACGGAAGTTGATAGAGCGCATGGAGGAGCGCATGAAAGGCACTGCTGCCGAGGATTTCCTTCCCCGCATGCTCAGCGGAAAGGTCAAGACATATGTTTCATGCATCGACGTTGACTATGAATCCAGTCGCGTTGAGGATTTCTGGGACATTCAGCTGAACGTCCGGGGCAACCCTACCCTCGAGGACAGCTTCAAGGACTATATTCAACAAGAAACTCTCGATGGCGAGAACAAGTACTGGGCGGGCGATGACTTCAAGTACCAGGACGCCCACAAGGGTGTCATATTTCAGAGCTTTCCCGAGGTGCTCCATCTGCATCTCAAGAGATTTGAATATGACATCCAGCGCGACGCCATGATGAAGGTCAATGACCGCTTCGAATTTCCAGATGTCTTTGACGCAGCACCATATCTCGAGAAAGGTGCGGATATGTCCGAGTCTTGGCGGTACAAGCTTCACGGTGTACTGGTGCACAGCGGAGATCTTAATGCGGGCCACTACTATGCATTCCTGAAGCCGGAAAAGGACGGCTGGTTCTACAAGTTCGATGACGACAAAGTTACGAGGGCTACGATCCGTGAGACGCTAGAGGAGAACTACGGCGGTGAATATCGTACATCGCAGGGTCCGTACCGCACGGCGACGTCCAAAAAGACCATCATGAGACAGATGAACGCATACATGTTGGTCTATATTCGAGAGTCTCGCCTAGACCACGTCTTGACCCCCGTCGGACAAGAAGACACCCCCGCCCACCTACAGAAGAGACTAGAAGAGGAGGCAGCAGCGCGTGAGGCTAAGAAGAGAGAGCGTGAGGAACAGCACCTCTACTGTCCCGTCAAGGTCGTGACTCCGAATACTTTTGAGCACCACGGCGCCACTGACCTCACGAACTTTGATGGCGATCCGAAAGAGGACCCTGCCGCCCCAAGGTTCTACAAGATGAAGAAGAAGGCTTCGATGGAGGAGCTCTTGGCGACGATTGCCCAAGACATTGGCCAAGATCCCCGGCGACTGCGCTTGTGGATCATGGTCAACCGGCAAAACAAGACTACAAGACCCGACCAACCAATCATGGATTTGAGACCTACCGTCGAGGAGACCTTTGCGCGATCTGCCAGCACCAGTCGCGACTATTCGCTTCGTCTCTGGGTCGAGGTCGCCGAGGAAGTTAATGACCAAGGGGAGGCCGTTTGGCCAACCTACCAAGGTAATGCGAACGGCGTCGTTGTCAAAACAGATCTCATCCTTCTGTTCCTCAAGTTTTTCGACCAGGAGAAGCAGGCTCTACAGGGTCTCGGCCATGTCTATATCAGTAAGGAGAAGAAGGTCGAAGATCTGGTTCCTCTGATCTGCAAGAAGATGGGCTGGGGGGATAAACTCCCCTCGGGCGAACAACTTGCCATGTGGGAGGAGATCAAGCCACAGATGATCGAGCAGCTCAAGGCAAAGCAGACATTAAAAGCGGCAGAACTACAGGACGGTGACATTGTTTGTTTCCAGCGAGTGCCAGAGCGAAAATCAGGCGAGGCTCTTACCAAGGCTCCCAAAGCTACTGATCAGCCTGCGAATGGCGCCGCCAAGAGATGGGATCATTTTGACGATGCGCGAGAGTATTACAACTTCCTCCTATACAAGCGGGAAGTGCGCTTCTGGCCACATCCTACTCGGTGCGACAAGGAGTACGAAAGCTTCATCTTGACGATGCCTGCTACTATCGGGTACGATCAACTTGCAGAACGCGTGGGCGAGCGATTGAACATCGACCCGACACATCTTCGGTTCTTCACCGTTAATGCGTCCACTGGCAACCCCAAGACGCCCGTCCGACGAGCAGCTCAGATGAACCTCCAGCAGATTCTCAATCCTTCCAATAACTACCCGACCAATGCTCAAACGAAACAAGATGCACTCTACTTTGAGGTCTTGGAGATGAGTCTGGCAGAGCTGGACAACAAGAAGAATGTCAAGGTTACCTGGTTGTCTGAGGGAATCACGAAGGAGGTACGGCTTGTCCATTACTTGGCTGATGTAGACAATATGCTAACTGAACTCAGGAAACTTATGACGTCCTCGTTAACAAAGCAGGGCACATCGAGGATCTTATTCAGGCACTTATCAAGAAAGCACAGCTCAAGGATGAGATGGAAGAAGGACGTATACGAGTCTACGAGACTCATCACCACAAGTTTTTCCGAGAACTCACACTCAACTACCCCGTCCTGAGCATTAACGACTATGTCGACGTTGTTGCGGAGCGCATCCCAGAGGAAGAGATAGGCGCCGACGAGCGTGACTTTATCAAGGTCCAACACTTCCAGCAAGACCCCAGCAGAACACATGGCGTGCCCTTCAAGTTTTTACTGAAAGAGGTATTGATGACAAGTTCTGAAACTCAGGGTCCGGCCCCCGCTAATGACTTGCAGGGCGAACCATTCTCGGAGACTAAGAAGCGCCTGGAGAAACGAACAGGCATCAAGGGCAAAGCCTTTGAGAAGATCAAGTTTGCATTAGTCAAGCGATATGGGAAGCTGACGTACTTGGAAGATGGTAAGACAGGCCTTGACAGACCCACTCGTTGTCCTATGATCTTTGCTTGCTGACCGACAAAAGATCAAATTCTCTTTGAGGAGGGCGGTTTTGATGATGACATGTCTCTTGGGTTGGATCACGTTGACAGAACGAGGAGTACCCGAAACGGCCAAGAAATGTTCCTCAAGTAAAGAGCAGATCGGATTCGTACATCTTACTGCATCAACGTCACCCGGCATTAGCGACAACCAAGTTGTGGTCGCCGAAGATATTTTAAGGTGGTGGAGCTGTATGATTGACAGAAATGACACCTGTAGGAGGCGTTTGAGAGGTTCCTTGGCTTTTTCTGCCATGCCTACGTGTATACTTCTGGCGGCGTACTTGGTTTCGCGGCAAGCCAGCTACCACTACAACAGTCATTATGGCAACAGGTTGTGGATACACGGACAGGTCAGGAAAGGGGGGGAGGGAAAGGCGATGATTTGGTAAAGAGGTCACATCGGCCTTCCTTGCAGGCGCACACCGTTCGGTCTGGGAAATAGGCCTGCAGAAGCCAGGAGCCCCTGAGCGGTATTCTCCTCTTGTAGCCATAGAGACAAGACAGTGTTATAGGAGAATTAAGAGGCTTACGAACTACTGTTTCGGAACAGACCACCCAGAGCAACCCGCATATGGCCTAACTCATTTTCACCTTTTTGGCTCGCCGTAGGGTCAAGGAGACTGCAGCCTGCATCGGTCTCGGGCCACGGTATGACAGACTGGCAGTAAGGTCGCAATCAGCACTTCGTGTACCTGTGACTGTATGACGTGCTTTCTGAACGCAGCTGAACAGGTTGCAACCACCTTGATGCTATAGATAGTATACGACGCTGGCCTGCTGTCTCAAAGTATTCTTGAAGTTTGTTGTGTTCCTCGAAAGGCATCTATCTATGCTAAGTATCTGCCATCACCCCAGATCATGATCAGCTTAGTCTATTGAGGAGAGAGGCGCCACCCGCAGAGCCTCAAAAAGTCCGGACGGCATTTACAGCCGCGCTGCAGAACCCGTGTGCCGCTTGCCTAGCCCCCATACCCAGTTACATTCAGCTTGCAACCTGAAAGGAGACACATGTCGTTGCCCGCTTGCCCGCACCTGCATGGCCCCAACCTGTCGCCTCGTGGGGGGACGCATGGCCGTCCCCCAGCTTGACCCTGGCAGGGGACTTGACAGCTTTCTCGGTCCGTTTCGCCATAAGGCGCATGTGAAGCAGGTCCCATACATGTCTTCAGAGGGCTGTCTGACTGTCTTGCTTACTAGGAGTGTTGCACGACCACTCGCGACTTACGCGCGGCTATCCGGGCGAACTGGGTATCATCTTTGTCCAATCAGCGGAGTGACTTCACAGTTGCTAACCCATTAGTCCCCGCTGACATCGAGTCGGTGGTGGGCAGAGCTGCAAGTGCTATGGAAGACTCTGGATCCGGAGTTCCTGGCCAACTGCAGCAGCACTTTCCGCGACCAGGTTACTGGGTTGGTCCTATGGGGAGAGGGAGTCTACAAAGTTTGTTGGGGGCTGTGTGGGAGTAAGCTCACCACACCACCCCGTCAACTGAACAAGCGAGGAGCCAAGTTTGGAAGACGGTCCAAAACCGGGACTCCTCGTCATCGGGTTGCTTATTGGGTGTCTGCCGCGCTTGGGGCGTCTGCAGCGTCTATATGACCCTGGTGATTAGTTGCAGTGACAGGCACAGCCTCCTGTCAGTGTGAGTCTGCATGCAAGTAATACGGCCGTGGAGGGTGCTTTCCCACGAGGCTCTGCCCCTTGTGCTTGGGTATACTGTGGATATCCTGTGCGGGACCTTTGCTGTATGAACCTATCAAAGTGCTCTGTCAGGTTATCCAGGTTCCGGCAACTGAATCCCCCACATGCTACTGAGTTCTTCTACCTGTAGTTGTTGCACCCCGGGTAGCCGACCCGGCCTATCAGCTAGAGCTCGAGGTCTCGCTTCTTCGCTTGTCACAACTTTCTGAACCCTGCTATCGACGGTGTCCCAGCGACGATGTTCGTTCTGTGGGCTCAGCCCCCAAAAAGTTTTTCGGTAATCATATTACACCATCGTGCATGCACGTGGAAAACATGCTAGTCGGTACCAAACTTGGCTTGCCTCTGTTACCAGGCTGGGCCGGACTCCATACGTAACGGGGCCGACGCTGGCTTACAGAGATGTATGCTGCTTCCACACATGTTCTAAAGAAAGTATTCGAAGCATGCGGCGACCGAGACTTGGGGGTTGCGTCTTTCTCTCCCACTTTGGGGGAACACAGAGAGTCAATCACCTCATGTATATAACAGGCCAGACTTGATCATGAACAAGCCGTCCTTGCTAGCAATCTGTGCAAAGTGTCTACTACCACCACAACATAGAAACACCTTCAAGTGTATATTTTGGACTTGGTAGCTATCTCGAATCCCACAGCAACGAACATCCAGCACCAATCAAAGCAAGATGTCGACGACGGCCTCCCTCAGCTCAGGGTAAGAACTCGCACCCAATCCCCCCAACCTGGTGACAATCCTTGCTGACAGCACTCTATAAAATTGCAGGCAAAGCCCGGCGAAGCCAGACCACAAGTTCTCGACCAGTATCAGCACTAGCACCGGGAAGTCCCTCTCCTCTCAGCGTCTCAGCGCCTATAGCACGGAGCCGCCGTCGTCCGGGTACCGCACCGTCATGCTGTCGGAGCGGCCCGCCTCTGCGTCCTACGCTACGCAGCAGGCTCGGAGCAGAGCGAGCGCCCAGCTGGACGCATTCACGACGCAGTTTCGCGGCAACTAGTCTCGCCGGCGGGCCTTGTACCAACACCTATGTACTCTATTTAAGACGGTGAAAGGAAAGGGTGGGGATGTAAGACTTTGAGGTCTTAGGGAGAGAGAGAGAGAGAGAGAGAGAGAGAGAGGATGTCTGAGTAAAGTTCCAACTGTAACACCAACTGTATTCGAGGCTTTTTCATGTACTTTACTTTTGAGAAGTTGCGGGGATATATAAAACGTGCATAGAATCTGATTTCTCTCAACGTCCATCATTGTGGCTAGTTGCAAAAGACTCAAGCCCATCTTAGCCGTAGGGTACCGCCCATGGCCGCCTAATTCTACTATAATACATGCTGATGGATCACACACAGAGTTCTCTCTGCATCCATGACAACATTCACCGGAGTCAGATCCCCAAGCGGTGTAAGATGCAGCTTACCGCGAACTACGTTGACTTCCTGATCGACTGAGCGCTGATATGCTAGATCGGCGATCTTTTTTGGTCGGAGACAGAGATCTTCTGATGCGTCTTCCGATTGATTTGAACCAGTCACGGCCGCGCTCTCGTACTCTATGGTCTTGGCAGATGCGGTCTCGGTTGAATTGCTTCGTCTTCTCCATGAAGTTCAAGATCTGGTCCACCTTGGTCTTTGTATGACCCCAATCTCCTCCAAGCTCAGCCAAAGCTGCCGTAACATAACGCATGGGTCGGTAGAAACGTGGACCTTGAGACTCGCTCGGAATGAGCAGAAAGCCACCGGCGACGAGAGCGAACCAAATTTCCCGAAACTTTTCCTTGTGTTTCGGTACTTTGCTACTCATTGTGTCGTTCCATTTTTCCTCGTCCCATGTGATGCAAATCTCATTGCTCGGCGTCGGAAGGTTGTATGTCGCGATAATGTGGTCTGCGAGGAGAGCGAACTCCCAACGAAACTGAATCGTGTTGATGACTTCGAACCCTCTTTCGGCACATGTCTCTTCGGCACATTTCTCTTGATCTCCCACCCAGTGTCGCAACAACGATGCAAGTGGGACGTTTTGCGCTTGTGTCCAATCTCCTGGACAAGTGTTGAGAAAGATGCGCGCCATCTCTTTCACGCGACCTCGGTAGATGCATGCCGTCATGTCTTCCAGAGTTTCTTGTTCATGAGCCACACCTCCAGTTTTTGATGAGTGTGTCTCTCCGGAGAAGAAAGGGTTTCCTGGATGAGGATCCTTGAGTGCCTTGGTATCTGCAGGGCCGACATAGGGGATAACCTGCAGTTGTGACCACCTTTTTTCAAACGCAATCAAAGGTACACCGGTTCTGTTGGTCCAAGAATACTCCCACTGGTCATCTTGCGCACTGAAAGTGAATTCCTGCTGCTTCCATAGACGGGTGACACGACTACCACAGACATCGAGTATTGTGTTACAGAAGGCATTGTATGTCTCAACTTGAATGTCGGTCGGTTCATCCGGTTGAAGATGGTCATCTGTTGAGATCTCGAGATCTTGCATGCTTTGTGTCATATCCTGGCTTCCTTCTGTTGATAGCAGCGGACTCGAAACGCCACACAACGTCTCAAACACTGTGCTGGCAAAAATAGAGCCACATGCGCGGCCGACACTGTGAGACGGTGGCCAAGCGTTGGATGTCGAAAGTTCGCTGGCTGCCGTAAGTGCTGTGCGGTTCAAGTCTGGTGTGATAGCCCAACCTCCTGAAAAACAGGCATTTGTCATCAAGCAAACTTGGACTCCTGGTTCAAGGACCCCCTTGAGCTGTTGAAGACGCAAGCCCTTGCTCCTATTGCCATTGTCCAGAAGCATCTCGAATGATTCAAGGCCATGACAAAAAACAAGGAGCAGCAGAGGGGAGTTATTGTATTTAGCCTTTTCCGACTCGATTCGAGCCTCTTCAAGGAAGCGACGTATCATGTCCGTGGTTTTGACCAAAGTCACAGGCGATAGTTGATCTTGATCGAGCATTTCTTGACTCAACACGACCTTACGATCTTGGTAAGGATTCCCATGAAGGAATGGACCATATTTCTCCAGAAGCTTCACAGGATCCTATGATATGTCAGTGCTACGAATGTCAAGGCAGGTGGGTTAGAAGAAACATACAGCTGCGGTCAACCACTTCTGAGATGAACCGAGGCCTTTCAACATATAGTTGAAGGCATAGAAATCGGAAAGGAACCAGCCATCTTGATGTATTGGATCAGCTTTGGCAATGTTGGGGTGTGTCACAGCCAGAATGCGCGTGTTCTCGTGAATGATGGGGGGTGTCGTGGTGATGAATGTGGACGGATATCTGTCTGGATATCGTAGGTGACCACCTTCCACCAGCGGCTGAGTGTTGGAAGACATTGCTGCAGATATCTCACGGGAACGCGCGGAGGAGGAGGAAATGAGTACTTCGTTGATGAAGAACAGTGATGAGTAGAATTAATATACAACGGCTTTCAGTGATGTCGTGTACTGACGGAGGGAAAGCACGCAACAGACAGTTGTGACGGAACGGAGTTTTGTATTGATTATTTCGCAGATATCTGGCTGATCGGAGAAAGCTTGCAGATTAGCATTTGCTTCTGTGTCGGGTAATGAGCAGGAAACCACAGTGCTTGCATTGACCATGCGCTTTACACCTCAACTGCCTCCTCCCTGGACCATCATAGTTGAGCAGGTTGCCATGTGGGCTGGGCAGGTTAGAACTGAACCTTACTGGCCGCCAACATCAACCATGACCCACGTTCGTAGGCACGCCCAAGAATACTGAAAGTATGTAAGTACACATAAGTGGTAAGTGCCTTGGCTATTTGGAGGGCAGAAAGTCATTTCGTAATTGGCAGCTCACATGTGAGTAGGAAATTGTTGTTTGGTATATGCAATGTCTTAATATTCTAGTGGGGTATCTCATCAACTAATGTACATGTATATAATCTTCCGACTCGTCTTGCTCCGGCCAGAAGACAGTTCCGGGGCCGATTTTCCAGTCCGGACGGTCTTCCAGAGCCTTGGTGACAAATGTATTGTGGCGCCTCATATGCCTCAAGTCGAACTCACGCATCCGTCGCTGCAGCTCCTCGAGGGGAGGAAGGATCTCACTGCCCCAGGCTTCATCAAGCATTGCTTTCATTTGAGGGAGAGAGAAGGCGGTGGGGGCCGATCGCCTGATGGTGTGCAGCCTGCCCTTTGTCCCAGGTGTGCTGCCGTAAATCTCAGAGAGGCGAATTATCAACGTCTTTTGGAGCTTTGACAGGGGAACGTTCACCCCACAGTCATGCAGCTTGCGAAGCACTACGAGCGCCTTTTCAATGTCGTGTTGCACGGGCTTTGCCGTCCGATTCGATCCACTTCTCAGCAGAGGAGTAGACGGTAGGCGCCGATGAATTCTGCGAAAGGCCCAACGGACGAACTCAGACTGCCACCGAGCGTTGAAAATTTGACTTAGAGGATGTAGGAGGGAGAACCTCGGAGTATCCAGCGGGATGTAGAGTCCAATCAGGTTGCTTACTCCCTTCAATGGGAGCACCATGGGTTCAGGCACATCTTGCCAATGGACCGGCATAAAACCCGAACGCGCTGACTGCCTGGTGCTATAGTAGTCCACCAGCTCGTTGGTAAGTGCGCATAGTTGGTCAATCTGGCCGACCCGACCAAGCTGGTACATGATCTTTCTCCAGCGCGTAGCCGGGACCGGGACATCGACAGCTATCAGCCTGCGGCATAACGCAACGCAGAACAACAGTTCTTCCCGCGGGAGGTCGAATGGAGGATGCAACCTTACATTCTCGCCAATGTATTGATAGATGGAGTTGCAGGTTGAGACATTGAAGGCCACTTCAGCCCCTCGCATGTCGTCGATGAGGCGCAGGACCGGGCCGTGATCCTTTCGACGCAAGTAGAACAGCACCAGTTTGTTGGCCATATCTCGACTAGCCTTTTCGGCTTGTGCGAGCCTCGAAGCTAGGAGTAAAGTATAAGTTCGCAAATCTCCTGATGCGGCACTTGATTCCATCAGGCTGGTCAACATCACGGGGTCGCCGAAAGTCGATGGATCCAGATCGACATCCAAGAGATCAGAGAGTAGCTCGTTGTCCCGCACTGTCGCAAACTTTACGACGGTCGTCGCAAAAGCGGATCCTGGGATGTTGACGCCCATGCTTTGAAGCTGCGAGATCCGGCTGAGGATGCCCTCTGGAGTTCTCTCTCTCTGACAGATAGACCGCAGAGACAGCGTACCAATCTTCTTGACACCAAGCGCAGCCACCACGGATATGGCTGTGTCCAGACTGACCCAAGTGCTGCCAAACCACCGTGATCCCAGATGATCATTGTAGGACTTGGCCGGAAAGCCAAATGTCTTTCCGAGAACGGAGTTCATGTACTCTCGAGATACCGGCGGCTGGATGTTACCTCCGTCCAAGGTAGGTGCAGGGATAGACTCCTTTAAAGCAGCACTTTCCCAAGGGTGCAGCTTTACATTTGGCCAGTAGCCTTGATACCACCTCAAAAACTGCCTGGAGGGCGCATGGAATAGGGGTACATCGTCGAACTTGACGCAGGTCTTGCGCCACTGGACAGCCAGCGAGGCTTCACCACGGTCGTAGAGGTATGGCACGATGAGGTCGTAGAGGCGGCGCTCAGGACTTGCTATGTACAGAGACTGAAGGGTGTATGCAGAGGCGATGACATGGTCAGTGGCAAAATGGCGTATCAAATCAACGAATGCGCGCGAGCCCGGGTAGTAGTTGGGTGTGAGGCGAATGTGCCACTTCAAGACCTGGGCGTGCTGATGGGTGCGCAGGTAATAGGACAAGATAGTGGTGTATAGATTGGGCCATTCGGACCCATGGATGTCGAGCATCCACTCGGCATAGATGTATACGCTGTGCAGAAACTTGTCGTCGTCCAAGCGGAGGGCCGACTCCAGGATGGTCTGCCAGAAGATCTGGTCGGGCAGGTCGTCGGTCTTCCACAGTGACTTGCGTCCCCAGAAGGCATTCCATAGCTTCTGCACACCCCGATCACCTCGGGTCCTCTGGAGATGCTGCAAAAGGCAACTCCACAGCTTCAGGTCACCGTGATTGCCCAGGACATCGACAAGCAGCTGCTGTCCCCACTTCCGAGCAGGCCCCTCTCGATCAAAGTCGGTCTCAACAGCGAGACGATGAGGATTGTCGAGCAAGATCCGCCACTTGCCAAACGAGGCAGCATCCTGTACGTAGGACTTGGGCAGGTCCTGGCGCCGAGGGGCCAGGGGCGCGGTAGATATCGAGGTGGTATCAGCTCCGGACGGCGGGACCAGATGGGCGTTGACATGTGCGGCAATGGCAATGGATCGAACGCGATCCAGCCGGGGCTCGGCCAGCCATGTCGGCAAAGCAAGAGTCGTCGTCGCAAACGGGGTCAAACTCGGCCGGGTGACGAGGCGCGCAAGCTTCACATCTCGAAAGGGCCAATTCACCGGTCGCATTACTGCGCCCAGTCACTTCCCGGCAGACTAATCAGAGGGGCGCCGAGGCTGTATCATCGCATGCGCAGACGGCCAGACATGAGGCACGGGGGTTGATGGTAGTCGGAGACGGACAGGCAAAGATCGTTGATACAGAATCCCGCGACTCCAAAGGGGAAAAAAAGTGTCTAAAAATCCGATAGCTACTGTAGCTGACTGGCCTCGTAAAAGCCGACAGACGTCAACGGGCCCTTGACGTCTAGCGGCTAGGTAGGTAACTAGGCCTTCCCCCAGGCTGGCCAAGGTACGTAATACTCCCCGTAAGTTGGGTACACAGTACTCCGTAGGCACAGTAGGCTTTGCTTTCCCGAGCTCACTACTGGGCCAAGGCAAAATCTCGGGCTAGACAGCTTAGTCATTTTACAGTGGGTCGCATCCGCATCGTTCGACCAACGTCAATTGTCGACTGAAAGACCTCGGATTGCTTCAATCAAAGCTTCATCCTAGAGCTCACCACCACCGCCCCCGACTACCAGACCTCGCCCAATCTCCTCTCACCAGCCTTCACAATGGGGTAAGTCTCCCGCCCGGCCGGATTGGCCTGACCTGCCAGCTCCCCGACGCCCCCCGTGGCCCGTCCGACGGTCCACCTCGTGCCGCCTCGTGCCATCCCCGACCGACACCAGCACCCCGTGTCTTGTCTCCCCCGACGGCTGGCTAACCGGACCTCTCTCTCTGCAGTCTCGTCGACGCCCCCAACAAGGTGCCCCACCACCAGAAGTTCTACCAGAACGCCTACAACCAGCACATCCGTCTCTGGAGAATCGTACGTTGGACCCAGCCGCCGTGGCGCGCCGCGGCAGGACGGCCGAGTTAACAAATATGACGCAGGGCACCCGCAGCAGCGTTCTCTTCCTCCCCTACCAGGTCCTGCTCTGGGGCACCTTCGGTGGTATGTCCGAGCGCACTGATCCGAGCCTGGCCGACGATGCTAATGCGCGATTATAGCTTCCATGTACATGATGGGCCGCAAGGTCATGGGCCACAACACCTGGTTCGGCAAGGATTAAACGAGAACAGCACGATTGGGGGCTTTGTACAGGCGGGGGACCGTTGGAACCAAAAGCAGGAGGCGAGGGGTGTGTCGATAGAGTGACTGAATAGACAGGCATTTCACACGAATGACAGCATCTCCTTTGTCACCCTATATGTCTACGTCTGTTTCAGTCTCATCGGGCAGTTGCATGCATGTTCTTGGCCGTTTGACACGGGCCGTTTTTGTAAACCAATCCGTGTCTTCATTACGCCGCAGGTACCAGATATCCTCTCAACCAAACGCGAGCGAGTCTACATTACAAGGGGGTAGGCCGGTTCTCGACCAGGGAAGCTGAGCTGCTACCATCTGGGTGAGGCCAACCAGTGGGAGATCCAGAGCCAGTCTTCTTCTTCTCAATATGTGCAAAGATGGTGTGCTTGCTTTAGATGCCCTCGGCTCCGGGAGCCTTCTCGTCCTTCCGCAGGGTCATGAGCATTTCGCGGAATCGCTCCTTGCCGGAGCCGCTGGCACCACCCTTCTGGCCCTTGCCGCTGATGTCGACCAGCTTAGCGATGCGCTCCCAGCTCGTGCCGCCCGAGACCGTGTCCTCGCGGCTGGCGAGGAACTGCTCGGCGTCCTTCTGGGTCTGGGCGATGCCCTTGTCCTTCTTGTTGTTGTAGTTCTCGTAGAAGTCGTCAATGTTCTGCTGTGCCTCCTTGACGGTCTCGGCCTTCTGCTGGGCGAACTGCTCGGCGCGCTTGGCGTTGGCCGCGTCTCTCTTCTCGCGCCACTCCCTGATGACCTCTGGCTCCTGCTCGTCCTCGACCTGTGCGCCGTAGCCCGAGTTGTAGCTGACCGAGGGCCCTGTGATCGCGCCGCCGGGTGCTACTTGCTGTAGTCTGTGTGTTAGCATTGTCGCCCCGTCTCCCCTCATGTCGCATGGCTGCCTACCTCGTTGCCGCTGTTCAGGTCGGGGAATTGGCTCTGGAACTGTGCCGTCTCGGTGCTCGCCTCGCCTCCGCCAAGAAGGTCGTCATCGCCGCCCTCTGCGAAGGCGGCCGCATCTTCGCTGGTCGCGAACTGTGTGGCGTCGTCGCCCAGGAGGGCTCGTTCGCGGGCGAGGAAGTCGTCAGCGGAGGGGGAGCCGGCCTCCTTGATGTCGGTCTGAGCTACGTCGGCGAGAGTCAGCTAAAAGGGCGCCCATGGTGGTTGGCTCGGCGGCAGGTCTTACCTCCTGAATCGAAGTCGTCCAGAGATGGGAATCGGTCGGCCATTGTGAAAGTAGTCTAGATGCAATAAGGATAGTTGTGTCAAGAACGGTGTTCCCAGGGGGCGAAGGTTCGAAGCGGTGTCTGGGGTCGTTGTGTGATGTGAAATGTGATGGTAGTGTACTCTTGGTCGCAGCACAGCTGTCTAGTTGGATGGCCTGGCTAGAGGTCGAGATGGGCGCTGGTCGCAAGGCAAGGCCACTATGCAGGTCCCACAGGCGCTGGTTTGGCTGGGGCTACAGCGGGCTCTCAGTCTCTCACTGGCCTCACATCCTGGGACCTCTAGAGCACTTGGGCACCTGGCCAGCATGGAAATCGGCGGACAGGGGGTCCTCGGGCTAGGGAGCCTTCTGCGGGCCGGGCATTAATGCGTCCACCCATGATTGGCTGTGGGGGGCTCCCAACCCATGGCAACCCAGCAGCCACGTCCATCAGTTCAGCTACTTGTTTGAAGCTCCTCAGAGCTCCCGCCGCGCAACCAAGTTCGACCAAGCAAGCAATCCTCCTCGACCTGACCCAATCCTCCGCATCATCAGATTCCTGTCCGATGCGTTTGTGAAGTTGGCCGGCGACGACCAGGGACTGCTACTCCATCTCAACTGCACTAGGCATTTGCGACCGCTGTTTTTCTTCTGGGCGCATTGTGGACGGCCAACATCGGGAATAGCTAGACTGAGTGCCCTCTGAGTGCTCTGCCCAGCTCAACACTGTTGCTGCTCCACCCTCTGTCGTAGATGAGATTCTGAACTTGAGAGTAAACAAACGCCAAACCCAAGTGACAACGCCGACCAACAGCAACATCCGCGCAAACTGGGGCCCAAGCCGCAATCGCGCTCGCCTTTGCCTCCAGCAAAGAACGTGTGAGCTGGTCACTTTGCTCTGCACAACACATAAGCGGCTCACCAAACCAGAAATACCCATCCAGCCAGCCGGATATATAACAACTGTCCAAGCACACGCTCTCAACATGTCGTACACCGATGATGCCGTGCTTGCGAAGCTCTCGACCCTGGCCGAGACCCAGGACAGCATAGTCACCGTGGCTCAGTGGATTATGTTTCACAGGTAGGTCACCACCCTCAGTGCCAACGTCACAAATCTTCTGCCGAAGAAATCTACCAAGATGAACGACTGACTGCTTGCGCCAGGCGACATGCGGACCGCACTGTGCAGATCTGGCTGCAGCGACTCAAGGACTCGACCAGCCACAAGAGACTCAACCTCATCTATCTAGCCAACGGTAAGATACTGCCCCTCCTCATCAGAGCACTTCACCACCGGAGTCGTCGAGGCTAACTTGCTCTCGACATAGAGGTTTGCCAGCAATCAAAAGCCCGCCACAAGGAGGACTTCCTGGTGGCCTTCTCGCCGTGCATTGCTGAAGCTGCCGCTACTGCATACAAGGGTGCCCCCCAAGACATCCAGCACAGAATCAGAAGGGTCATCGACGTCTGGAAGGAGAGAAGCGTCTTCGAAGAACCAATTCAGGCTGCCATTGAAGCCCGCATCCAAGGTGAACCCCTTCCGCATCATCGCAAAGTAGATAATCACTAACAAAATGTAGACCTTGACAAGGTCCGAGGAAGTGTCAAGCCTGGTTTTGGCGGCGCCATTTTTGGAGGCTCATCGTCACTCCCCTCCGAGCTAGCGTCCCTTGCTACACCCCAGCAGAATGTGACAAAGACTCAGCTATCAGCCAAGACATCCATCAGTACTGCAAATCAGGACTACGACAAGTTGATGACACCAGGCGTCGATGTCCCGTCCGCCCCGGTCTATGCGGCTAGGTTGAATGGGCTTCTGAAGACCTTAGCTACGGCCGAAGGTGCCGTTGAACAGTCTGTCAAGGCCCGAAAGGCGCTCGTCGGGGAGCTGCAGAAGATCCTAGACATCAACAAGAAGGCTCTGGCTGCGGACGAGGGGCAACTAGCAACCTTCAAGAACCGCAAAGTCGAAGCCGACAACAAGAAGCGGGACGTCGAATTTTCCATCATGCAGGGGTTGTCCGACCAAGATGCATCAGGCCCGAATGGGGCCCCTGACCATTCAGCCCCTGAGCCAGACATGCCAGAAGTTGAGGCCCTGACGCCACCGTCCATGGGAGCCGACGAGCCCCAAGCGGGCGAGGCCGCAGATGACGAAGCGCAGTGGTCTTCTGAGATCCCGACGGATACTACTGCTCAGCAAGCTTCGGGATCTGAGGTGCCTGCAAACCTGGCAACTCATTACAACTCCCTGCCGACTACTTTGAATGGTTCTAAGAGACGGCGGCTTGATTCTGGCGACGATTTCCCAGACTTGGGAGGCGACGATGGAATCGATGCCGATGTGGCCGAAATGCTCCGCAGAGATAGTAGCGGAGGAGCTTAATGCCATTGTACGCCTGAAGCATATGGTCGATATAAAGAAAAACTGGAGGCGGGGATTAGGATTGTCAGTGTAATTGGTCCGGCGACGTCTACAGCCAACTGATCGGCATGTCATCAGCAAATGGCAATCTATAAGATAAGATAATCGTCGCTAAACAAATCAACAAAACACCACATCAAGAGAAAACAAGACCTGTGAAACATTATTTACGTGGCTGTTGTTCTCCATAGTTCAATATTGCTGCACTGAATCCTGCCTGGCAAACTCTTGTAATGATCAAGTACGTTATGTGTCTCATTGGACGTGTACCCGTCCGAGGACAGATACTGCGAACAATCATCAACGTGCTCATTATGAAAAGACTGGGTAAGCCTGGATATCGACATAAAGTCCAACATTTTAATTGATTGCTATTGATAACTCTGCCGTTTCAGGAGTTATCGGATCTTACTGGTGTTAGCATCACAACTTCTTGCGATTGCAATGCACGATGTCAGCTGATGAGCGGTGTGCCCGTTATCTGGTCAACAACTCGGCAAAGTGAACTCCAGCGTTGCATGAATAATCGCGCAGACCGCAGCAGCGATTGCCACGACAAAAGACCTTTCCAGAACCGAAGCAATTGCGAAATGACTCTACAGCGGATGTAAGTGTTAGTCGCGGACCACGATTTTCAAACCTTTCTGACTTTTCTGTAGTGATCCAGCATTGGTAGACGCTCTACGCGCCATCGCGAAGTCCCGTGGTTTCTCCTTGAACGCTCGAGACGAATCAGGCTACGTCGCACTTACACGAAATGCCCAAGCCTCCGTTGAGTTCCTCTTGAATCTACCGGATTATAACGATCCAAGACTGGTTCCCCCAGTGGACAACCAAGGACGGGCATATTCTCGGCCGAAGGCATCAGAGAATCCACTGAATGCGTGGAGCCACAAGGTATTCGGATATAGATCAATGAACCTGCCTTGCTTCGCGACTAAGTTATAAACAGACAAACATCACTGCTTCAGTCCCGGCAGATGGGCTGGGTCTGCTCATGGGCAGAACTATCGCTATCAAGGACAACATGCGAGTGGCGGGAGTTCCACTGACAGATGGAACGCAACCATTTCATTTGAGTGAAGACAAACCGTATCCTATTCCACAGTTGGATGCTACTATTGTCTCACGAGTGCTCGATGCTGGCGCTACAATCACGGGAACGTCAACCTGCGAGAATTATTGCATGTCGGCTATGTCGTGCACAAGCGCTACTGGCCCAGTGCAAAACCCTTGGCTCAGTGGTTACACATCTGGAGGGAGTAGTAGCGGGAACGCTGCTCTCTTGGCCATTCATGCCGTGCAAAGGTGGCGTGAAGAGCGCAATCTTCCTCCAGCAAACCATCTTGGAGAAGGCGTAGACCTGGCTCTGGGAGCAGATCAAGGAGGGAGCATCAGACTTGTTAGTCATTATCTGTTCACCCCTTCCATTCACACGCTTACACAGGTACAATAGCCTGCAGCTTACTGTGGAGTGTATGGTCTCAAGCCAACCTTGGGTCTCGTGCCGTACACCGGCATCGAAGGTTTGCATCCCTTGTGCGACCATGCCGGGCCGATGGCCAGCTCGGTCCGAGATACTGCGCTCCTACTATCCGTAATCGCTGGATACGATGGCTTTGATCCACGAATGACGCCTGAGTCTCCTCTCCGGGAGCGCGTGCCTCAGTACCACGCCCTGCTTGACGCTGAAATCGCAGCACGGACTGTGGCAGAGACTTGGTCTCCGACAAGCGCCGCCAAAGGTCTACGCGTCGGTATACTGCAAGAGTCCTTCGACATACCCAATCTCGACCCAGAAGTAGCATCTATCATCCGTACGGCAGCATCCCGCTTCGCTGAACTCGGTGGTATCGTCGAGGAGGTTTCTATCCCGCAACATGCTTATGCCCCTCACACATTTTCTGCCGCCGTGGGTTTGCACGCAGCGGACACGTTCCTCAACCCAGCGCCAAGTGCTCTTTCGTACCCCTTTTCGACAGCCGCACCGTCCCAAAACCAACATTGGTACGACAACCTGACGGCCAGCAACCCGCAGGCTGTACACATATTCCTGACCGGCCTGTACCTACAGGATCGCCAGCGCTGCCCCGAAAGCGTGCGCGCAAAGGTGCTGAGCCACGTGCACGAGCTACGCGCCGCGTACGACGAGGCGCTGGCCAGGTTCGACGTGCTCATCACGCCGGCAAATCCGACTCCGGGCGTCAAGCATGCGGAGCAAGGACTAGGCGTCAAGGACAAGGCGGACTTCTTGCTGAGTAACACCCTGAATACTTGCCCGTTCAACGTCTCGGGACACCCAGCTCTGGTGATCCCGGTCGGCTGGGGAGCGGTGAAGGGCGAAGAGGACGCTCGGTTGCCAGTTGGAATGCAAATAGTGGGACGGCGATGGGGCGAGGAGACTTTGTTCTTGGCGGCTGCGGCATGGGAGGTTCTTGGAAAGGGACTTGATGGGGTAAGGACTTAGACGAACTTTACAGTGTCAGGCTTTGGGCCAAGTAGACACACGGTGCTTGACACTATTTGAGAAACGAGTCTTTTCACTCCTTTAATCGTACTTTGCCTGCGCCATCTGAACCTGCAACCCTTCAATGTCAAAAACCACATATGCGCTTCTGATGAAGGTAGCCCCAAGCAAGAGTATCTCGCTGTTCGCCGAAGCGTTCACCCCTAGATAGCACAGTTCTGCCCCGAAGTCGTCCCGGACCTCGCCAATATTCGCGGGCAGACCGAAGGGGTATACAATCTCCCCGAACGGCACCGAGATCTGCGGTCCCGAGCTCCCCTCCCCAAAGCCGAGTCTTAGTGTCTCACTGGAATTTCTCACCGTGCACGGAACGTAGGAGAATTCCCCGCGTGGTTGGGCTCCTGTTATCTTCGCAACGCTCTCGTATAAGAAGCTCGGCAGGTACATGTTTGGAGCCGCGGTGTCCAAGATCACGCTGGCACTCCAGCCCTCTTCCGTCCAGCTCTCGCCACGACCTTCACCGTCCGAGTACGCGACGGATGTCAAGCTGATATTCCACGATGTCCAATTGCCTTGCGGGTTCAGGTTCAGTGGGACACTCTTCAGGTCTCCATAATACTTGGTGTCATCGATCCCGCCAAACTCAATCGTACCCGCCGCTGCGGACTGCTGGTTGAGCCAAACACTGAAGAGCCGCCGGGGGCTGTATCCCTCCAGATACAGCTGCTCCCAGAGCGTGGGGACCAAGCCGCTGGCCTTCCCAAAGACCGGGCTTTTCGGGTAGTTGTATAGGGATTCCTGGAATGGCGACCCGAGCCCGATGATGCCCCAGATTCCCGCGTCGAACAGAGCGGGCGGGAAATTAGCTGTGGCAACCTGCTCAGAAGTTCTCGTCAGTCCTGATTATACGTAGAATAGATGGTGGAGGAGGGAACTGGGCAATTGCTTCACTCACGGTCATGTTCGGAATGGAAAGCCCTCCGACCTCAACGGAGTCGCTGAAATATGCGCCCTCGGCCGTAGTTTCTGGCGATGGCACCACGCCGAAGATGGCGTTATATGGTGTACCCAAAGCTCTCGAGCTCTGAGAATCGGCAGGGTCGTATGAGCCCGGCGGACATGCTTCTGGGGCGCAGCCTGTCGAGTTCGGCAAGGGTAGCAAGAAATCGGCGCTTGCTGTGTCTATGATGAGGGAGAAGGGCTGCGGTGGCGTACCCACGGTCACGTTCAGGAGATATCGCTTGGGGCAGGGTCAGCGATGTTGGTTCGTAACATGTAGGCTACTATAAAAAGGAGACGATTCCAGGTAACTCACCTGGTGCGGCAGGTCATTGGAAACAGCCAAAGAAACACCCCTCTCTGGGCAATAGCTAGACACTCCTTTGGCCACCGCGGACATGCAGAATAAAGTTGACCCTCTCATTGTATCCCACGACGCTTTGGATTCCAGTGAATATGTCCAGAATCAGACATCTTGCTTCCCCGAGCAGTATATAATTATAGCAGTTGGTATCTGCCCCTAGGCACGCTCGGTTCCGAAATGTGGTAGGGCTCAGGTACCCAAGGTCGAATGCGGGGAACCAAGGTCTATGCAGTATGCAGTATGCAGGATGCAGGAACTAAAGAGGCAAGTCTGGTAGACTAGAGTCGGACCGACGCATCGTTGCGTTCAACCTACCCCAATACACCCGAGGAGGATCTGAATCCTGGCCGATCAGCTGGTCGGGTGTACATATGTCCGCCGTTCGAACCCCTGTCAATGACATATACTGTCTCGCTAGGGCTGAACGAGGCAGCCTTGATATTCTGCAGGGAAATCGTCCAATGTTTCATCTGTGAGAAAGTTTCATGTTTGCAGCATGTTGGCCGGAAAGTTCTTTGTTCGGGAAAGTAATTCGTGTTACCAGCTCGTTCTTTGTATATATCATGCTGAGAGGTGGTGCAAAACAGAGCGCACACTCTATTTCCTCATACATCAGTCCAATACGCGCCATACCTACCGTGTTTATGGTGAATTAAGGTCCATGCTGGTTTATTGATACCAGAATTGTTGTCGATAAACCCATAGTTTTGGCCAGGCTGTGTGCGCCATTTCGTGAGGGCGGGTTTGTTCAAATCACAAGCTATAGACGAGTATGTGCGAAGAACGTGGCGCACTGTGCACTATATAAGCTTCAACAGCACAGCTTCCTCCTTGATTCCCAACTGAAAATATGAGGATAACTGAGATGCGAACTTTTCAAGACAGATTAAATGTAATTAATTGTGTGCCATCAGGCCAGAAAAACCCTCTGAAATCCAAGTGCCAAAGTATGGCTTCTTAAGCCTGCTAGAAGGTCAAACTATATGCAGAAGAGTATTTTATGCTTCAAGTGCTAGTGCCATGATGACCAACTCATCTGTAAAGGGTTCCCTTCATTACTGCCTTTTGCCTAAGCTGTTGTCTCCCGCAGCAACAGGTGTGCGACGCAGCAACCGGCTTCGGAAATCGGATACCTGAATAATCTGTAGCTGTGCTTACATAATACGCGTGAGAAATCAACCGGGTCGCGTTTCGCGCCTCGGTAAAGCGGTAGTGCCCTGCCCCTTCCGGCCATGTTCGGTGATGACGGAACCGATTTGTTAGCAATTCCAGAAAAAGACTCCTGGTCAGACAGCTCGCCCTGCCGCAGCGAACGTGAGCGACCAGTCCCCGAACCTGTCCCAGACAATGCGATCGCATAGAACTACTCGCGCAACCCCACGAGTGACTTTGCGCCCTCGATAAAGCCTCCCAAGCATGGCGGCAACAGCCGTGGTGCGACGCGCCCTGCTCCCGCGTGGCAGCGGCGCAACCCTCGGAAGCTTGCACCAGCAAGCTCCCGGTCTTCTGGCCCACGATGGAGTCGCTGCAGTGAGAGCCTCGTTCCAGAGAGGATTGTCGACCCTTCCGACCCGTTCTTTCTGGAAGGCCTTGCCACAAGCTTACACCAGACGATCCCCGCAGCACACTGTCACCCCCCTCTCAGAATTTCGAGCATCGCAATACTTCTCGGTATGGGGCTCTCCAGCTGCTACACTTCGCCAACTCTCGACGAGCAGGGCGGTACAGCAAGATGGCAGCAAGTCCATTGATCAGAAGGCTGAACCCGTTCTGGCGAGACAGCCTAAGCCGACTGGCGGTGTTGTGCCCAAAGACATCCCGGCGGATCCGTCTGCGCTGCCATCGGAATTTCGCCTCAGCGAGAAGGGAAGACAGGCTGCCCAGGTGAACTACAGGGCCCGCCTTTCCAAGGAAAAGGACACGAAGAAGAAGGCATTCTGGGAAAGCTCAGGCGAGCTTACGCGCCTCTTGAAGCTCGCCCGCCCAGAGCTGAAGTATCTCGGACTAGCTATGGTCTTCCTTCTCATGTCGAGCACAGTCACCATGTCGATTCCGTATATTGTTGGAAAAGTCATGGATGCAGCCACTCAAGAATCGATGGAGAGCGCAAGAATCTTTGGGTTGACCCTTCACCAGTTCTTTGCTGGGTTTGCTGTCATGCTTACCATTGGTGCAAGCGCCAACTTCGGTCGGATCATTGTATTGCGCATCATTGGCGAGCGTGTCGTCGCTCGACTACGAGCATCACTGTACAAGAAGACCTTCCTCCAGGACGCTGAGTTCTTCGACGCAAACCGCACCGGTGACTTGATCTCCAGACTGAGTGCGGACGCGATCATCGTTGGCAAGAGTATTACACAGAATGTTTCTGACGGACTGAGGTCGGTCATTAGCGGTGCTGTAGGACTCAGTGCGATGGCGTACATGAGCCCTGGTCTTAGTAGTATCATTCTCTTCGCCGCTCCCGTCATCGGAGTGATCACCTTTGGGTACGCTCGCGTCATCAAGAGGATCAGCCGAGATATCCAGAAGAACGTCGGAACTCTCACAAAGATTGCAGAAGAGCGCCTGGGCAATGTCAAGACCAGTCAAGCTTTCACCGGAGAACGTCAAGAGCTTCATCGTTACAGCAGGCAGATCCGACGAATTTTTGACCTGGGCGTCAAGGACTCCACGTACACCGCCATGTACTTCGGCTCTACTGGCTGGATGGGCAACATGACGATTCTGGCCATGCTTTGGTTTGGAGGTGGCTATGTGCGGGATGGGCTTCTGTCTCTTGGTGACCTGACATCATTCATGATGTATGCCGCATTCGCCGGTAGCAGTCTGGGTGGCTTGAGCGGCTTCTTCACCGAGCTCATGAAAGGTGTTGGAGCTGCTAGCAGACTGTTCGAGTTGCAGGACAGGCAGACTACTATCTCGCCAACGAAGGGTGTGAAAGTGGTATCAGCTCGCGGGCCTGTCGTTTTCGACAAGGTGTCGTTTGCTTATCCCACCCGCCCAGCTGTGCCTATCTTCACAGAGCTCAACTTCACAATTCCTTCGGGCAGCAACGTCTGCATCGTCGGACCGTCTGGAGGAGGCAAGTCTACAGTCGCGTCTCTGCTGTTGAGATACTACAACCCAACGAGTGGAACGATCTCGATTAGTGGTCAGGACATCACAAAGATGAATGCCAAATCGCTTCGCCGACGGATCGGCGTGGTATCCCAGGAACCCGTTCTATTCTCCGGTTCCGTTAAGGAAAACATTGCATATGGTCGCCCCGAGGCTACAGACATGGAAGTGTTCCAGGCGGCTCAAGAGGCCAACTGCCAGTTCATCAAAGACTTCCCCGACGGCATGGAAACGCAAGTTGGCCCTAGAGGTGCTCAGCTTTCCGGCGGGCAGAAGCAGCGGATTGCGATTGCAAGAGCACTACTGAAGAACCCTGATATTCTCATTCTTGACGAGGCCACTTCGGCGCTTGATGCCGAGTCGGAGACGTTGGTCAACAGTGCATTGGCGAAGCTGCTCAGCGGTAACAGCACGACCATCTCCATCGCCCATCGACTTTCGACCATCAAGCGCTCGGACCAGATCATCGTTCTCTCGACTGAGGGGACTGTGGCCGAAATGGGATCCTACACTTCGTTGAGCGCCAACCCCGACAGTGCCTTCAGCAAATTGATGGAGTGGCAGATGAGCGGCGGAGAGATACCGGTGTCACAGACGCGACACCTTCCCCCCATTGAAGAGGCAGAAGCCCACGAGGAAGAACTAGAGGAGCACGAAGAAGCAGATATGGAGGAGCTCATGGAGGACGAGCCAAAGAACGAGAAGCGCAACTGATTCCCATGTTGATATACCACATTTGCATTGGACAGGCGGCACGGAAAGGTATTTTGCATTTCACGGAATGAAGGAGATCTGAACGGCAGACCGGCCCCTTGAGATGGCCTCACAAAGAAGAGGTCAGGTCTAAGATGAAAGGATCTCGGTCCCTACAGGACCAATCTCGTGTTGTACGTGTAGAGTATTTACCGCCCTGAAACTCCACTCGATACCTATTTATGTTTTGACTTCGCACGAAGTCTGGGGCGTCAGGATAGAAAGATGTATATGAGAATTAATGATACCGTACGCAGTTGATTTCGCTGCTAATTGCACAAAGTTGTTTTTGTGTCCAGTACAGCTTCGTCTGAATGATCATTGTAGCTTTGCTGATGCCAGACAGGGAGCTTAGTCACGGCCCCGCCAACATGTGAACCTCGGCGGACGGACCACTAGTACAAAGTACTTACTTATTAGACCATCAACTCTACTCATCAAAACAACATTCAGCCCTCCTCTCGAAAAGCTCCGAGAACACCGGCCTCTTTTGTAATAATATATATATACCAAAGGCGTGACTTCGATCAAAGCTATTTCATTCACGACGGCTCCACTCAGTCTTTCTCAATTCCTTTCTTGACAGGGGACCTGCGGCTGAAAGCTCATTGAAGAGATCACGGTGCAACAGTGATAAGCAGGCTAATTCATCGACAGCCTGCTAGGCCAGATCGAATCGACGTCCATTTTCTGTTCACAGCATCACCGATTCTGGCATCAACAATCACAATGGTCAAGGAAGTAGAGGGGACATTCCCTGTCGGGGACGTCAGTCTCTACACGAAGTCATACCTGGTATGCCCATCTGCAATTCAACCAAGCCTTCATCCACTGGCGCGGCTAACGAGTAATCTCAGCCGGATGGCCCGCTCAAGGCCAAGATGATCATGATCCACGGCTTCTCGGACCACATGGGCCGGTACTACGACTTCTTCCCGACGCTCGCGCGGGCGGGCATCGCAGTCCACGGCCTTGACCAGCGGGGCTGGGGCCGCAGCGTGCAGAAGTCGTCCCAGCGCGGTCTGACCGGACCGACGTCACAGGTGATATCGGATATCGCCGCCTTCATCAAGTCTCACCTGCCGTCGGATGTGCCAGTCTTCGTGCTCGGCCACTCCATGGGCGGCGGGCAGGTGCTGACGCTGGCCAGCTCGCCCGAGTACGACGGCCTGATCAAGCAGGTGCGCGGCTGGATCCTGGAGTCGCCGTTCATCGGGTTCACGGCGGAGGAGGAGCCGGGCTGGCTGACGGTGTTCTCGGGCCGGCTGGCGGGCCGGCTGATGCCGCACTTCCACCTGTACCGGCCGATCGCGCCCGAGAAGATCAGCCGCGACCCGGAGGTGGTCAAGAGCATCAAGGCGGACAAGCTCATGCACGACACGGGCACGCTCGAGGGCCTGGCGGGCCTGCTGGACCGCACGGGGGCGCTGTCCAAGGGCGAGGCCCGGCTCAGCGGCAACGTGCGCAGCCTGGTCCTCATGCACGGCAACGCGGACCGCGTGTGCAGCTTCGACAAGTCCAAGGCGTGGTTCGAGCGGCAGACGATCGAGGACGGCGAGTTCAGGGTCTTTGACGGGTTCTACCACCAGCTGCACGCGGACCCGGGCAAGGAGACGTTCTACGAGGGGGTCAGGGACTGGATTCTGGAGAGAAGCAGTGGCAAGGGCGAGGCTGCTGCTGCAGAGGCTGGTCCGGACGTCAAGGTCCAGGCCGAGAGTCCTGCCGTGGCGGAAGCCGATGGCAGTGTTCCGGGATCCAAGTTGTGAATCACGTTGACGAACGAATCAGCAGGAATTTGATTGAGTGGGCGCAATCGTATGAAACCCTCGACGAGGACCCTTTGTATTTGGCCAGGTACACAGCGATCTATGGCAGTCAAGTCTATTTCCAAGGTAATTTTACCTATAATATATAAATATATAAATATATATATACACTAATCACTTTTTGTCGCGCCGGTGCTGTATGTGACAGCTGGGGGTTGTGAGATGATGGGTTTCAACGGAAGTTGAGGCCACGAGTACAAGGAGTATTCCACTAGAATCGCGGGATAGTCCCATCACTACTTGTTGATGTTCACAAAATTATAGGAATTGGCGATAAAACAAATCGGGCTGCGCCTGAACAACTCTGAAACGACCCCGAAATATAGGCCGAGCTTGGAAGCTTTTGCTTTGTAAGAGTGCCCAGCATCGTCTGCCCGTGCCCGTGCCCGTGCCCGTCGTGTCATTGTCGCTGTCCTTGCTCCCGCGTGTCGAAAAGAAGCCAGATTTGGCGGGGCACAGCGGCCTGAATTTCGCGGGAAATAGCTGCCTTACTTCAGCCCACCCTGTCCACTGCCGGCCACAGCCAATGAGCGACCTGGAACTGGGGAGGAAGCCCGTCCACAGGGGCCCCACACCCGCTTGAATGCGGTCAACTATCTGATGCCAGCTGTGAGACGGTAGACCCGACTCTGGTATCAAGGGGGCCACGACAGGCTGCGCGATCGACGAACACCACCCCGACCTCCCACGGCCCCGACGACACCAGCCCACGCAAGCCGACCTGCCCGTCGTCTGCCCGCCGTCTGCATTGTGGTCATCGACGTCCCCACGCCCTCGGAGGGCCTCCCTTTAAGCCGCCAAGATGAGTTCCTGTACGGGCCCTCTCCCCCCCTAGCTGTCCCTTGTATACTGCCACGGCCGTATGCCGCACGTCCAGAGCCAACGTTTGCTGACCACCCATGGCGATCCGCAGTGAAGCAGTTCATCCGCAACGTGCGAGCGGCCAAGACCATCGCCGACGAACGAGCCGTCATCCAGAAGGAGAGCGCAGCCATCCGCGCCAGCTTTCGCGAGGAGAGCCACGACCACAACATCAGGTGCGCACCGGGCCACAAGACCAGGGAGTTGAGGTGCTGACGATAGACCACAGGCGCAACAATGTAGCAAAGCTGCTCTACCTGTTTACGCTCGGCGAGCGGACGCACTTTGGCCAGATCGAGTGCATCAAGCTGCTGGCATCCCCTCGCTTCGCCGACAAGCGCCTGGGACACCTGGCCACCAGCTTGCTGCTGGATGAGAACCAGGAGGTCTTGACCCTCGTCACCAACTCGTTGCAAAAGTAGGTTACATATGGCCCGCGCCTCTGTCGCCCCGTGCCGTGAAGTCAATGCTGACTATCCACCAGCGACCTCGGCCACTCCAACCAATATGTCGTCGGCCTCGCGCTCTGCACCTTGGGCAACATCGCATCCATCGAGATGTCCCGAGACCTGTTCTCCGAGATCGAGAAGCTCGTGTCCACCAACAACCCCTACATCCGAAGAAAGGCAGCCCTATGTGCCATGAGAATATGTCGAAAGGTTCCCGATCTGCAGGAGCACTTCATCGAGAAGGCCGCCGTCCTGCTGTCCGACCGACACCACGGTGTCCTCCTGTGCGGCCTGACCCTGGTCACGAGCATGTGCGAGGCCGATGAGGAGGAGGGCGGCGAAGAGGGCATTGTCGAAAAGTACAAGCAGTTCGTGCCCCTGTTGGTGAGGACACTCAAGGGACTTGCCACTTCTGGGTATGCCCCTGAGCACGATGTCACCGGCATTACCGACCCCTTCCTCCAAGTCAAGATTCTCGCCCTCCTTCGCGTCCTGGTTCGTGGAGATCCGGAAGGAACCGAGCAGATCAACGATATCCTCGCCCAGGTTGCTACCAACACCGACTCCACCAAGAACGTCGGCAACTCGATTCTCTACGAAGCTGTGCGGACCATTCTCGACATCGACGCCGACTCTGGTCTCCGCGTTCTGGGTGTCAACATTCTCGGCAAGTTCCTCACCAACCGCGACAACAACATTCGATACGTGGCTCTCAACACTCTCATCAAGGTGGTCGCCATTGAGCCGAACGCAGTGCAGCGCCACCGGAACACCATTCTCGAGTGTTTGAGAGATCCGGATATCAGCATTAGACGCAGAGCCTTGGATCTCAGTTTTACCCTCATCAACGAGAGCAATGTGCGGATCCTCATTCGGGAGCTCTTGGCGTTTTTGGAAGTCGCCGACAACGAGTTCAAGCCTACTATGACCAGCCAGATCGGCGTTGCGGCCGATCGATATGCTCCCAACAAACGATGGCACATCGACACTATGCTGCGCGTGCTCACTCTGGCTGGAAATTATGTCAAGGAGCAAATCTTGTCATCCTTCATTCGTCTCATTGCCACGACCCCTGAACTCCAGACCTACGCTGTGCAAAAACTATACATCAACCTGAAGAAAGACATTACCCAGGAGAGTTTGACTCAGGCGGGTGCCTGGTGTATTGGTGAATACGCAGACTCGTTACTGAGAGGTGGTCAGTATGAGGAGGAGGAGCTCGTCCAGGAGGTTAAGGAGCACGAAGTCATTGACTTGTTCTCCACGATCTTGAACAGCAGTTACGCCACTCAGGTGGCTACGGAGTACATTGTCACCGCATTGATCAAGCTCAGCACGCGTCTCTCTGATGCCTCCCAAATTGAGAGAGTTCGCCGCCTCATCCAGCTACACCAAACGAGTCTTGATGTTGAGGTTCAACAAAGAGCTGTCGAGTACGGCAATCTCTTTTCGTATGACGAGATCCGCCGAGGCGTTTTGGAGAAGATGCCGCCCCCGCAGATCAAAGAATCTTCGCGAGTACTCGGCGAGGCCACAACAAAAACTAAAAAGGCGGCCAACCGGAAGTCTAAACTCATCGCGAAGCCCTCTACGGATCAAGACCTACTCGATCTGATGGGAGACGTTACAAGTCCCGCCTTGACTTCACCGACCAACGGTGGCCCAAGCAACACCGACCTCCTGGCAGATATCCTTGGTGGTGCGACTAGCCCGCCTCCTCAGGGTGCTGGCTCTCCACCTCCCCAGCAATCCAACGTTAACTCCATTATGGATCTCTTCTCCTCGGGAGCATCGTCGTCGCCTGCTCCTGGCGGCGCGCCCGCGAGCTCAGACCTCGATATTCTCGGTGGCATGGGATCGCCACCACCCCAGCCACAAGCAGCTCCGCAAGCCCCGGCTGGTATCCCTTGCTACGATGCGAATGGCATCAACGTAACCCTGCAACTACAACGAAATGCAGAAGGTGCCATCCAAGTATCAGGCCGTTTCCGCAACACATCCGGTGTCTCCATCTCCAACGCTGGTCTCCAGGCTGCCGTACCGAAGTCCCAGAAACTCCAGTTGCTCAGTATATCCAACTCGGATATCCCCCCTGGCGGCGAGGCAACGCAGCTGATGAGGATTTTGGGTGCCAAAGGGGTAAGAAACACGCCAATCCTCGATCCAAACTACACAAAGCTAACATCTTTTGCAGCCTCTTCGGTTACGTTTGAGAATCGGCTACACGCATCCATCGGCAGGACAGGTAATGGATCAGGTAAACTGGACGGAGCCATCATGAATGATAGATGTAGGCGAATAAAAAGAGATTTTGGGCCAGTTTTGCCACACAATGTGTCGACAGAAAACATTGCCCTGCGGTCTTGGTTGCCATGCCTGATCCATACGAATCACTCAATAGTGCATGTACTCACAGACCCAGAAGGTCGCAAAAAGTCACGAGCTCAGCATGGAGTAAAGGAGCTACATAGTCAACTGGTGGTAGGATCAATAACAACACTTGAATTAAAGGCCCGATTTGCTCATAATATGCCGGCATTCTACCACAGGTCTCTGGATGACAAGCAGAAACACAACGTAACTTGATGCTTTCCACCCCTTGATCGTAGGAAACCATACCGATGAAGTAATTAGGTACTATCTAAATCATACAATGCGGGTTTGCTGTTCAGTCTCCATTGCTACTGTAGTAATGTTCACAAATGGTCTGCACCCTGTTGCCTGTAGATCAACATGTTACATCTTCATCACAAGCCGTATCGCTTCCTTTCGCTTGTGCAAATGACCTCTCGTCCTGGATCTCTCACTTCATTGTGCTTCAAGTAGAAGCCGTCGGTGCACTCGATGGACAGACGCTGAAGGGGCGGCGCTTACGCATGGACTCACTAGTCCTCATCCTCAAACTCAAACTCATCCTCTTGGACGTAAGTCAGGGCTGTAAAGGGGATACCCAACAGCGAGTCGTCCTGAGTGCCGTTGCCGTTCGACGGGCGTCCTATCAGTTGTACGGAGACCTCATACTCCGGCCCACCGGGTGAACGCTCAAACTTTTGAAAGACATCCTCGCTCATGGCGTACACGCGACCGTGGACCACGGCGTCGGCCAGAGGCGCAATGGAGTAGGACTCCCGGATCCTTGGCGGCCACATCCATCCGGTCTCCCCGAGCTGGCGCGCAGTCTGGTAGGTGGCTCCAGTCACTGTGCACTTGTGAAAGAGCTGGCCGTCTCTTTGGTAGATCTCATAGTGATGGTGTTGAGTATTCTCGTCATTCTGTTGATCATCGCCAGGGAGGTCAATCGAAGAGTCGCCAGGCTTTCCCTCCGGAACATCCTTGCCAGGCAAGACTATGTCCTTCAAGATGGCAGGGCCGACGTCCACCACCTTGGGGATTTCCCTCTTCATCCGGCGGGCATCACTCATGTATCCTGTGGCAAAGAAGAGGTGAGGGTAGTACTCCTCCCTCGTGGAGCACTCTAGGATCTCAACGTACATGTTACGTAGCTCTACCGGTGCAGTCGCATGGGAAATGAGCGCTCCGATGACGGCGTCTATGGGGTATGGGGCAGGAGGGACGCCTCGCCGAGACTCTGTTGACGGTGGGACATGATTCCCAGAGGTCTCGGCACCAGATTCGTGCTGAAGGGGGCCCTCGGAATGGTCGATGGAGGGGCCGCCACGGCCTTGGTGGTGTGGTGAATAACGCTGCTGCTCTGCGTAGATTTTCTCGTTGGCGTCCGTCATGAGCGACACCAGAGGTTTCCACATCCCTTCGTCAAGCTGACCAGGTATACCAACGCCTGCGTCGGAGCGTCCATTACGGTCATGTTCCTCTATCTGTGCTAGAGCGCGGGCGATGAGCGGATTACGTGGCGGCTGCTCCGCGGGGAGCGCCACAAGGGCTTGAGCGACAGTTTCAGTACGATTTGACTGAGACTCAGATGCCGACTCGTTGATATTTTCAGGGTCATCATTACCACTCGAGTGAGAGAGTGTCTTCAAAGTCGAGTTACTGTGGCCTTGGGAAGCACTTGCGTCCGAACTCTTGGAATTATTGTGCGCCTTGCCATGGCCACAGCAGTCGTAATGGAGATGAACGTCCCCAGACAGCAAGAGGAGGATCGGTCGCATATGTTGAGGGTCTTCGGCAATGAGGTGGCTATCCGGACGTCGGAGCTTCTTCAGGGGTAGGCTGGCTCCAGATCTGCTGCGGTCGGAGTTCGAGTCGCTGCTGAGGCTACGCTTTCTGGTGTGAGTGTCGGCGGAGTCGGTGGCAACGACAGTGGAGCTCTCGATGGTTGGGATTGTCAAGCTTGATGCATCTGCAGTGGACTGGGTAGGCGCGGCATCGTAGAAACGATCGGAGTCATTGGCCTCAGCGTGGTCGGGCTCTCCTTGCTGGTCCACGGATGCAACCTCAGCATGACGTTCATTCGATGAGGCGTTCGCTTGGACATAGTCTTGCGGCTTCTGGTTCGAAATCGAGTTGCCCATGTTTTTGATTAAGTGGTGGGAACTGTTGAGGTACAGGTAGTGTGCAGTGTGTCTCAAAGTGCGAGAAGGGCAGAGGAGTAGGAAAGGGTCTTGACGTTCTTATTGAAGCTCCTCCGCTGCAGCCTCAGGCTGGGACGCCTAAGGATGATGCAGCAGCGCAAATCTCAAAGAAGAAAGGCATCCATTCTTCTATTTGCCATAGTAACGGGGGCCTGGCAATAGCGTATCTCAGGCCTGATTTGTATGAAAAGGGGGTTTCTGAGTTCCCAGGCACCCCGTGGCGTTCACACCTTTCCGTGTGCGTTATACACTGTTACACGGGAGTAAAACTCGTTGAGAGCAGAGACAGCAGTGCATTGATGTCTTTCACAGCGGTGTATATAATTTTTGAATCCAGTAATACTGAGCCAGCAGAAGGCTCGACACAACGCGTTTTACACAAGGAACAGATGAAATTCCGGATACGAGTTGACAGGAGAAACAGCTAGTAGGCTCCTGCTCTTTACACAACTCTAAACTAGACACCAACTGTTAGACCTGTACAATGTTTTTGTCTTTTCTCTTGCTCTATGTTCCTTGTACTTCCAATATGTCTACCACCATTTTTCACATAACACCGTATGCGGCGCCATGCCAAATCCGTCCTTTGCAGTCAAGTCCTTCACAAACGTGTCCGTCATCGTCGGAACACCACATACATAGACCACGGCGGAACTCCTCTCGTCTGGTCCACCCACAGCCTCCTCTACATCCTTATTCTCTATCCGACGCCCGAGGAACGGTATATCGGACTCATTACAGTTGACTGTACCATTTTCCTCATTTCCACCTGTGAGAAACAGTTTCAACTCCCCCTTCACTTTCTGCCTGGCGAATATGGCAGCCAATCGCTCAAGGAAGAGCATACTGCCGGCGTCCCTGTCCCCGCCTGGGTCCTTCATCGAGTACAAGAATTTGACCTCCAGCTCGTTGCTTGCCCCCTCGGAAATATCGCTGAGCATACTTACCAAGGGGTTGATACCTACGCCGCCGGCAACGAAGACGACCCTCCGCAGCGTCTGCGCATCAACCCCGGGGGCCGGCCAGACGAACGATCCGCCGATGCGGACCTGCAGTTCCTGGCCGAGCACGACCGAGCTATCCTGCCACAGCCACGCCGCGGGCGGGTTGTCCGGCGACTTCTGGATCGCCAGCTCCAGATAGCCCGGCCCAGCGTCCGAGGGCAGCGCCCTTGAGGGTGGGGAGGTGATGGTGAAGCCGCCGGCCTTGGCGACGCTGGGGACGAATACGTCAAGCCATTGACCGGCGAGGAACTAGACGCCTCCATGGTTACTAAGAATGCGCGAAGACTCTATGGACACGCAGGGTGGGAGCACTGCGAGGCTCGCCGGGGCACTCACTCGGACGGGAGGACCCGAGGGTGGGGTTTCAAGGCGGAAGAGCCGAATCTGGGGGTTGACTTGATCGATCCTTCTGACTGTGACTTTATGAAGCGACTGCTATCCAATTAGCTACTTTTATACGAGTAACTGTCAGAGTATCGCATGCCTTGTCACGCGGCTCTGCCGCGGTACGTTCTAGATGGCTTGTCTTGGTGGCCGTGGATGTCATTCTCGCAAGTGCCCAGCGACGACAGTTCAAGTAGGTGAATGTCGCGTTCAATCTGATAGCTCGATACATGTGAATCATGCAACGGCAGGACAACTTTCAATTGCAAAGCACTGAATAATATCTCATTGATTCGATGAATCACAGAGGGACAGCGGGTTTCCCGGAGCCCAAATGGGTGAAGCTAGTAAGTAGACCTGTAGTGAGCTTGAGTGGGTCCAAGGTGGTCCGTTTAGTATACGAGTCAAAACACCTGATCTTCTATAAGGTCAGAACGAAGCAGACGGAAACCATAGAACCTGCAAAGGCACAGGATAGGAGTCCTAGAAAGCCAGCCGGAACCGGCTCCATAAACCAACAGGACCCGGGAAGGAAACCCTCGGGGGAGGACCGCAACGATGGAAGAGACTAACTACTCAGATCGGAGGCTAAGGGAGCGGGTTCCCCTATAGCACATTCTCGCCGGGTGAGCTCCTCTAGAAAACGTCGCTAACGGGGAAAACAGACCTCTCAAAAACGCTCGCGACCAGAGACTTCTAAAATCGCAAAAGCTGACGGAGGAAAAAGAGCTACAAACGAGGAGGAGTCTTCCGAGGAGTAGGGATTTGAGCTGATAGACAGGGAAGCTATCGAGGAGAGGTCAGATAACCCTCCTAAAAGAATAGAAAATCGGAAGGAGAGGAATTCGCGACTGTAAACGCGACCACTTGTGAGGAGGTTTCATAAAAACGCAAGATCCCGATCTTAGGAAAGGAACATAACACCAGATCAGCTAAGAGACCCAAGACAGGAACCGAACAGCCTGCCCCGATCAAAGAAAAGCAAATCCGAGCTAACCCTTCGTCCAAACTTCAACTTCTTTGTGCATCCATTTTCTTGGTTAAATACCATCCATTTGGGTTCGCGTACACGTAGGTGACACGATTGAGCACTCAAAGCTCTCTGAGCTACAGATTGTCTTCTCCTACCACGCCTCCAATGGAGTCCTATCCCGAATCTACTCGTTCAGTTGGCCTCATGTGAATAAGAGCACCACAGTATTGCCCTCATGACGGCACCTGGAACGACCACTGCTAGTGAATTGTGGTTTCTGAACCATTCTGTCCATCACGAAAACCTACATGTCTTCAGAGCTGTGTGCACCGATATCAGATCCAGTTGCCGATTGGCCTTTCAACTACTTCATAGTCCTGGCGGGGAGGGTCCCGGCAAGATTCCCAGGTCTTGTGCTTCTCGGAGTCTTGCATGGTGGGGTTCAACTTGAACACAGAAAAGCTGGTCTCTCCGAAATTGGCTGCTCGAGGAGTGGAAGCTTCTTCCTCAGTATCGATGGGACTTACCCCGGTACCTTCAGTAGGCCCGTTGGTCTCTTCTTCCAAAACACCTTGGCTGGTTTTATCACTGGACCAAAGCTGCCTGATTTCACTGTGTCGGGTATCCCGCCTGCTCCTCTGCAGTTGTAACGTCGGCTTCTTGCTGTCCAATCGAGGGCTCCATATTCGGCTCCATGACTTGCGCCGTACAGGTGAGGGTGTGCGTCTCATCCACTCCGATTCACTCAGGTTCAATGTCTCTGGAGACCTCCTGGTTCGGTTTCTCGTCAACATGCTCTCGGATGCAGAAACAGGAAGACGCGACCGTGTTGATTGTGGCGATTGTTGCATCAAGGGTGAACTATATTCTGCCATGTTGAGTTCAAGAACACTGCCAGTTGTCGACATATACCTTTGGGGCGAAGGAAGCTCCAACGACTGCGAGGCAGGCGAGGAGGGTGGTGAGTGTTCATAATCAGACATGGAATTACCCTCTCCAGAGTCGACTTTCCTTTGGGGCAGTTCCACCATTGAAGGTGTTGAACACATGACAGTATGGGCCGTGCCGATGTTCACTTCTTCTTCAACAAATCTTCCATCGTCCACGTAGTCAGCGATTGACGGAGTAAGTGAAGGGCAGTTGGAACGAAGCGATGACTGTGAAGAATGTCTTGATCTTGGCTTAGGGGGATCAGGCAGAGGTCGATCAAGAAAGTCTTGTGGAGCGGGAGCTCGAGCAGCTTTGCTGAGCTCTGGAGCGCGCTGGGATCTGAACACAATGGGAATCAACTCAAATGGACTTCGAATAGAAACCCTGCCTGATGAAGCTTTCCCTGAAGAAGCCTCTGGATTTCCACGTTTGACACCTCTGACCATGCCGTTGTACGGAGGCTCGTCATCAAGGGTAAAGGGAGGAGTTGCCGGAGACTGCGGGTCGAATATCTTATCTGTACTTTGAGCAGCATTCTGGTCAACCGACGCTTCTGGTTCCATCATTGGCAGAGCCAATCTCGACTCAGACTGAGGGACGAGGCTTAGTTGCAGGAGATGATTCATCGATCTGTAGTGGAAGCGGAAAGTAGCATAAGGGGCATCCTTCGGGTCGACGAGAAGCCAATCGTAATACGTCGCGTCTTGGGGGTTCTCAACCAAGCCCCCGCTCGGAGAGCTTTTGTTGTGTCAGTTGGACACTTTTGTGGTAAATGGAACCAATACTCACGCGATTCCATATTGCTCCTGGTTACGGAATTCGGGCAGCCTTGGGGCACGCCGCTTTCGGCCACTGGAACGGAAAACCTGAATTTCGATCAGACCTCCATCCTCTGCAACAGATCTCTTGTCCAGTCCGTTCATGAAGTGAAAGTATCTCGTCTCGATGCCAACCGCTCTGCCTTCAGATCCGGTCCCTTGGTTGTACCAGCGCTGGCCTGGTTCGTACAGAGCCTTGACGACAGTGCTACTGACCGGCTGCTGACAAAGGCCACCATCCGCGCTATGTGTTGGAATCCCCCACGACGTGATCAGGCGGCCGTTCGTGAACATCTTGAAGTAGAGATGAGCTGCAGAAGGCGGTACGCGAAGGACGTTGTATTTCAACCAGAATTGCTCGCCTTGGCTCTATCAGCTAAGGTTTTTGCAATGGGGTGAGCCAATGGAAACGTACCAGGCATTGATGGGATATATACAGCCACCCGAGGATTTATCTTGTGCTGGCGAGTTGGGTCTGTATCAGACAAGATGGAAGAGTCGGAAGGCCTTGGGCCTAGGAAGTCGCCAACAGGCGCGGTACCCGGCGAGACTAGACAAACCGAGGATCCATCGGGGTGAGGGTACTCGGGCAGGTCTTTGGCTCCCGCACTCGCGACAACGGATATTTCTATTCCACGAAAGATAGGCATCGGGACGGCAGCGGTGAACTATTCGCGGGATGCGGGGAGGTGTCGAGACCGTTGAGGCTGGGGCCAAACGCCCGAAGTTAGAAGAACTCGACGGGGACCCCGGCGGGCGAAGGACCTGAAAAAGAACCGGAAGAAAGACAACAAACGAAAGAAAGGCGTTATTCAGTCAATGTCGCGGGATGTCCTAGGCTCGAATCAATACCAATGGCAGCCGGAGTGTCGGGAAAGGGAGGGGCAGCGTTGCGGGGTGGTTCCTGCCGAGTGTCATAAGTCTCGCGCCGGTTTCCTACGTCTTGTCTGGATTGCAAACGTCCTTTGTGACTTTCGCGGTGCCCCAAGTCTCCCCAGGAACGGAGTGCACAATACCTCCATTCGGAGGGTCACCACCCCCGCCAGAATTCCATCACTCCTTGCAAGGAAACAACAACATACGCCATCCAAATTGAGCTGCCCAAAGGCTGAATTAGTAGACTAATTTTGGCACCCCAGATGCACGGCAGCGGCACTGGATCTGGTTCGTAAGTAGCCAGTATTGGTACAGTAAGAAGGGGGTCCACAATGGCGCGTTCTCACCATTAACGCCACCCAAATGGTGCGATGTGGACATGCTGAGTGATTGCTGAGCGATTCCTACCAACTTCCACGGATGGAGAAGGCGACTTAACCTGGAGACGTTCTACTGTGGTGTTCGGACTTGGAAGTGACAGAGGAGACTTTGCTTCGCGGGCACATGGTATGGGATGTGGTGTGTCTCTTCCGACGAGTAGCACAAGGGTCCCCACTGGGCAAGATCCAAGAGGCTAGATGTTTGTCATGATGCCCGTCTTTTCAACGCGTCTATTCCCTACACTGGAAGCCGTCCTCGTATATACACATCCGGAAGGAGGCCCAACTCGCTCTACGCCTCGATCGTCGCATCAGTTTCCCAGGACCTTTTTGGTGTCGTCGTCCTTGTCTAGCAGCCCCAAATTTCTTATTTGCCCGGCGGTCGGTGCGTTCTCTCGTCCCGACGAAGCCTCTGCCTTTCGGTAGGCGGCTTGCAAAGCTCTGGTTCTGGCAGCCTGTCTCGCACGCGTTAGTCTCCCCGGGCTTCCGCATCGCCTCGTGGCAGAGGGGGGTCAGCCGCTAACCTCCTTCTTGTGGTGCAGGCACTCGTAGTAGTCCTCTAGGATGGGCGCGCACTTCTTCTTCCCCGAGTCATCCTCGGCAGATGTGTTGACGACGTAGCAGGAGAGGACTTCTTGCCAGAAGGGAAAGCACCGGCCGGGACCTGTGGTTGGTTAGTACGGGGAGGGAGCGATTGGGGGCCTGCGGTGTCCCATACCTCCGTGCAGACCATATCCGGAGGCCATGATGAGGAGTTCAAGGTGCGTGAGGGTGCTGGCGCTGTACAAGGCTCAATTGGGCGCCGGGCGGGTTGCTTCTCGATTGTCGCTTGACGTTGGAATCGCTCACGGAGCTGGGCGAGGTCAATTGGAGGTGTGGCTGACCGGTGGAGCTCGGGCCAGGGCCTGCGGTCAATCACCGCGGGCGTATTTGACTTGCGCCCCGGCGAAGGTACGTACAACCCCCCCTTGGCCCCCACTGCCTGTGGCTCAGTGCATGGGAGCTGCACTAATCAAGGCACCCCCATGGAGTAAGGTGCAGTAAAGTGACCTGGCCTATGTATGTCATTCTCGACGTGTAAGTACTGGCACGAGCACGACGGGGAACCGGGAAGCAGCTTGCGCCTGTGCATCTAACTATCTAGTCGCCGCCCGCCCCAGCTCGTCTGGGAAATCTCAACCCTCGCCAGGCGTGGGAAGATGCAGCTGGCCCATTCAAGATGACCGCCAACATCTCGCCGCCAAAGATTGTGCTGCTAGCTGTCTACCTCGCGACCAAGGCCGATGTTGACAGCTTGGCAGCACTGGCGTCACGATACGACAAGGTCCTCCAGAAAGACCTTGTCCTGCGCATCCTCCTGACATGCCTCCCTGAGACTGTCGATGCCGGCGCCTACGTGCCGCTAATACAACAGCTCGATACCGACGTCGGCGGACCAGAACCCGAAGGCAACGTTGACATCGACACATCCTCGGTGGATGACTTCACAGATGCCGAAGCTGCGAAGAAGGTCCGCAAGCTACGGCTTCTGCCTTTGGTATCCGAGAAGACACCTAACGGTGCAGCCGACGGCCTAGTCAGCCAGTTCCTCATCGCTCGTGCGCACCGTGTCGACGAAGAAGCCGGCCTGCTCGCCCAGCTGCCCGACCTCATCGTACCATTCCTAGACCACGCGCCGTGCATTCGAACATGGATGATCTCGGCGCTGCTCCCCCTTCTCCGGCGAAACTACGAGTACTATCCCGAACACCCTATACCTTATACCCTCGAGGCCTTTGAGCACTTGAATGACCGGGCCGCTGTGAGCCTTCTCCTGGAACGGACAGGTGCCCAAGACGAGGACCTACCCCATGTAGGACGAGACTTGCGCGGCCTCATCGGGCCTTGGCTGTACAGCGAGTCGAGGTGGAAGCAGGCCGAGGACATTGTGGGCGCCGATGGGCAAACAGATCCGAAAACCAAACTGTGCCCGGGCTGGGAACAACTACTAGAATGGCTTACCGCACAAGCATCCAGGTCGTGGAAGGTGGCTATCAAGGCTATCGAGCAATGGGACGGTCCGGATGATGTTGACCTGGGTGGTTTTGGGTCTATGTGGCTTGAAGACGAGGAGCAGGGCTATCTCGAGTCGAGATATGCTCGTGCTGCATTAGCATCGGCATACCTGGTCCCCGAGGCTTCCGTCGAGGCTCTGGTTGGTGTCAACACAATCATAACCAGGGTGATGAATCTCCTGGGCGAAGATGCTTTCCCCACCCTCCAAGTGGCTTCCTCACTCCTGTCGCCACTTACGGAACTCATCAATGAGTCGATAATCTCAGCCAAGAACGCGACTTTTATGCGCAATGACCTGTTAGAAGAAACCAACATTCTCACAGCACCGTCGAAGATGTCTGCGCAGATCCTCCACGCTCTCACCCTGAGTGCTTTCATCCTGACCAAGGCCGGCGTCCCCTGTAACATTCGCAGAGCTGGTGAGCTGGCATTTCTTCAGGACGAGAGAGAGCAGAAGTCCGAGGCCATAAAATTCATCAACACACTACGGAATAATGCGCCCAAGACTGATGACAAGTACTGGATCAGAGTACGTAATGAGCTCTTGTGGCTGCGCGACTGGGGCGCCGAGGAGGCTGGCGTTTCGTCCTCACCCGTGCAGCTTAACGGGGTTTTTGGACAGCTCAAGAGGGAGTTCCTCGAGATCGAGTGTCTCAAGGCATTCTTAGCCAGCGGACGTAAGTGCAAACTCGATCAGACTGTATTCCATGTTGCTCAACTGTATCAGGCTACGCTCTCGCAAGATCGGTATATGAAGACTCGCCAGAGAACCTTCTCTCTACCAAGACTTTAGAAGATACCATCATTGCTTCAGCCATGAACGCGTACGATAACGCTTCCAACCCCAACCGCACACGAGGTGGCCTTCTCAAGTGTGCTGAGATGTAAGCACATTATAACCAAGTCTATATTCCAATTCTGACCCCGGAACAGCGCACAGTCATTTCCTAAGACTCTGCCAGAGGATGGTGCCTCGGCCAAGAAGATTGAAACTCTGCTCCGTGCAACCCACGGCCTGAGCGAGTATCGCCTTGTGCTCAAGCAAGGGGAACCATTCACGCCAGTAGTTCTGCGAGTCCACGCGGACCCGATATCAATTATCGGCAAGGTCTTGGAGCAAAACCCACATAGCTACACAAGGCTCCAGGCATTTTTAGAAATCGGCACAAATATGGCAGACGCCGGCCTGCCCACCAGTGAGAAGTCGGCAAGATCCTCTGGCGTTACTGGGGACATGGCTCAGCAGCGTGCGCTTGTCGAGAAGCGTGTCATCGCAATGTGCATTGATGCTGCACTAACGGAAGACGACTTCGAGACTGCATATTCCTATGTAGTCAACCGGCTAGCCTCCACCACCGGGCCAGCCGAATCACTTTCTGCTGGGAGCAAGAACGGGCATGGTGCTGAAGCAAGACCGTCACCAGCCATCACCGATGACTACTCGTGGAAGGCTGCTCTGCAGGCTGGTAAGTACCGTCGCACAGCACGCACTATCCGTCCTACCCATATCGGCACTGCTAGCGGGAACATGGACATCCGCCACCTGGAGCAGAGGATCGAGTGCCTCTCGACTGCGTTGAGGATTGCGCCGACAGTCACGCTCCAGGAGATACTGAACGTCTTTCGACGATGTGAGGAGGAACTGGACGCTGCCGTCAAGGCCGAAGAGGAACAAGAGTCGGCTTGGGATGACCAGGGCGACGTCCAAGCTATGCCGGGGGCCTTTAGCAGCACTGTCCCGGCTGGTGTAGTCAGGCACAATACTTCAAGGCCAGCTAAACACCAAGAGGAGGCACCAATGTCCCTATTCGATCTGTCACGGGCTAGCATGGCCAGAGCTCAGCGCAACTTCTCAGCACTGTCGAGCCTACAACGCAGCGAGCAAGTCAAGGACGATGACGAAGAGGAGATCGACAATCAGGCCAGAGTGCGGAAGAGAGACCAGCTGCGCGAAGCCGCCGTTGGCACGTTGGCGTCGGGCGTCGGTTGGCTGATAGGGGCGCAGCCGGTGGATCGTTCGCAGGAGCAGCGGGACTGAGATACATGATACCTTACGGAGTAACTAATGAATGTGACGATAGCTACGGATTGCTAAGCACTTGCAGGCAGATGCAAGAGTCAATGAGAAAAACATCATTACTATCAAGAAATATAAACCAAGATTATCATCCACCGTTGGCTCCAGCCTTGAGCCAGTTGATTCCAGAATTCGGCAGTGAGATAGGAAACAGTATGCTCAAACTTTAACAACCACCCCGTTACAAAGGTCAGCAAGATCGGCTTTCTCTCGAGCACGGCCACGCGACGTTGCTCCCCAGATACCAGACCATAGAAACCCCTTATTCCGAGATATTAGTCAATGCCCGATGCCCGCGACGCCCATGTTTCGAGTGGCCGACCCCATGATGCTTTGCAGGCCCACTAGATCTCCGGATAAAGACCTTCCGGACACCTTTCCTCGGCGGCTCCGGCCTGGCCGACGCCGCTGCGTGCCGATCGGCAGCCTCCTGTGCCTCGCGCAGCAGCTGCTCCTCCGGGGTGACCTCATCGTCTAGCTCCTCGACAGCGGAGGTCGCTGACACTTGCCCCTGAGCGTTGGACAGGCCTGTAGGGTCCGCAAGCCCGGCCCCCCACGGGAGCGACGGGCTGTAGAGCGGGCTGGGCAGCTCCATGGGCTTGAGGGGCGGCAGGGCCGACGACAGCTGGGAGGGGCGCCCAAAGACGGGCCGGGACGGGGCCACGGACGAGCTCGGCGCCGCCGTGCGCGGCTTCTTCAGCCCCGCCGTCCCCTCCTCCGGGGTGAGCATGGTCAACGGGTCGCCATTGAGCCCGCGGATCCTCTCCAGAGTCCGCGCATTCAGCGGCGGATACATGGGATCCGGGTTCGTGGGGCGGCTGAGGACTCTCAACATGTGGCCGTTAGGCGGCTCCATCTCCACCACCCTTTTGCCTGTGGGAATGTCATTGGGCGGGGTCGGAGCCGCATCCGAGCTCTTTGAATCCGTATCCTCATCCAGGGCTGCCTCGCCCACATCGCCAGACTTTTCCAACCAAGGGGGCGGCGTCCACGTAATCTTCTCGCCGCGCACCATGGACTCGGTGGTACGGTACAGCGCTCTATAGATGCTCGCGTCAAGCATATCTTGGTCAGGTGCCGTCGAAGGGCCCGCGGCCAGGCCAAATTCCAGGTCAGAATCAGGTGTGGCGTTGTGATATTTGTCAGTTTGAGCCCCTTTAGACGAATGCGACTGTGCTTGGCCGGAACGTACTGGCCCAGACGGCAGATGCTGTCGGGAAGGCTTCGGGGTCGACACAACCTGTCGTTTTGGGGGAGACTCAGGGGTAGACACAACGTGTCGCTTTGGGGGAGACTTCGGGGTAGACACAACGTGTTGCTTTGGGGGAGACCCCGGTGTAGACACAGGATGTTGCTGTTGGGGAGACTTCGGGGTAGACATAGGAAGTTGCTGCTGGGGAGGCTGCGGTGTAGATACAGCACCGGGCGCGGTTGTGGTCTTCATTGTCTGGCTCCTGGTGGCATCCCACGACCCAAAAAGATCTGTTGACCCGTCAGTGCTGGAGAAGAGAGTATCGGCCAGGCTGTTCGGAGTAGGCTTGGTACCCTGGATCTTCGTGGTGCTTTTCCCTGCAGGCTTGCCAGGATGCGCTTGGCTGGGAACTGCCGGGTTACGAGCCGGTGGCTGGTGGGCAAGCATAGATGTTGGTGTTCCGCCCAAGGAGGCCGTGGTACTCTGGATTCTCGTTGGAGTTTGTGCTTGGGACGCATCGGGCTGGGCTGGAATTGGTGCTACTGGAGCAGCGGGCAGTTGCTGTTTTGAAGTCTTTGCAGTTGTCGTCCCGTCCAAAGCGGCCGCGGCGCCTCGCTTCTGAGGTGTGTTTTGTCCTGCGGGCAAAGCTGGCTGAACTTGACTGGTGACTGCGTGAACCTGAGGCGTCTGCTGTTTAGGAGGCTTAGAAGTGGTAGCCGCATGCTTATCGGTTCTCTTGGGAATCGTTGCGTCCTGGGTCACGGGAACAGGCGTCGGGACTGAAACCGGGGCAGGAGACTTCGCCTTCTGTTGTGACGTTCGGGTAGCCTTCGCTGCCTTCATGGCTTCAGTACGAGCCTTAAAATCGGCATCAGACTCTTCTCTGTACTGGCGGCCCGTGGAGCCTGCCTTAATGATCTCGTCGAATCTCCTCTTCCACGCAATCTGTCCCTCTCCACGCTTCCGCTGGTAGTACTTGTACTTGCAGAAGTAAGGGAACGATGTATCGAAATCTATGGCCTTCTGCCGGTATTCCTCTTCACTTTCAAAGTCTTGCTTGGAGTCAAAGTACAGTTGCGTCGGGTGCATAGTCAAGGTATGCGGCCTGACCACCCTCGGGGGAAGGGGCGGAAGCCATCTTCCTGGCGTGACGTTTTGGCTTGCGATATCAAGGTCGGTACCTTGCCGCACATTTAGCACATGGTGCGCCGGGCCGGGAAGACTGAGGGGCTCAGGGTCGGTTGGTCCACCCGGCTTGTTTGTCGTATTCTGAGACGTTGTAGCAAGGCTCGTGTCATTTATCCCATGGTGATGATGAGGATCATGGTGGTGATGATGAGGATCATGGTGATGGTGATGAGGATCATGGTGGTGGTGATGAGGATCATGGTGGTGATGATCGTGCTGCTGTTGACCTGCCGTCAAAGGCTGCGTTCTCCCCGGTGCTCTGGTCCCTTGTCGTCCTCCCAATCTGATGCCCGCAGTAATAGGAGGGGGCGGAGGCCTTTTGTCATTAGGTAGCTTAGGCCCTGGGACTTTCTGAGAGGAACCATCTACAACATGCTGGGGCATTCCTTGGAAGGTACCCGTAAAAGGGTCCCTGGCACCAGGTTGAGCCGGAGGTGGGAATTTGCCGAAACCAGCATAAGCATCATCGCGACACTTTAGCTCGGCCGCGTCCCTGGGTAGCTCCCAAGCCTCTGGGTCGATCTCCAAGGGGTACCAGTTGGCGATCATGGCGTTGGCTTGGGGAGTGATGCCGAGGGGTATGAGGTCCTCGGGGGCGCCGAGGTGGTTCTGCAGCGCATCCTCTGGATTCTCGAATACATTCTCCTTGAACTCCATGAGGTCGCGAAAGTTCACAGTATTCCTATCGACAGTGTTGGCACGCTTCCAGGCCCAGGTACGTTCAGCACACTTGGCGGTCTCCTGTGCAGGATTTTGAAGAGTGGCATTGACCTCGTCAGCGAATGGTCGATCCGCAGACACGTAGATCCTTGGCCACGACGACGGATCTGTGGCCGTTCGTTGAGGAATTTGAGGCTCGTAACTCCTGCAATACCTACCCATTAGAGGGACATAGGGGACGTTGGGTCCGGGAATTGGATTATGCCCGTTATTGTTGGCATCAACACCGCCATTTGCAGCTCCTCCCGCCCCCCCTCCACCACCTCCTGCCGCTGCTGCTGCGCCCTGTTCATCATTGTCCTGGTCATCATCTTGAAATACATCAGGGGTTATCATCTTCACAAAGGCTCTCCTAAATTGTTGTCTCCAGTCGGCACCGAACGCTTGCCCAGCTTTCTGCACATCCAAAGCCACGCCGGATATTGGGTTGGCCACCTCCACTATTCTCGTCATAGCCGCCAGGATCATGTTCTCCATTACCAAGTCGAACTCCTCCGCGTAGTCAATTTCTTGGTAATCGAAAATAGGATCCCGATGATGGTCACCGTCAGAGGCGGAACTGCTGCCGGAACTCTCAGTGGCGGCCGAGAGTTTCTTGGCGAAGGAAGGTCCAGAAGAATCCTCGAATGGTTTAAGATTCAGGGGGGTTCGGCCTCGGTTCGCCTTGAGAGTCTTCAAGCCAAGGATGATCTGCCAATCCTCGAATATACGTTCGCGAACGGTCTGTTCGAGGTGGCTGACATCGTCCGGTGAGATTTCGCTTTTGCGGCCGAGCCTAATAATCGCACCGTCGAAGATGTCTTCGATCGCGTCGTCAAGAAGGCGCATGAGCCATTGCTTGCTGAACTGCTCGTCCTCCTCGTCCTCAAGATCGTAGGACCATTCCGATAGACTGTTGAAATCGTCGTCGAAGGCGTCGTCATCCTCGAAAGCATCATCATCCTCGGAATCGTCTTCATCCATGGAAACATCACTGTCCTCATTACTAGGAACAGCCGGCTCATAGTCTGTGTCATTGCCCCAGTACTCATCATCGTATTCGTCGTACTTGCGGATGACGTCGAGATCCTGGATCACGGTGTCTGTATTTACATCGTCTTCGATGAATCCTGAGAGGCTGTTGATCAACTCAGCAGGATCATCCTCGGGTTCGATGAATGGGGCAACACCAGCTGCAATGACATGAGAGTCACGTCGTGTCGAAGAAGCAGATTGTGCCACAGGCTTGGGAGTCCCGTCCCCAGCTGCTCCAGATACCGCGGCCTTTTTGGCGAATGGACCTTGTCCTCGTCGCCGATTGCCGGTGGTGGAGGGCGGGTGCAGCGTGGATGGGTCGACGATATCACTCTGCGCAAATCCAACAACCTTGAGGCCGGGCAACGGGCCAGCCTGGGCGGAAGCACCTTGCTGGCCAACCTGCTGCCTCGCGTTCGCCAACTTCCTCTTCTCTTGCCTGACATAACGACGCCTGTCTCTCATCAACCTCCTATGGTCGCCGCCCATGAGACTATGCGCCAGGATGTCGATATAGTTCGGCACCTGGTTCCAAGGTTTGAACTCCTTGTCTCGCCAGGACCACTCGTACTCATTGGGCAATACCCGAGCCTTATGGGTTGTGATCGCCTTCTCCTTCCATTGATGGAGGCCGCCCGACCCAATCAATAACTCGATGGCAGTACGCTTGACACGACCCTTGAGGTTCTCTCGCAGCCTCTCGCGAGCCTCCTCCCGCCTTGCTATTTCTGACTCCGTGGGAGAGGGAGTCAGCGGGAGATCGCGTCTCCTAAGGTCTTCACGTCGTGCCCGCTCCTTTTCGGCCTTCCTAATGCGCGCTCTCTCTTTCGCACTGCGGCGCTGCTGGGCTCTACGTAGGTCCCACCGGATGCCATCAGCATCTGGAGAATTAGTATGTCAGCCACGCAGTTGTAAAGTAGCACAAGAGCTTGTAAGTCATTACCGTGAAGCTTCTCCTCGAGACCCTCTCTGTCTTGTTCTGACTTTGCAAGCCTCTTCAAGAGAATATCTTGCACATCATGAAGCTCTGCAGCTGTAGCCGTCCGCTTCTTTTGCTGCGTTGGCGTTGGCGTTGGTGTCATTGACGTTGGCTGGCCAGCAACACCTGCACCCGTATTTGCTCCTGGTCCTTGCCTAGGCCTCCTTCCCCCTGTCGAGAAGTTCATCTTAACGAGGTTCAGGAGATGCGAGGTTGACTCTGTCACAGTTGGCTGGTTGCTAAAGTGTTACAACTCTAGTTCAAGAGGACGAAATCCTTTGCAAGAAGATCTACGAGGATGAAAAGAGAGGATGCCTCGTAACCTAGGATGAGTCGCTCTCTGGAATAAAGGAGACAAGGGGAACTTTCAAAGTATGGTATGGCAAGCATTTAGAAGTTAACTTCTTATCACAGACCGGTTCGAGTACATAATTGGCCGTTTTCGGTGGCTTCTTTGTCTCAGATGCGACTTTGAGTTCCCCAACTGAACACGTAAATCTATCTGCAGTCGTCAGAAGGCGACGAAACATGGAGAACAAATAGAGAAAGGCTGATCTCAAGCGCATACCGAGTAGAAACCAGTGGGCAGAGCATGGTTAAGAGAGGCTCCTGCAACAGATGCAGAAGCCTAAGAGGTAGTTCTTGCACGCGAGGGGTAAAGTAGCTACAGCCTTTAACCCAAGGAGAACACAACGAGGAATATTCAAATGATGAATTAAATGTCTTTTGTAATGCTCTATCTATCTGCGATTAGTACTATAGCAACAAGTCTAAAGCAAGTACCGTTACACAGCATCATGCCGAATCATAGCAGCAGGGGTGGTCTGACAGGGCTGGCCCAATCTTTCCCACTGCGACACGCCACATTCCAAGCGAGGCATTCCCGCAGAATGCGCACTGCAGCACGCTATCGTCAGTTCAGCAATTTTTTTCTGGGGTCAAATACCTGGGGATGTGCCTCTAGCAAGGCAAGTGCATTGGGTGACTTGATTCGAAACGCGGCACAATGTGATTGCAGGGTGCCGGGAAAAGAGGCGAATGGCGAAAGTCAGGGACGCGGAACGTCAGGCATTCGAGGTTGCCAGGATGAGTAGAAGAAGCATCTGCTTCCCCGTTCAAACTTTTTACAGGGAATTCAGTGTCGAGGGTGCTGCTGAGGTTAGAATGGCGTATTTGCAGTGCGAAATTTCATGGCGATCATTATGGTAATTTACGGCAAGTCGAGTCGATTCAAAAGTTGCACCTTTAGGAATTGCGATCAATTACGTGTTGCACTTTGCTGGCCATTTGGTGTCTTCTGCGGGCCAAAATGCTGCGGGAACTGTGCAGTCGTCCATGCTTCGTCTCTCTCGAAATACCCCGGTTCTGACTGAAATAATGATACAAGTGACAGGTTGAATGTGTGGCGGCACTGGAATCCACGGGAAAGGGACGTAGTGGGTGGCCCAATGACAACGAGGGTGAAGAAAATAGTCGTCTTCCCGTCACAAGCGTCGGTACTGGAGGCACTCACCCCTCTCAATCTGCGAAAAACTCTGGACAGAAAGGTAGGGTTGATGCTGGGCGCGTGCTGGCGCCTACCGTCGAACTCAATCCGAGACTGGGGTTGCAACAAAGAAAATAAAAGAGAAAACATTGTGTAGATGCCTTTCCCATCCTGCCTGCCGTATGAAACTCCTATTGTGTCGCAACTTTTCTGGTATCCGCCGTATTCGCATACCCACAGACAAAAATCAAGTGAGAAATATGAGTGATTCAGGGGGGGTCAATCGCGCGTTGAGCATTCAGCACACGACTGCGCGTCGTCGACTGTGTACTTCCCGGATGATGCACTGGCAATGCAAAGCCAATCTTTGCCGACAAGCGAGCGAGCGAATCTAAGGAGCAGCTCCGTAGGCATCGCGGCCCTCAGGTCGGGACGCCGAGTCACCGTAGCCAGACGGGGCAGGATCGCGAGAGCGAGCGCTCTCCCTGTCACCACCACGGTCGTAGCCACGGTCACCACGGTCGTAGGCGGGGGCACGTCGATCATCGCCACCACCTCGGCCTCCGTAGCGATCATCGCGGCCACCACTGTAACGGGGGTACTCGTCGCCGCCACCGCTGCCGCCGCCACCACGGTCACGTCTTTCGTATCCTCCGCGGTCTTCGCGGTAGCTACGGTCGTAGCCACGGTCTTCGCGGTATCCACGATCATAGCCACGGTCGTAGCCACGGTCCTCACGGTAGCTGCGGTCGCGATCACCTCCACGATCATCACGACCATAGCCGCCGCCGCCGCCACCGCCGCCACGGTAACGGTAGGGGTCATCACGGCCGTAGCCACCACCGTAGCCACCGCGACGAGGAGGACGACGATCATCGAAGCCACCTCCTATAAGCTATTAGTCTTCTGAGTGTTTTCATCTCCGTATGGGTGAACCTACCTCGCTTGGGAGGACCAAAGTACTTGCCAGGGGTGGGAGTACGAGGTCGGGCACGGCGGGCCTTCTCGATGCTGAGAGTGCGACCCTCAATCACCTCACCTTGAAGGCCATCCTTGGCAGCATCAGCCTGGTCAGAAGTGACCATCTTGACGAAGCCGAAGCCACGAGATTCCTTGGTGTGGGGATCACGCATAATCTGGCACTTCTCGACCTCGCCGTACTTCTCGAAGAGTCTAGTAACCTCGCTCTCAGTAAGCTTGGGGTGGATGCCAGTCACGAACAAGTTCGAGCCGGGGTTGATGGAGCCGTCCTCGTCGCCGTATCTGCCGCCGTTGTCTTCTTTCGGACCACTACGCGAGTCGGTTAGTTCTCTGCGTCTTCACAGGCAATGGGAACTGTCGAGAGAAGGGGCGAAACGGAAAGATGTAGCCACTGCCGGACATGGGCGGATATGGGAAGAGCACCAGGTTGGTGGAGGGCTTACCGGTCAGCATTGCCGTTGGGCGAGGCCGAGCGACGAGGCTCGGGACCATCATCGCGGGCAGGGCGAGGCGAGGCGCTGCGGTTATCACGCTGCTCATAGCGCGAAGGGGCGTCATCTATAGGCAAAACGATTAGACAAGTTCTATCACATGTGGCAGCGACAAGCAAGGAGAAGATCAGTGGCCTACCTTCGTAACGATCACCGTCAGCGGTCTCGTAATCCATTGCAGCGGTGGCCATGGTTGCGAGTGACTGTTGTCTGGAACTATTTGGTCGAGGTGAGCAGTTGATGACGAGATGCGACTGTGGCAACCAACGCGTCTGGACACGTGTGGCTTGCAAAGTCAAAAGAGTTTGGGTCGTCGGGTTGATGGATGGAAAAGACAAAGGTGGTGTCAAAAATGGGGGATGAGCAGTCGAATGTCCTCGGATTTGAGACTGCTGATGACGGTGATGGAAAAGAAAGGAAGGGAGCAGGCCAGGGCAGAGAATGGGAAAAACTGATGTGGCTTTGCTTTTTGGGAAGTGCCAGGTTAACCGGGCGAAAGGTCAGCTCACCTGCTGCTGAAATTTGACGTGTGCACACGGACCCTGTGCAGCTATAGACACTGGACGGCGGATGGCGACAAGAAGGGACAAGGGATTCCGTCGCGGCGGGAAGAACAGAGCTCAAGGGAAGTCTGTCTGTGGTTGATAGTCGACAGCAGAGACGGATGGCTGCTGGCTCCGAAGCAATCGGCTGGAGATTTGTCTAGGACTTTTGGTGGAGTGATGGGATGAGGAAAAAAAACTGGAGAATGGGCGAGCAATGGCGTATCCAATGGGAATGGGATTGCCATCGCACGGCGCGCACCACCGGCAAAGAGGCGAACAGGCAGGCGACCAGTCGCGGCCAAGCCAGGGCCAGCAGCCAACAACTGGCTGGCCCCTCCCCTTGGCCCCCGGGGGACCCGCTCCACGCCTCGCTGCCACAGCCTACAGGCTAACTTGCAGGACGAACGAGCGAGGACTCCGAGCCAGCCGCTCTTTGGCTTCCAGGCAAAGGGGCTGTCTGTTCCCGCCTCAGGCCTGTCGGAGCCTGCTTGTTCGCCGTTGCAACTTGCCAGAGAGCCGCACGGCAACCGAGGCAACCTCGCGCTAGCCCCTATCGGCACTAGTGGTCAGAGGCAGGTGGACGCAAACGGCAGCAGCGACGAACCAGATCAGACCGGCAAGAATGGGTACATGCTGACCCCCGTCCATGCCCGTCGCCGGAATGCTGCCCAGATGACCCGATGCCAGCCAGTTTGCCAGTGGCCGCCTCTGCCCGTCTCGGTTACTTTTCTCGGCCCATTCATTGCAGATTGCAAGCGGCAGACGGGGTACTGTATGTCGGTGTCTTCCTCGATAATGCTGCCCTGGCTCATGCGTCAATTCCTGTTCCCGTCTGCCAAGGCTCATCCGGAAGATAGCCGATTCCTTTTATTCCTGTCCAACAGTTACGCAGAGGGGGACTAGACGGCACTGGGGCATTGGTGCTACCTATCTAATTAACACAAGCACGCGGGAAACTTGCCCAGAGTGTGGCTTGAGACCTGTCATGTTCACTATTTCATGATCTGTACTGCTAATGCTCTAGGAATGCAGAACCGTACTTTGTACTCACAGCAGACCTGGTTTGCCCTTCGCATGCACTAACCTAACCCACTTGCGCGTTTTCCATCTCTTCTCGCTATTTCAAAGCTCGGACGGCCCTTTCCCTGCCGTACCCTCGCGCCTTTCGGCCTCTAATGCTGCATATACATCAATACTCGCTGGCTCGGCCACGTCAAGGAACCTGAGCCCCTCGACAGCTTTGCCGCCACAGGCTCTTTCCAACGCCAAGAAGGCAAAATGACCGCCTACCACTGGGCGAGCCTTGAAGGCTATGCCGGACTCAGGGAAGTGCCCCGTTCCCTCGGTATCATACAGATCCGTGAAGGGTATATCTGCCTTGTTATTAGTCTTTTTTTTCTTTCTTTTTTCATAGTCAACTACACTCTTCGTGAAGCACAAACGTACCTGTAGATGTCTCATTGACCCACCGGGCAACATGCTGCAAGATTTCGGACCGAGTCTTCTTGCTAGTAACTGCTGCAGCGAAGAACTCCCAGTCACTCTTTGTCTGCAGGTTACGCTGGTCCAGAGGCAACCCGTACTTCTGGAGCACATTGTGATACCAGTCACTCTGTATCTGGTAGATCTTGTCTGGGATGAAGGTTGATCTCGAACTCTTGCCCGAGTCTCCGCCCAGCCTTGTCTGATCCTCTCCCCAGAACCGGCTGTGGCCGAGAGACGACTTGTTGTCAGCAATGTGAAAGCACAGAAGGGCATCAGCGTAGAGATTGTAGAGGGTCGTCCATGAACCCTGCCAGGTGTAGGACAACTTTGCGTGTGTGCCGTCTCTAGAGATACCGAAATCTTGCCACTTGTCGATGTACTCTTCCGCAATCTTCCTGTATTCACCTGCCTCCCGTTCGTTGCCTACAAGGCTTGAGATGTCGCTCATCGCCCTGATTCCGACGATGCCCTTCAATGCCAGGTTCGTCTGGTTGGCGAGCCAACCTGCGAAATCGTCGGTGCACAGTTGGTTGGCCGGGATAAGTGATTCTCGGACAAGGTAGCCCGTCCACTTCTTCCAAAGTGAGTACGATCGCTGCACCCACTTGGTAGCTACCTTCGACCCAGTCGTCCCGATCTCTTCGAAGCTTCTGTCCATGCCATACTCGTCTACAGTCAAAGGTTTCTCAGGAAGCCCAGACTGGAGGCGGAGTGTGGAAGCAGGGGCTTCTCGGGCGTAAACGGCCGCGGATCCGTCCCTCAGCGCATTCGCCAATGCCAAGCCCATGATCAGCATGTTACCGCACTCTTCAACCGGCATATACTCGTCGTTACCGTCGCCGTGTCCGGTTGCGTTGGGGAAGTGAGTTCCTAGATCATGCATACTGTAGTCGTTGGGGTACTGGCCACTGAGCTGGTGCTCCAGTAAAGGTTCGAGCAGGTAAGCTAGCCACTGCGGGTTGGTGTATAAGAAAAAGGGGAATGCTGGGAAGATGACATCAACGGTTTGGAAGTTTCCGTTGGACGAGATCTCCTTGAGGAAAAGAATGGGGTTGTCTGGTGTTCCCGACCATTGGGTTGCGCCGAAGATCTGTCGAGCCGAAAGCGCTACTATATCCTTATAGTCTTCGGATCCCGACGCAAGCGCGTCCTTCGCCAGCTGCTCTGAGTAATCACCTGCCAGCTTCGTTGCAGTCTTGAAGTCGTCATAATGGTACTGTAACATGTCCTCTGCCGTGAAGAAGTAAGATGCCCAGAGAGGTCGCATTTGTGTCAGCCCGCGAGACGACGCGTACTGAACTACGGGATCCTGGATCAAGGAGAATGTGAACCGCGCACTGTCAGCTTTAGAGGAGCTGTTGTACTCGTTCTGAAGTTTAAAGTGCTTCGTATATGCGAAAATTGGCTCGCGATCGAACATGCGGCGTGGTGATGAATCAACTTCGTTGGTCAAGTTCCCATGCTTTGCAAATTGCCGGTACACCGAATAAATCTCGCCGCTTTGGTGTTCGACATCTGCAGGTGCAGTGAAGTATAGAGTGCCCCACTCGGCTTGGTCGTCGAACTCGGTCAGATGCTGCTGATACTGCCGTGAGATCTTCCAGATCTTCAATGGTGTGAACCCCGATCGCTCAGACACTTCTGGCTTCTCCAACGACCATGCGATCTCATTGTGTCGGTTTCCACTGACCCACTCCCCGTTGATGTCAATGAAGAGGCTGATATCCAGGTTCCCCTCCACGAAGAAGGTCATGTACGATGCTGGCAATGCTTGACGGAAGGTCGAGGTTGGTGTTATGGGAGACATAAACGATAGAGTAATTTTGACCTCCGTGCCGGCGCCTTCATTCGCAATGGTGTACGTCAGGTTCGTAGTCGAAGCATCGAATGTAGCTCCGTCATAGTGAGGGTAGGAGAGGTTGTATCTACTATAGGGGGTATAGCTCAGCAATTGGTCCCAAAGCTTTTTTTTACACACCCATTGCGCCTAACATACCTATCTTTCTTCTCGAGGAAGGCATGAGGCTCGCCAAGCAGGGGGTATACAGTTTTGGTATCCGGTACCGATGCCAGTATTCCAAAGCCGAATGTGCTGCCCGTCCAAAAGATGGGCCAATGGTCCCACGGATTGCCCCGCGCTTGGGTCAGCCAGGTGTTCAAGTATGGGTTTCGCACGACTAGTGGTAGCACTGGCGGTGTCAAGGTCGAGGCATTGGCAACGGCTGCCAGAGCGCCAACCGCCGACAGGAGATGGAGCTTCATGGCGGGCAACCACGGAGAAGTGTCGAGGTGGCAGCTAGGAACAGAAGACTCGCCAGGGGATAGGATTTCCTAATGATACATAAAACTGGTGGAATCAATCCAATGAATACGGAAGAGCTTCGAGCTCGGCAAGCAAGATGCTACGTTGGGACTCAATCCCTCAAGGAACGTACTGCTGCTACGCGTAATGAAGTCGTGCAGAAACAGAGTTCGGGACGGATGGACGAATGGGGAAGAGAAGTAGGTAGCTGTCGACAGAGAAGCTGGAAACCCGGTTGGTCCGTCCAGGCCTGCGGACGAAACGAACCCAAGTGCGGAGGAGCTTGCCAGGGCTGGGCTGCTGGCTGGAAGTGGGCGATGGGCGGATCAAGGGCAGGATGGAATCCAAGATGACGGCAGAGACGCCTATCGTCAGGCCCCGCCCCCACAAAATGTGCCTGGGCAGCGGGTCACTCTTAGGTCACCCGGGTCATGCGACCTGAACATCGGAGGACTGTCAGAATGCACCATCTGATCACGATACCTAGGTATGCACGAATAGCTGCGCGAGGCAAGGCGAAAAGCCCGCTAACTAGTTATGGGTTGCACAACAGCGGCCACCTGCCAGCTCGCAATGCGAGATCTCATTGCTCAACCGCGTTCTTGGAGAAAAAGCCGCTGCATTCAGGTTGGAGAGAGTCCGGGGTCGCCCAGGGGCTGATGCATTAGCGTGAAGCGAGAGGAGGGGACGGATTCGAAGGTGGGTTCACCACGACTCAACCCGCATCTTGGATGATCAATATATCCTTCACCAGGTTGAATTAACATGACCCACGAATATACAGGGTACGGAATCAGTATACGGAGCGATGAGCGGTCAAGCACAAGTATAATGCAGAATCTCCAAAATCCAGCCCATTGTTGAGATACTTATTCGGGTTATGACGTCACCTTTAGTGAAGGGCCGCAGGAGAGAGGTGACGAGTATATCTCCTTGCCAACTGCAAATGTATTCACTACCCAGCCGCCCATGATGCTATGTAACTAAAGCGCAGCTGCGTACTCTATGGGACTGACGATACTCCCCGCGATCCCAGGTTAAGCGACACCACAAGTCTGGGTTCAATCCTCGAGCAAGTACCAAGTAATGCCGGTGTCATGAGTGGACTAACTGTCACCTTCGGCATTGATCCAGTTCTTCAGCATTAGCCAACCAGGCAATTGGCGCAACATAACAACGTCAGGAGTGTTGCGTCTGCTCTGCTTCTTAACATCGTGCAGGGCATTCGGGTCTTCGAGAGATGTGCGTTTGGTCCGCATCTTCTATGTACTTCCTCGACCCCTTTGTCACACAGATAAACGTCTACTCTCAGAAGACGTCCTCTGGCTGTACCGCATGCTTCTCGCCGTTCTCTCGGACGTGCTGACCCTTGGTGTCGCGCTTCATCGATTTGCGCATGTCGTAGGCGTCCTCGCCATCAGCAGTGGGGTCATTCACATCGTCGCCGTAATAGTTCTTGACGACGCGGTAGACGCTGTAGCCGCTCTTCTTGTAGAAATTTATGGCGCGAGTGTTGCTCTTGCGGACGAACAGGTCCATAAACCAAGCATCACCCACGTCGCCCTCCTCCTCCAGGCGTTTGGTTAAGACACCTCCTATGCCAGAGCGGCGATAGGCCGGGGCAACCGTAAGAGCAGTGATGTGGGCGTGCCAGGGCAAATAGTGAGGCGACTGCTTGAAATAGGCAGGAGAGCTTTCCAGTTTTCCCATAACTAGAGCAGCGTAAGCAATGACAGCATGGAATGACGTGGGGTGTACTGAGTTGTGACTTACCGTAGCCTACGATGTTACCAGAGTCGTCCTCCGCAACGATGAACATGCCTGGCCATTTTGCATAGTACTGCAAGTAGAATGAGGAATCGTAGGTCTCAGTCAAGGGATCCATGTTACACATGGAGATCCGGTTGAGATCATCCGGGCGGAAGCGTCGGAAAGTCACCATCTTGCCTTTTTACTAGCGGGTGACGGCGTGATGGGTTCGACAGTGAATGTGAGATATCGGGACTGGAAAGGAGGGAAGTAGGCGAGTTACGATAATTGATAACTTCGGTGGTGAGCTTGGCCAGCCAGCCGTTGCAAATGAGCGGAACTGAGCTCGATGGCTTGATTCGTTTCAACTTGCAAGATTGTCGGGAGTCGTTGGCGGACGCTATTCAATTGACGGCCGGACGCCCGTGACAAGGGAGTCGTACAAGGATACTAGAGTACTACTAGCTTTGCGTCACAGTTGGTTATTGCTCGACAGCTGTGCCGTGTGTCGTCGTCGCCGTCTGTATATAACAGAGATGCTACAGTGGTTGGTCGGGAGAAGAGGCAAGCATGGAAGTTTGATCCTAGACTTATCGATCTGACAGTGATAAGAGGTTAGGCTTGTTACCAAGCCGGATATGTCTTCTTGAGAGCCCTCTTGTGAGTGCAGCTGATCTGTGATTCTTGTCTTGAATTCGGATCAGAATATGTCCCTGTTAAGGATGATAACCTGACAGACCGGTGAATGCGAGGAGATCTCTTTCGACCAGTGAAATGCACAGGCAATGCTGCAGCGGTCGACAATCCAACCTGGAGATGCCTTGGCCAGAACTCGGCAGTCGTATACTTAATGAAAGACCGGGTCACAAATGAAAATCCCGACAAACGAACAATAGCAACTCATGTCCGACTTCTTAGGCAATCCAAGACTGCACAACGGGAATTTTGGTGCGGGACATCTCCACCCACGCCTAAGGCTTTCTGCCCCATTCCAAGAAAAATGTGCATAAATCGTGCATATCTATTAGCGCTCTCTCTGATATAATGCACAACTTGACCTCTAAACAATTACCACCAAACTGCGACTATTTGCACGACGACATACCAAGAGACCTTGTAAGTACAAGACTCCTGGCCTTATTTATGAAGCTTCTACTACAGTCGGCATTCTCCGCGAAACCATCTTCCGCACCGTCTTCATTGACCCCTTCAGCACGCTTAGGTGGCTCCCCTGGAAAGCCTCGTCGATCTCATCCAGGGTCCTTCCCCGTGTCTCCGGCATGAACACGCAGCAAACGGCGGCCGTGAGGATGAGACAGCCCCCGAACATGAAGTACGCGCCGTAGCTCGACTTGGCCAACAGCGTCGGCGTGACGAGAGCAACGAGGAAGTTGGCCAGCCAGTTGCTTCCATGCGCGATGTTCGTTGCGCTGGCTCGTGTCTTCTGTGGCTGGATCTCGGCCGCATAAAGCTTCATACCCACAGCCCATGAGACGCAGTACAAGACCGTGAAAATGTAAATCGATACGATAACGACCCACCGGCCTGCTCCCGTGTCCGCGTGCACGGCATCGCCGGCGTACAGACCACCCATGAGGAACATTGTGCATGCCATCCCAACGCCGCCAATGATGGTGTTAGTTCGTCGTCCCCAACTGTCGGCCCAAATGATCGCAGGGATAGTGACGGCGAATATCACGATGGCCGAGACACCAGAGGCAAAGAATGTCGATTGTTGCGAGCTGAGGCCGGCTTGTTGGAAGAGCAAGGGTGCATACTGTGATTTGTTAATTTAGTGATACGACAAGGTAAAGAAATGTAGAAGTTCTATGTCAAAGAGCGACAGTGAATTGGCAATATCAACTTCTGCAAAATGATAAATATGTTAGTCTTTCATGTTTCAACGGTTCTCGGGGGATACAGATCGTCAATGCATGGGGTAGATACACCGAGAGCTTAGTTGGAATGCCACTTGGCTCCAACTAGAAGCACACATATTAAAGCGAGACGATGAAAAATAAGGAATTTTGGGAGGACCGACACATAGAGTACACCGTCGATACCGCTCAGTTGCTGCATTCCCATGAGAAACATGGCTAAGAAGAGTCGAGGTCGTGACTCGGCGGAGAGAACATCGAGCAGCTGCGATTTCTTCGATTTGGACGGTTCCGCTCGCGCACCATTCCGACTGCGGTGGCCCGTGTTGGCCGCGACAACAGAATCATTCGGAACACTGATAACCTCGGCCACAGCCATGTCGTATTGACCCAGGATCTTCTCTCGGTCGGCTGCCTGGACATCGAGGTTTTCCCACGCACTTGCAGATTCGCTGGTTCTCCCACGCAGAACAAGCCAGCGAGGCGAAGGTGGGAGTAGGAGAAGAGATATGGCGGTAAATACGAAGGAGTAGGCCGACAGCAGAACGAATGGTAGACGCCACGACATTGACGATTCCACGTTGGCAGTGCCATAACATGTGAAGAACCCAACCATGAGACCTAAGGTGGTGAGGAGTTGGGGCCCAGAAGTGAGAGCACCGCGATATCTGGGAGGTGAGATCTCGCAGATATACCTATCAACAAACAATCAGCTGCTCACGATAGTCTTCTCATGGTACATGGGGGGACTCATAGCTTACACCACTAACGTTCCCATGTAGAGACCCTCGCCAATACCCTCGATAATTCGGCCGGTAATGAACATGCCAATGTGCATAGAGGCAGCTTCGAGAGCGGATCCTATGGCAAAGATCAGGGAGCCGATGGCAATTCCTCGTTGTCGGCCTAAGGCGTCTGCAAGTCTACCGGCGAAGAAAGAGGATATTGCGGCAGGTATAAGTATTGAAGAGACAATTAACCCATGGATTGTCGGGGAAGAGTCGCCGACGGATTGCTGAAAATCTTTCATAACTGTAACGGGTCCAATGATGCCAGTGTCGATGCCGAAGAGAAAGCCCCCAAAGGAGCACATGATACTGGCGGTGACATAGCGCGGTGGCTTGTGCATATACTTGGAGACCTTCATGTTTGCGGAATACTGTCGGTATGAGATCGCTCCTGTCGTTTAACTGGTAGGACTGGGTATCGGGTTTGAATCCTATCCTAGAACTAGAAAGGAATAAAGAGGGAGCTTTGACGACGTAACAGACAATGCAAACCTTGGTCTTTTATAAGAGTGTCGAGACGCTGTGAATCAAGGGCGCATTTTCATGGACTTGGGATTGCATTGTATCACTGACAGTTGCGATATTCCGGCGTATGCGCAATTGATGAATACTGTCAGACTGCTGCAATCCCACGCCCTGCGAGGTCGGCCTAATCCACAAATGGCTCAAGATACGCGCTTACCGTAAAATATACCACAATTGGCCTAGATCGAATGCGGCGATTCAGGCCAGTACAAGAGTGAGAAACACTCAGTCGTAACATTTACCTTTTTTGGAAGTGGGAGTATGCTTCAATGATGATATTCCTTCAATCATGAAATGGCTAGTGTAAGCCACATTTCCTCAATCATGATAGACACCATTTCGCACTCCCTGTTGTACACAATGTTCTCCAAACTTTTGCGCCCTTGCGATGAGCGAACCCACTTTGCACACTCCCGGCATGGCTGTGTAGAGGTGGTGAAAGCGTGTTTGCATAAAGCAATTGTGCAGAAAGAAAATGGCCATTCACAATATTATAATTAAGAGAGGCGAGGATGACAGAAGTCGATCCATATGTGGGTGAGAACCATCTGTGATACGCATGCATCTCCGAACGATCTGTCTAATAACTGGTCTCTTGGCACACTATGAATTGTACCAGCGCCCAGGCTCGACCAGCTGCTGTAGTTTCTTAACACGACTCCGAGTGCTGAAGCCATGGCGAGTTTCGACATCGCCAAGCAGCGCCCAGAGCGCGGTCTTTTTGTCTATGCCATGAACATGCTTCGCAGCTGTAGCAAATTGGAAGATCAGCTCCATGAGAGTGAAGCACTCGGCAGGGAGGGGACTTACCAATGAAGAGAGCCTGGGGAGAAAAGCTCCGTACGCTTTGAGGTACGTCGGCCAACGCTATATTCGCAATTTCTGTTGCATGATGCTGAATCTGGTCCAAGTTAGAATACCTCTTCAGATGAACAGATCTGATGTTCTTGCCTGGTAGGTATGGGACGGCTGTATTATGGAGACCGGCTCGGCGTATAATAGTATATGAAGTACGTGATACCACATCATAGCAGTTGCTACTCGGACGAAATGTTTGGTTATAGTATCTTTGAGCATTCGTGGGTCGACTGACTTACCTGCAGATGGAACGGCAAAGCATCTCTTATGGAAGCCGCGATCATCAGCCATGCCATAGTTGACTCCTCGGAATGACGCCGGTAAGCTACGAGACCATGTTTCAGCGTCGGTTTGGATAGCTTGTCGCTCGTTGCTCATTGGGTCAGGCGAGCCGGGACCATAGACAACATTGATGGCCCGCCCGACTAAGCAAAGTAGCTGATTGCCAAGTACATCCTCCTCGACATTTCCTTCTTGCCAGCTAGTGTGCCATTTACTGGGATCAATTTGGAGCGTCGTCTCGTTCACCAGGGCCACTGTGATCTCGTGCCTAACATATATCCAAAAGTTGGCACGGTCCATACCTAGAGAACGTGCACTAATACCACGGCTCATAATGAGCACCATAGCCCCATGAAAATGCCGTTTGTGCTCCTGGCCCTGAGCTGCAACCATTTCGTAACTCGAAAGCAGTATGGTGGCTGTCAGTGCGTCTTCGTGAGGCGCGTCGCTAGCCAGATGGCGGATCAATAGGCGTAAAGCATCGCCATAGTAAGTAGAAGCCGGGGCAGCCCAAATTTGGCCAGATGGTAGGAGGCTTAAGTGCTTGGCTGTAAATGCGCAGATGCTCTTCATCAGAAGCTCTGATGTCAGGCTTCTTCTGGGCACCTCTCGCTGGTAGGAACAGCCATGGTCGAAGATATCCATCCAAGTGGCGACTCCAGCTTTGTACTTGGCCAACAGATGCGCCGTCTCTGCGTCTATTGAAACGGGGCCAGGCTCAGGAGGGGGCAAGCTTTGGGGAGTGACGGCTCCCGCTGTGGATGCGGTAGAGGATGGCGATGGTGACGAGTGCGTGATGATTGCCGTATCTGGAGCTGAATTCAAGCCTGCATTGGGTATGCAACCGTTGAAGAGGTCCCACGTCGACGTAGGCAGCGTTGGTGACCTCTCGGGTTCATTTCGTGAAGTCGCGGAGTTGCGCGTCGGCACAGGCCACGCGGACTGTGTTATGATATCAAAGGGCTGACAACGAAGATTCAGGCGCTCGCAGTTGCTGCAAACAGGCCTTTTCTCGTCACATCGAGTATGCCGCGCTTTGCAGGTATAGCTGGTGGTGAGATTAGGATAGCTTAGAGACATCAACTTGCGGAGACGAACACTTACCACCCTATAGCAACAGGAAGTGAACACTAGATACTGCGTTTGGGCTAGCACTGAGTATGCACTCACCTGTTCTCCTGCGTGTCGCCCCCCTGCGCCGCTTCTTCAAGACAACACCTTGGCCTGTCAAGTCTGGTGGTCTTGAGTGGACAGCATCCATCTTGACTACTTTGTAAGCCCCTCGAGGTGGCGTAAGTCAGATAACTGCTTAGGCGATCGGTCAGCGCCGAGTTGTTGCATCTGATCCTGTGCCCAATCAATTCAAATGTCGCGTGAGGCGACCTTTCCATATCACGTATCGCAAGCGAGCTGGACAATCCTAAACACCGCGAAGTCTTTGCTGGGTAGCGAACTCATCAGGTATTCATAGCAGGTGCCTGTTCCGTAGACCCACATTCGCGACGTTCTGTAATCAAGTCCCTGTTGGGGAGGCGCCTGTGACAGTCGTACAAACCCAAAAGGATAACGGCTCCGAATGACAGACTGTTGTGAGCAGAGTTCTAGAAGCCTGACAGGACCTGGATACGCTGTACTGTAGGTGCATAGACATCGAGACGACAACGCCTGTAGATTTGTTCGCAGTCTTGGCTGTAACTTGGACTTTGCATGCAGTCAGGAACTAGTCATGCCTGTAGTTCGCAGGGCTCCCTAGGGGTACCCCTAACGCATGCCAGGCACATAACTTATTAGTTGGGCTGCCACGCGGTCGCGCTGCCATCCGTGGATCCATGGATGCTGCACAGGGCGGCCCGCCAAGCAAGACCAGGGAACCCCCACCAACAGCGCAGTCATTTCAGTTTGACAGCAGGCGGATCGTCAGGGTGAATGAGCACAGTCTCCACTCGACAAGAGCAGGCCGAAAGTCCGGACAGTGTGTCACTTGGCGTCGTGCAATCAGCCCCGGGCCGGCGCCTCTCACGAAAGACTCTTCAAATGTTGACAAGAAGGCAGGGCGTGTGATTCGATCATTGCGCTCCCCGGACTCGACCGGCCCCAGGTCAGCTGCCGCGTTGTCCAGGCGCAATCTTGTGATATAGACTAAGGAATCTGATATGCGAGGCCAGCATCAATCAAACCTCCCTGTCCGTCTCCAGGCCCCTGGGCTCCACTTGACAACAGTAACCACGACAAAGAGAAAAAACACAACAGACGCAGCAGCACCCTCGTAATAATAGAACGACAAGTCGTCCTGCCTCGAGCGAGCGACCGCTTGCTGCAAGGAGCAACATACACCCCGGCGCCACTGTTTTCCATACAAAGGTGCCTACGATACGAAATCACGAAGTAACGAGTCTCGGCACGTCGCGACCCGCCGGAGAACAAACAGCACCCTGCTTTCCAGACGACTCGCCCTCAGCGGTCGCCCAAATTTTGATACCCAGACGGCCAGGAGACCCACGCGTCGAGTCCCAGCCTGTCGCCCGCAACCAGATCATCACCATGGCCTCGTCGCCGCGAACACCGCGGCACTCCCGCCAATCCTCCATGATGGAGAACAGCTACCCACACTCGAGCCCCGGCTCGTCCCCCGTCGCACGCCGAGCCTCCAAGTCCTCGACCCAAGACCCCATGACGCCCTTGCGCAACAGCATGAACGACCAAGACATGAGCATGTTCAGCGGCACCCAGATGGAAGGCGGCGATAACGGGCTGGGGAACCTCGCAGACGAGCTTGCCGACGCATTCTCCGAGGACGAGGACGAGGAGGGGTACTACGAGGACGGCGAGCAACCCCCTGGCATCAGCCTCGACCTGCCCGAGGGTGACGGTCGGGAAGGAGTCGACGGCATTCGAGACAGCGGCGTCGATGTCGAGAGCCAGGGTGATCAGAAACAACTGCCGAACAGGAACAAAGCCGCAGCCCTATCACTACCACCCAACATGAGGGGACACCGCAGACAAGGGAGCCAGTATGACGGAAGTGAATATGGTTCAGACTCCGATCTCGAGTCTCCCGGCATCCCTCCCAGTCTCGTCGCCAGAATGGATGCTGTCGAGTCGCTGGCAAGGCGAGGCACGGATGGCGGCCCTGCCGACGGAGTCTTCAAGCGCGTAACAGACGGGCTCAAGGACCTAGGATCACAGTCTGGCGTTGAGGGCAGCACCACTCGACTGATCACCGCGCACTCGGCTCTGGCGACGCACCTGGCACACCAAACCAGGCAACTACACAATCTGACCTTTCCGCTCTTGTCACCACTCGTGGCACCCCCTGATGCCGAGACCATCGACGACTTACTACCGCTACTCGTCTCCCTTGCCGACGACATGCCAAGACCTACCACCTCGGCCTATAATTCCCTAGCAAACCTACACTCCGTCACCTCGGACCTTGTGCAGACCCTCAACTACCTCTCAGATACCCTACACATGTCACGCCAGACAACGACGACGGCGGCCAGGCGGCTGAAATCCGCCAAGGAAATGGTCGCCGAGATGAAGCGCGAGGAGGAGCTCAAGGAAGAAGGCGAGAGGTGGCTCAACCGAGGAAACTGGGGTGAGAGGCTGCAGAACCGGGAGTGTGCAGGCGTGTGTCGGGACGTCGTCGGTGGCTTTGAGGAGGTTTGCAATGGTTGGCGGGCTAGGCTCCTCGCACAGGCCGAGTCAGCATCGTGATTCCAAGCATTATCCTATCCACAGCGCCGTGACTTTCTGCCACGGTGGACAAGTTCTTGAACACTGCCGATTATAACAGTGTAGAGCTTCGAGGGGCTCTTAGGTTCAGACATTTTTGTGCGGCGTTGGCTATGATTTAGACCTGTCCGCAAGGTCACTGGTATAGAATGCGCCAGGCCACTATTCTCGTGGCTGGGGCTACGTTAGATGAATGATGTTCTGCAAGAGATACATATACATACACCAATGAGACTATAATATCCTACCAGAGGTGTTGAAACATCCCCTCTAAAGAGATACTTAACATCTGGCAGAGTCAAACACTATACAAACCGACCTGAAGAGACTCAATCTCCCCGAGCTAATAACCAGGTTAAGTATTGACTGCGTTGCGTATCTTACTCATCCGCAGTTGACCAACACCTTTGCTGCGTTGTGTTTAGCGCTACAAAGGGTTGAAGGGGCTTGACAGTTCAAATCTACCGAAGTCTTGCAAGTTCCTGGGTGTCACAGTTCCATGGGCCCACTACTCTTGCATGCCTATATGCCTGTAAAATTACTCCGCAACTAGTCTAGTTAACTAGCACCACGCTGACTTCCAAGATAGGTCAGAAGAGCTTCTGCAGCAGCCGATCCCAACCCAGTTGCTACGCAGACAATCGAGTTTCTCAGAACACGCCCGTGTTTCTTAAATCCCAGTGTTGCCTCACATGCCACTGAGTATAAAAGAATTTCGAAATCACATGCGTTTTTCTGATGCAGGACGAATCCTGTAATCCTCCCGCGTCTCGCTTACGGTGTCGCCCAAGTTCGACGTCCAACGGCCCGGTGGAGCCCTATGCGAGAGCAGACCTGCGCCATTGCGTCAATTGGCGGGTGAATAGGCCCTCTTACTTATTAGCCGCGAGAACATCACCCCACGCGCCGAGCCCCCCCTCACCCCTCGGGGGGATCCAGGGCCGGCTGGGCTCGGGGAGGAGTGTGATTCGCCCTTTTGTTTTATATCGACGCAGCGACTCAATTCTCGGGAGTTGGATAGTATCTCAATTATACTTATTTACTTAAGTTCTGAGCACCATCGCAAGTCTGTCTCAGGTGCTGGAGTCCAGTTACAAGACCGTCACACATTGGAGGACCATGGAGCCAAACAAGGGTCTCGTTCTTGGCTATAATGGAGTGCACCCGTTCTCCAAAGTAGAGATCAAGGATAGGGCCTCTGTGCAGGAGCTGCTCCGGACTTTGCTCGACCCCCTCGAGCCGTTCTTCTCCCCGTTGAAGTCCAGAGTCAGATGTCCGGGAGCTACCGCAGTCAGGTTCGATCAGACCGCATCGGAGGTCGAGGGTATATGCCGGCCTCTTTGGGGTCTAGCCTGCCTGCTGGCAGGTGAAGGGGAGTACCATGGTACCGAATGGTGGGTTGAAGGAATCAAGGCGGGTACGGACCCTGAGAGCCCGGAGTACTGGGGATACCCCCGGGACAATGATCAGAGGATGGTGGAGATGTGCCCCCTTGGGTTCGCTCTCGCCGTCGCTCCTGTATTTTGGCAGTCCATGAGCGAGAAAGAACGAGACAATGTCGAGGCGTGGTTGGGCAACTCGATCAACGAGAAGAAGTACGTTGGTCCACAACTGCACCCTTTTGCTGACGATGCATATCTGACCTGGCTTAGTATGCCCAATACCAACTGGCTCTGGTTTAGAGTCTTCGCCAATCTAGGCCTGAAGAAGAATGGGGGGAAATTCTCCCAGGAGAGACTCGACAGCGACATTGAGCATTTGAATACGTTTTACCGTGGTGACGGGTGGTCCAATGATGGGCCTGAGGGGATACACCGTAAGTGCGAAATCTTAGAGTTTTTGTGAGACCTTGTTAATCAACCCTTTCAGAGATGGACTACTATTCATCCAGCTTTGCTATCCACTTCCTTCAGCTGCTGTACGCGAAATTGGCGGGCGAGGAGGAGCCGGAGAGGGCAGCAGAGTTCAAGAAGCGAGCCCAGATCGCTGCGCTAGACTTGGCGCACTACTATGACAATGAAGGTGAGCAGTTTCTTGTAACAAACATTACATCAGGCTGACAGGAAGCGTCAGGTCGCGCTATCCCCTTTGGCCGCAGTGTAGGCTATCGCTTTGCCATGGTTTCGTTCTGGGGTGCACTTGCGTACGCGGGTGTTGAGTTGCCAGAGCCACTTACATGGGGTATGGTCAAGGGCATCGTTCTTCGACATCTCCGATGGTGGCAAACGCAGCCTGATATCTGGAGTTCCAGTGGTACGCTGACGATCGGGTACTCGTACCCGAACATGTATGTAAGTACCGATTCCTGCCGACACGATTATTCGTCTTCGCTAACCACACTCAGATGGCTGAGAACTATAACAGCCCGGGTAGCCCGGTAAGGGCATTATGTTCTTCCAGCTTGATCGGTCTCACTGACTCCTGGTGTTAGTATTGGGCTTGCCTGGCTTTCATTTGCTTGGCTGTGCCCCCCGAGCATCCGTTCTGGACTTCGGAGGAGGAACTTCACGTGGGCAAGATACCGGAGATCAAAGGGTTGAAGCAACCGGGCCACATCATGAGGTTAGTTTATGACCATGAGCAACATCCCAGAGCTAACGGTTACTAGCCATCTCGGTGGCCACACTATGCTCTTATCCAGCGGTCAAGCATGCAGCTACCCCATGAAAGGTACGCACGCGAAGTACGGAGCCTTCGCGTATAGCAGCGCCTACGGCTACTCTGTTCCGCCGGGTTTGTTCAGCCTGGAACAGTATGCGCTGGCGTCACAGCTTGGTCTTTCTGATGACGGCGGAGAATATTGGAAGACACGGAGAAAGTCCGAGTACGCAGGCCTTGAGTACCGGGATGATCAGCCTGTTCTTGTGTCAGTCTGGAAACCGTACCCAGATGTCACAGTGAGGACAATTTTGATTCCGCCCCAGGAATCAACTCCAAATTGGCATATACGGGTGCATAAGATCGAGGCCGGAAGAGAGGTCATGACCGCGGATGGGGCCTTTGCAATCTGTAACCAGCGGTCAATCGATGGACGCTACCTGGACTTATATGATTCCGAAAAGTGCGAAGGCACCTTCCCGAAGATCATCGGCAACTACGATCTCAACACCCCTGACGGCTGGGCGAAAGGCCACCAGGGTGCATTTGCCGTCTCCAAAGGCGCAGTAGGCATCAAGTCGCTCGAGGACAAGGTCGAGCGCAACGCCATGTTAGTGAATGCCGACCCGAATTCGAATCTGGTCGAGAGCCGCACCGTCATCCCTACTCTGCAACACACCATCAAGCAGGGAGAAGTGGTGTGGTATGTCTCGGCAGTCTATGCCAAGCCGTCTGGCGAAGGAGTCCCGAAGCAGAGCTATCTGGATGGATGGGACAAGGTACCCGATATTCCAGGGTGGCTGAAGGCCGAGATTGGAGCATAAAATCGAGACATGAACTCTCTCGTTGGTCGAACTTGGCCCGCCAATCTATATAGCATCTGTCTTGGCCGAGAATGCAAGGTCAGTTGTTGGACAGTCAAATTATCAATTATACGGGCGGAATTCGATTGTATCGTTCTTGGTTCCCATTGCGATAGTGCATTTGACTAGCAAGGGTATGTAACTAGACTGAAAAACCAATAACCCAACACGATATTACTTGGAGCAATCGGGGAGGTGCATATCCAGCTGCTGAAAGTGCCACCTCTCATTGGAGGACTTCCGAGCCAAGACCAGGCCTCCTTGAGTTAAAGCAAATCCTCCCAAAGGGCTGGCTACCATGATGCTATTCCGGGAGGTTGTCGCACGAGCTATGCTTCGAAGCGTGTACGGCCACGGTCATCACAGTGAAACCGGTACTTGAAATTCTGAATCAATGACAGACACGTGGGCGAGTGCGTCAAAAGCCCTATATTCTTCTTCGAGGCATTCGGCTAAAGCTTCCCCAGGTTGTTCCAGTCATTCCCCAAGGACCCCTCCCTCCCCCCAACGGCTAAAGGTGGGGAGAGCGTTTACTATTCATCCGTCGCCATATAGTAGGCCAGTCACACAACCTGGGGAAAGTGAGTTTAGTTCGAATCCGCACACATCTGGGAGATACTTGAAGTCGTCACGTACGGTGCAGATCCTGAGACAATAGTTCAGCCACGTGAATCCCCAAGAAGACGGTCAGCATTGCGAAGGATGCACCTCGATAATCCTACCCGAGTCCCCTCCCAGTCTTCTGGAAAGCCACTCATCTCGGTCTGCAGCACCCGTTACCCAGTGCCTGCTCACCGGGTAGAGCAGTCGCGTGGCTCAGCAGCAGGTACAGTGACACAACGGCTCTGCTGGGTGCAGGCAGGCCTAGAGCGTGCAGAGCTTCCCCCTGTCGGGCCGTTGTCCTAGCTTCAAATCATCCCGTCCAATCGTTGTTCTGCTCGCCGGGTGTGGGAGGTATAAGCTCCGTTGATTAATTATGGCCTAGCCAACAGCATCCCCGGCTCGAGGCAAGGAGTCTTTCGTCTGATGGGCTTCTTGATCCCTGGTGGACCACGTCCTGTCTGGTGGGTTACACGATTGTGCCTCCCCCCGACACCCAGCCCATGTTTCCCTTCTGTCGATGTGTTCCCGACCATCTGGGGAGGAGGCTTGCTCGCTTGCACCAGCACGTTGACGGTTTCTCCTGCATTTTGTGCATAGAAGAAGAATAGTATCCGGTGTAACCCAGCGGCGTAGTCAATCCGAATATGGCCTTTGCAACACTGATCGTAAGCTGAACCCGGGGCCTACCCGGCCGTCCGTCTTGCATATTACATGCGTACCAGCCCACGCTTCGAATCCTTCTAGTCTTCCATTTATGTGTTCTAGAGCGGTGGTCTCGTTTCTTTTGCTTCCCAAAAAAGATCGTCGCCTCGCTTCAGCACGCAATGAGCCTCAACTGACAACGGAGTATCTCGGCCATTGCAACATAACAAATACTACGCAGATACTTGGTAGTCCCATTCGTAATGGGGAGGACTTTGGTGAAGGTCCTGAGGTTGGTGGTTAGGAATGATGCTATGCGAGATGAGTGTGTATTATCAACGTCGACGCGAACCGTTCCCGTGTCCGACTAATACCGATATAGTCCTCCACAAATATATGGATGGAGAGTGTTTGCATTGGTGTGCGCATCATGGTGAGACTAAGATAATATTAAAGATGGTGTTTCGGCGCTGTGCTAACTGGGACTGTAGTTTTGGTGGGATGCTCTTTGGTTGGGAGTAAGTGAACGTGGCATCACGATGCACCATCATGCTGACACCTTCAAGTATCGGCGCAATAGGAGGTATTCTGATCATGCCGAAATTTATGCAGTGCGTCTACATTGAAGAACACCATCTACCACGACCAGCTCTGTTAACGATACTAGGGACTACGGCATCGACGTAAAGGAGAAGGACATACTATCGGAAAACAGTAAGTGTCCAACCTGGAATACCAATGTCATAACATAATCTAACAAGACCTGCAGTCGTCTCGACATTGCAGGCCGGTTGCTTCGTCGCGTCGCTCCTTGTAAGTCCCCTCCTGTAATATCTTTCGATATGATCAACTGGCTCACTAACGACAAAGGCCGGCCCCTTTTCCGACAAATACGGGCGAAGATGGTCGCTGATAATATCCGCAATCATCACCTGCGTTGGCATAGCACTCCAGGCAGCCCCGACGCTGAGCCTTCCCATACTATACGTCGGTCGGTTGGTGGCAGGATTCGGAGTAGGAGCAGCTTCGATGCTTACACCGTTATATGTTTCAGAATGTGCACCAAGAGCTATCAGGGGTGCTTTGACGGGCTGTTACCAACTGTTCATCGTCAACGGGGTCATGCTATCGTTTTGGTAAGCCCGAAAAGCACACCTCGAGGTATTCATGCTAATTTACCAGGGTGAACTATGCTACGCAGTACCACTGGGAGGATAGGAATGTATATTTAATTCCGCTTTCACTACAAGCAGTACCAGCCATGTGCGTAGAACCTAGCTTCTCCGCTGGAAAGAAGTCGCTGATTGCAGGTCTAGTTGCATGATAGTGGGCATGCTTTGGTGTCCTGAAAGGTTTGTATCCCTGTCCATCTATTCCAAGGTACAATAGCATTAAGTCATAATCTAGCCCCCGATGGACCGCGAAGATGGACGACTGGGAGAGAACAACGTACATCCTGTCCAAACTTACCAACTTACCAGAAGATCACGAATACATCGACCACGAGCTCTACGGCATGGCCGAGCAACTTGAAATTGAGCGTCGTCTCGTCGGCGATGCAACAACTTGGATACTACTGAAAGAAATGTGGCTGATCCGAGGCAACCGAAACCGGGCCCTTATCTCGATCGGGCTCATGGTATGCCAACAGATGACGGGAGTGAATGCCATTGTGAGCACTTCAATTCTATGGAATACAACTTGACGTTCTGTGACTGACACGCACGTTTGCAGAACTACTATGCGCCTCAAATGTTCCAAGCTCTAGGCATGAACAGCACGGAGAGCTCTCTTTTTGCTACGGGCATCTACGGCGTTGTCAAAGTCGTCGCCTGCCTGGCTTTTCTGATTTTCGCCGCAGACTCGCTGGGCAGACGGATGAGTCTACTATGGACAAGCATAGCTCTCTCTATTTCCATGTTCATCATCGGGGCGTATATGTATATCAGCCCGCCAGTGCAAGGCCAGCCGGCAAGTCAGACACCGTCTTTTCCAGTTGCTTCATGTTAACTCGAACATTGTACAGATACCCCCTTTCGGCTATGTTGCCCTTGTTTGCATCTTTCTATTTGCAGCGTAAGTTCCCTATAGTGGCTAAGCAGTCCCTCTAAAATCTGATCACTGAGTTATACCCATAGCTTCTTCCAATTTGGTTGGGGCCCGTGTTGTTGGATCTACGTCAGTGAGATACCCAGCGCACGTCTCAGGGCCATGAACGTCGCACAAGCAGCAGCGACGCAATGGCTATTCAATTTTGTAGTTGCAAGAAGTGAGTGCAGTGAAACATTTCGCATACCTCAGCGCTTCAAAACTGACTTTGACCAGCTGTACCTACGATGATGAAGAACATGGGATATGCCGGCTACGTGAGTGACAAGGATTTCTTTGCTACCAGCACCAAGAGTCAAACACTAACATGATTGTTGCTTAGGGAACATATTTTCTTTTTGGGTCTTTCTGCGCAAGCATGTTTTTCTTTGCCTATTTCTTGATTCCGGAAACGAAGGGGATGAGCTTGGAGAAGATGGACGAGCTCTTTGGAATCACAGACATGCTGCGTGTCATGCAAGACATGGAACATCGCCGGCCGTACAGCCACCGATCCACCGCCGAGTACGAACTGAAGGAAGAGGACAAGTGGCAGCGGCTGTCAGGATAGTAGATGCTTAGGGACCTCCCATTGCGTCCGGCTACTGTAGCGGAGACCTGCAAGCTTTTCTATTTCCATGCGAGGGATGAGCACGTGGGTGAGCTTGGCCAGGCGGGTAAATAACTCGAATATAACTCAGGGTGCGGTTGGGGGAACGGAAAGGGAAAAGGTTGGCGCAATATGTTTATTCTGTTCCCACGACCGTAATTTGGCGGTCGAAACTAGAGAACTCGAATAGTTCATCTCGTAAAACCCTCACGTATTCGGACGATGTTGGCGCCCCTAGTGCTACCCAAATGGGCAGTCCGGCTAATTGTATCCAAGCTCCCGGTATCTGCCCACCACTGTATTTCACTGTACGAATTCGGGTCCAGCATATTGAGCTCATGCAAGATTGTGCGTTCTACGTCATGTTGCTGGACGACGCTGGTCACAAGATCTTTCAGTGTTTGGCTGAGATACTTATGACATACGCGCTCATATGAATAATTACTGAGAACGATCATGACGTGCTCGGATTAGCTGATGTGATCTGTCAGCATGCTGGTGACCTTCTACATCAGGTCATTTCGATGGACGTTAGTAGGTGGTAGTGCGCATACACCAGTATAACTGCATCCGGTTAAGATCATTATAATTCGACCAAGTAATGATGCACTGCCAAAAAAGGGGCCTGTCAATACCACAGTAGTTCGAGTCTGATGTATGTCTTCTTCTTTGTACGGTGATAGTCGAATGCCCCATGCAGAAAATTGGTATACCCAACAGTCCTTCAATTCTCATAAAGAACTGTCTTTCTAACCAGCCGTATTTGGCCCTCCCTTTTAGTCAACTATGAACAATACCTAAGTTGATTCTCTGTTACTCCATGCATGCAGTCATCCTTGTCGCGACATAGCTGCTTATCAGCCAAACCAGTCAATCAATATTGTGGTTGAACACCTTCAACCTCCCCGGAACGCCTTGCTGTCGTAGGCGCCATTGGCGAGATTGGAGAAGGGGGGTCTCTGAGCAATATGCTCATCCTGTGACGATCCTAGTGCCCCGCAAAGGTCAGGATGAATTCTGCAAGCTTCTGAGCACCTTCCAGGGGGATCGAGTTGTAGTTGCTGGCCCGTATGCCTCCCACGCTACGATGGCCCTTGAGGCCCTCAAGACCCTGGCCCTTAGCCAGCTCTAGGAAGTTCTTTTCGTCTACATCCATATCGTTGGTCTAAATGATTGGGTCAGCCAGATCTACCTTGGGACATTGTAGTGCAACAGCGTGTCACTGATGTGGTGCACGGGATTTCTTGTATGATCCCCAAACTGCGGGTTTCCTTCCTTACCTTGACAACTCTGAAACAAATGTTCATTCTCGAGCGGAATGGCTTTTCCGTCACCAACTTGAAGACATCTGGGCGCGATTCCAACGCTCCATAGATGATCTCGGCCTTTTTGTTCGAGACAGCCTGTTGCCCATCCACCTTGTCTGAATAGGTGGCGAGGAGCTTTTTCAGGACCTGGCCTGCAATGTAAACATCAAAAATGCTCAATGTATTATACAAGCTGTTGTTCTTTGCGATGGTCTCGTAGGAAAGAACAATGGGTCCAATGGGCAGACCAAGCTTCCTCAGCAGCGTCGGTGATGGCTGGGGGCACACTGGGGGCAGGAGGTTCTTCTTGACGATAGCTACCGTCACGCCAGTTGAACCAAGATTCTTCTGAGCTCCGAAGAAGATGACATGGTAGTTCTTGACAGGTATCCTCCGCGACAAGATGTTTGAAGACATGTCAGCGACCACAATGGGGCCGGATCCATCGGCCCTGGGGGCAAGTACATCAGGAAACTTGGGGAACTCGACGCCGTCCACCGTCTCGTTGTCGCAGTAGTACACCATGGCAGCATCCTTGGAGAGCTTCCAGGTGCTCTCTTCCGGGATCTTGCCAAACTTCTTGTCGTTGATTGTCCGAGCATCTGTTGCCAGGTTGACATGCTCCGACCCAAGCAGGCGGCAAGCCTCCTGGTACGCCTTCAATGACCAGCTGCCCGTGACTAGGTAGTCGAGCTTCAGCTCGGTGGCCACCTGCTTCTGGAGAAGTTCGGCCACCTTGGCTTCGTCGTCGCCCACTTGCTTGAGTGCTTCCTGCTGCTTCCGGGTGACCCATGCGCCAACCAAGTTGTAGACGGTGGCTGAGAACTCGCCGCTGCCACCAGCCTGCATGAAAAGGACCTCATAGTCGTCGGGGATATCCAGGTAATTGGCCAGGTCGGCCTTGGCCTCATTGATGATGTTGGCGGCCAGGGCCGAGCGGTGAGAGTGTTCGGCAATACCCAAGCCCGTGCCCTGGTAATCTACCAGCGCCTCGGCGGCCTTCTCCAGGACATCAGTCGGCAGCAGGGCGGGGCCCGCGCCGAAATAAGTGATTTCTGATCTGGTGGGCATCCTCTGTTGCTTTGGGGCCTGCAGATGACGATGATCGTTCAAAACTTGGGTACAGATGCACTATTAAGTTCTGGGCCCTGCGTCAAAGCGGAACGAGAAGTTGGTGGTTACGAATGCAATCGTGAGGGCAAGATGAAGATCGTCAATGGCTGTTCTGCATTCAGAACCTGGCATGAAAGATCGAGGCGATATTGGCCGAGATGATGCTGGTCTCTGCAGAATTAGTAGAGCGCCAAAAAGGATGAGTAATAGCGCAGGGTCCTATGTCGTTGAGGTTCGGAGTCACGTCACCCAGTGTCAAGCGATGACTAGTCCGCTGGGCAGAAGCCATCGCCAATTTTCAAAAGTTGGGCCCCTCTTTCCCCGACGTCGGATGTCGTCAACGCCCCCCCCAAGAACGCCAATGCTCAGCGGACGACCTGGGACTACCTACCTAGCTAGGTAGGTAGGTAGGTACCTAAGTTGTAGGTAGCTTTCCCCAGATTTGGCGGCAGAAAAGGCCCCTGGAGCTCTTGCAGATTTGTGATAAAACGTGGGGTACAGTGTCAAAGATCGCCGAAGATTGGAGCAACGATAAGCTCCCGCCGCCTGCTGCCAGACGGGACGGGACCAAGTCACCACTCCAGGCACTGCTGGTACGCACGGCATCGCATCATGTTTCCAACCTGCGTCGACGCCATTGTGTCGCACGTCGCCCATGGGAACTTGAGAGCAATGCCCATCAAACTTCGGAAACAGAAAGTCTTAGTACCTAGCCTAGGAGCTTTAAGGGATCGGAGCATGGTGGCCGTGGAGGCTGGGCGGGCTGCATCATGCCACTACGACCCCCTGTTGCCTCTATTCGTTACTGAGATGGGTGTCATTCGATGCCCCCCGTCCCACTGGTCGCGTTTCGGCGGTTCTTCTATCTCCAGGCGGTCGTCCGTGGCGTGGAGACGGATGTGACAGCGGGCTTGACATCCGCTCTGCAGCAGAGGCTGCCATAGGTCGCACTGCGTTTACAGATGCATATGTCAGCCCCGGGTCGAGTGCCTGGTCGATCATAAGCGACAGGGATCTCGGGGATATCTTAGGTTCTAGGTCTGGCCTGTCTGGTCCTCCCTCGCAAGCGTCCATGGATGGCTCTGCCATGCAACCGACGTTGCAGCCCCGCGAACCCCTTGAATGGATAGAGTTTAAGGCATTGGAGTACCGGTAGACTATTGGCAGTAGGGTAAACTTTCGAACGATCAAGGCACCATTCCCCCATCCCAAGCCGGCAGCTACTAGCACCCAAACCGTCCTGTGTTTCCGGGGTGGGTGAGGCAGGCCAACTGCCGCGGGTGGACGGGGTGGACATTAGAGAAGCACAGGGCCTGGCTTTGACCATTTAATAAGATGGGGAGGTTACCTAGAGAAGGCCCGACGAGGTCGTGATCGAACATTACAAGATGGTGATATTACCAGTAATATTCGTGTTGGTGTTTCATGCTCGCCTGGCGTTCTCCTCCTCTTGAGATCAGATCCGATCCGACCTTCCTCGCTCTCTCCTCCTTTCGATTTGCAATGAATACGCCGAGTGCGGTGCATGCTGCTGTCCAGGACGTGCCATGAGGAAAACCCGAGAAAAGTGTTGTTCTTAGACGCAGCGCGTGGCTCCCAGCCAAGACGAGAACGAAAAAGACCAGGAAATGTCCGAGAGAAAGAACGCCGAGGCTGGCCCTGCGCGACACACTCATTCCGTCCCTGTAGCTTCGTTCCGTACGTCATCCCGTGTCCCAACCCTCCCCCGAACCCCAAACTGCGCAAAGAAGGCCGTCTTCAGTCCTGCAACCCACCAAAAAAAAGCCCGGAGCCGCGTGCCCGACCGTTCTACAATCAAATCCGTTCTGATGGTGCTGCAAAGCTCAATGCCTGCCTGACTAATGCCATCCGATGATATAGCTACGCACAACTCGCCGCGAACATGGTTCCTAACCTCGGCCCTGACCCCGCTGGCCATTAGGTTGATTCGCAAGCTGCTCGACCATGGCGACAACGTTGTGGCCATCCTGCCGCCACACGAGCTCGAGCACGAAGATCGCAATGCCGAGTTCCGGGAGCTTATCAGCGAATGCAAGAGCAACCGCAAAGACCGCGAGGGCTGGTTAGGGCGCATTCGGCCGATCCGTTGCGATGGGCGCATCATGGGCCAGTGCGCCGCGGCCGTTGCGGAAGCCAAGGACACCTTTGGCCGCATAGACATCCTCCTATGCTGCACTTCGGAAGGCAGGTCTCACTTCCTCTCATTGCGCTGCGCGAGGCAACCATTCTAATGAGTCCAAAACAGCTGTTGTCGGGACCGTTGAGGAGCTCTCCACCACTCCCGCAACGCAGAATCTGGTGCGCGACCAATTTGAGTCCATCTTTTTCTCGCAGGTCAACTTCATAAAAGCCGCGCTCCCACTCCTTCGAGCGCAGCACACCGGCCATGTCCTGATTCTCACGAGCATCGGTGGCCACATTGGGACACCGGGGATGGGTATTTACACGGCCGCGACCTGGGCCCTCGAGGGATTTTGCGACTCCCTGGCGTACGAGATCGCCCCCTTCAACATCAAAGTTACAATCGTGCAGCCGCACAAGGAGATACAGTCACTGACGAACAAGATCGTTTTCTCACCGCAGCTGCCTCACTACGACAGTGACAACAATCCCGCACCCAGCGTGCGGGATATTCTGACAAATGTCCTGAACTTGAATCCGGAAACGGCCGTGGAGGCGTCCGAAGACGAGATCATTCACCGCTACCCCAAACTACCGGCGTCAGCTATCGACAAACTGGTACAGGAAACGGTAAATGCCTTGACTGCCATCGGCGGCAACGAAAACCCACCTGCGCGGCACATCGTGGGGTTTGAGGGAGCAGAAGCAGTAAAGGAAAAGCTGAAGACAGTCACGGAGGAATTAGAGGACTTCGTAGAAGCGAGCCTCGCCGTCGATATCTTCGAGAGTGAGCTCAAGGCAGAGGCGAGGCAGGGTAAGAGTAAGGAGAGTGGCGGGAGTGCAACATCGTAATTGCATCCATATGATTAAGTGACTTGAGTCGAGTCGCGGCAATAGACAAATTCAGAGTAACCGCCAGTGGCACATGTTGAAACAAGGTGATGTATCCAGAACCAAATGTCCACCCAATAGTACGGACACTGCTTGAGTGACTGGTCAGCTATGCACGTGAGAAGAGTGATGGTGATACACGGCGGCACACCAGACTGCAGTTTATAGGTGCAGTGCTGTATACTTCTGCACGCATATAGTACGCGCAACCCTAGGTACCCGTAAGCAGTAAGCAGTAGGCCTGCATTACAGAGGCGGTATGCCTGTCGGGCCCCGTTGGGTGCGGAAACGTGCCCCACTGCTGCTAGCTGAGTTACCCCTGTTTTTAGCTCACTGTCCCATTGGCCCAGCCTGGAAGGCGGCGCACGAGGCTTCATGGAGCGTCTCCTTGTCACAATCCGAGTACTGTCAATTGATGCTGCGTGTCATATGCGCCGAGTGTCAGAGAGAGTGCAACCCCGGCCAAAAATTTGGCAATACTCAGCCTACCAAGAACAGCTCTCGCCCGGTGCTTAGACAGAGCACCCGCGACCTGGCCGTCTGCCACTTGACCGCTTGTTTCGTGCTATGTCGGTGTCCCGAAGGCATGCAGTTGCTCCCTAAAGTCGGCACGAACTCAAGACCAATGCCAGCATGACCCTAGACTCTCTGCTACCCATCGCTCCGGCGAGGGTGCGAGCCTTGGTGATACCCGTTGGCCAGATCAAGAGGGAAAGGTTCTCCTCCTTCATCGAACGGTTGAACCAGGAGCATGTCGTTCACCTCCGCGACATCAGCGCCGACGGGCGCCCGAATCGAAGTCAGTCGCCAGTCAGGGAGACCATGGAGACCATGACGATAGCTGTTTGGGCAGCGGGCTGACTTTATTCTGCGCAGACATGTTTTCGCCCCTAGCCTTCCCCGACGGTGCCATATTCTACGACCTCATAACACACGTGCCGCCACCCTCGCACCTCGCCCTCTCGCCGTTCGACCTCTATCGAGAACCACTCGCCGTTATTGCCATCGCTGATGGTGCCGAACTCGAAAAGGCCGCCTTTAGCAAGAGGCAATCCGCCAATGCGCCGACCTTGACTGAAAGAAATATACGGACGCTCTATCAAGAGCTGGAAGAGCTCAGGGACTCCCACGCGAAAGCGCTCACACACCAGGTTTTGATTTTCGACTACACGCAACCAGGGGAACATGCCATCCCTATACCGGAAGGGGTCAAGACCATACCGCCAGTGGCGCAATCTATAAGGACGACCATGAAAACCGTCATGTGTGACATCTCATCCCTGTTATTGGCAGAGATGACGACGCTGGCAAAGTCATACGAGGCCATGACAGTGATCGACTCCCCTGGGCATACTTCAAGGCCACAGATGAACGGCTCGTCATACACCGTTGAGGATACGAATCACACGCGTCGGAATTCACAATTCGCAGTTCCTACCGTGACAAGGTCGGTATCGTCTAGCGGTGCAGTGGATAAGGCCCAGGCCCGCATGTCTATGCCAGTATTCAAGGGTTTGCCCTTCGGCTCGAGCAGTTCGACTCCAACCAACCGCCCAACGACCCCGGTGCGGAGCGGCTTGTCCCATCCTCCTACCACTTTCGACGAAATGACAAATGGCAGTAACCCAGATGTCTCCAGCCCGGAACAGCAGTCCCCGTCAAGACCTGGGACCGCGGAGGGCTCCAAGTCCTCATCTCAGGACAAAGTCGCTGTGCAAGGCTTTGGGCCCGGAGGTTTGAACGAAAGGTGGCGCAATAAAGGAAAAGGTCGCGTTACAGTTCTGGTAGGATCCTTATACTTGCAAGCTGGCCGTTGGATCGACGCTCTGAGAGAATTGAGTGAAGGTGCTACAATCGCCAAGTCTATCAATGATCACTTATGGCACGGGAAGGCGCTTGACCTAATCACAACCTGTCTTTTCCTGCTCGGGTGGGCGGGTGTCGAGTTTCAGGTACCGACGATATGCCTGTCACCTGAGAAGCCCAACAAAGCGCCAGAGGTGGAGGAGGTCCTTTCGGAGCAGCCCAGACATCTGCGCAATCTACAAGCCATCCTTCCGGAGCTGCTCGAAAGAATCGTTGCCCTCTATTCACGTATTTCTGGCGAGCAACTGCCACCACTCCCCATGTCAGAGACGGTGATTCGGTTCTGCAGCACCATGACCGCCTTGCACATATGCGACGGCAGATTGGATAAGAAGTTTCTGGATATAGTGGTCTCTGGGAAATCTCCCGAGACACCTTTGACTACTTCTCCTCGGTTGGGCATCACACCAAGTCGAACCCAGATCGCCGGTCTCCTATTTAGAGCATTCCCCTCTTCTGCTCCTGAGGTAATCACTACAGTGGATCGGGCACTTGTTCTTAGCGGGATTGCGTCAGTCATGGGAACCCTGGGGTATCACAGGAAGAAGGCTATGGTTGTGCGAGAGCTAGTAGGTGTCCTTATTGGTGGCCTGATTGAAGCTCGTACACGTGGGGCCGCAGAAGTCGGCATTCATCCAGCAGCTGGCTTGGTGGCTTTGGATGCGGTCAATGGCCGTAGCAATGGTGCCGGGGCTCTTGAGCTCGGCGAGGGAGACATAGAACACGGCATCCATGCCTTCTTGGGGATTCTATGCAAGACATACGGTGTCGTTGGCTTCAACGGCACCCTCAAGTCGAATTTCAAGCCGCCGGCCGGTGACAGTGACAGCGAGGTCATTGCGAGAATTCAGAACCAGTCCATGGCTAGACACTATGGAGTTCAAGACATCAAGCTAAATGTCCTGCGAGCTTGTATCAACTTTTCTGAGGCCCTTCCGGATTTCGATGGCGTCCTGAAGTTCTCAGCCGATCTACTGCGCACCGCAGGAAAGGGTGTCGCACCCGGATCCCGACGGGAGGATGCAGCGCCAATAATAGCACGAGAAGAGCAAATTCGACTGACCAATAATATCGCCAAGACGTCTGAGTTATCCAAGAGGTTGGGCCTGGGACACCTCTCGGCTGAGTTTTGGGACGAGTTCCTCATACGAGGCATATCGCTGGATCCTCTGCAGCCAACGAGAGCGCCAGTGCCACACGCGAAGAGCGTTCTGCCAGGTGCGAACACTGCACGTGCCTCACAGGATGTTGATCCCTTCATATACAACCCATTCCTCAGGACATCAGACAAGGCCGTGGTTGAGCGCACCCTTGTCACCGGAGAAGCGGCCACTTTCCGCATCACACTGCAGAACCCATATGACATTGATGTTGATATTGAAAGTATCAAACTCGACACAGAAGGGTCCGCATTTGAGTCGTCCGTGGAGTCCACGGTCATTGGACCTTATCGGACACAGATACTGAAGATTCTTGGGACACCCAGAGAGGCTGGTGCCTTCAAAATCACAGGCGCTATTGTGCGGGTTCGGGGATGCCGCGAAAGGAGGTTCCCCATCTTCCCTCAGGCGTGGGTGGCCGATACGGAGATCAAGATCAAAGGCATAGGGCTGTCATCGATTGAAAAGACCTACAGCGCCTATGAGGGAAAACATTTGGCCCGGCCCGGCCCAGATCTGAAGACCGAAACCATGAGCTTGAGTGCGATATCTGCTCAGCCTATTATTGCTGTAAAGTCGACGACGCTGCCACAGTCGGCCATAATGATTCTTGAAGGCGAACGACAGGTGTTCTCCGTCACTCTGCAAAACCTGTCGAATGAGACACCGGCAGACCTGCTGCTATTTTCCTTCCAAGATTCGACACAAGCTCCTCTCCAGACAGCTTTGACGAATCGAGATGCGACTCCGGGTGAGCTTTACGAGTATGAGCTTGTCCTCGCGAAGAGGCGAGCTTTGCGTCTGCGTAAAATCGACGACTCCGAGAGATACATAGCGCCAGGCGGCACGAAGACCTTTGAATTTGAGATCCTGGGCAAGCCAGGACTCACCAATGGGACCATCCAGATCGATTACGCCTACCTGGGTGTACCTCCCGACGAGGTCAAGGACAAGTTTCACACTCGTCAAGTCTGCTTAGATGTGATGGTAACAGTCAATGCCAGCGTGGAGCTTGCGAGGATGGATATATTGCCTATTCAAGGAAACGTCCCGCGAGCTCTATGGAAACGTCTGGGTGTCAACGACACGGGAGAGGATTCGGCGGAACTCGACAAATATTGCCTTTTGCTCGTTGACCTGCGGAACGCCTGGCCAAGTCACATGCAAGTCTGTCTCGAAGCCGAAAAGGGCTTCACGATCGAAGAACACATCCTCCCTGGCAACACGAACCGTGTGGTGTTCCCCATCCCACGTGTATACCTCGAGGACCCGCATGCAGCGATACCGGCACTCAACCCGTCTCGCAAACGTCAGTTTGTCGTGAGCACGAGCAAGATCACGCCCGAGACGGAGCGGGCCAACCGCGAAGCCTTTTGGTTCCGCGAGCGTATCCTTGACACCCTACGGGCTACATGGAAGACAGTGTCCGGACCTGCGAGGGAAGGCAACGTCGAGCTACGTAGTATTCGGTTGACGCCTCGCATGATCGAGGCTGTCAAGATCGACGAGGTCGGCATCGAACTGGCTGTGGTGTCGAGCTTGAATGATGGCTCCCAAGGGGAGGACAACATTGTCTTCGTGGACGAGTTTGCCCAGATCAAGGCCACTGTGACAAATCGCACGTCGCAACCGATTTACCCGACTCTGCGCCTCATGCCCGCACTGTGTCACCGGCCGCTCAGTGTGGCGTTGGACTCAACGCGCAGGCTGGCGTGGAACGGCACCTTGCAGCAATGTCTGCCCATGCTTGATCCCAAGGCATCCGCCGAGGTGCTCATCGGCGTGACTGCCCTATGTAGGGGTGAGTTCGAGTTCATGGCCAGCGTGGAAGAAACGCGGCTGTTTACACCACCCGACGAAACCCCCAAGGAATCTGGGGGGAGGAAGGGCGCCCGGCCACGGTCAGATACCCAGACGATGATGGACGCGGTGCTCGGGCCCCGGGAGAGGCGGATCTGGCACTCGAGGCACAGGTGCCTTGTCAGCGTCAAGGACGACGAGGACGATGATGACGAAGATTAGTAATTGGTTGACATGTCTGAATAAAAAACAAGAATAATCATGTGCACAATGATCAAGTCCCCAGAAAGGGCTTTCACACAGTTGGTGCTACGGGACTGGTGGCAGCGCCTCAGTCAGAATCAGCCACGAGCATAGTATGTGACATGACGACATTTCTTGGTCCTGATCAAAGTCTCTATACCTCCCAATGCAAGTAATCGCATCGGGGAAGGGGTATCTCAAGCTCGTAGTGGGTACAATCCTCCGTACGTACAAGCCGCCATACATACAATCGCCATGTGCGAGCCGGTCCCTAGTGTACAAAGAAAAGAAAAACCGGCTGTGTTGTGTGTAGTGACAAGAATCGAAAAACATGAGGGAAGGGAATTAGTGCAGTGTCGTTCCGTGTCGATTGGCGTGTTCCTCATTACCATCAAGGCCGTTATCCTCAAAATCAACACATCGTCTGTTTCGTGTGTTTTGCCTGTCAAGCCACTCTCTGCCGCTTCTCGTCATCCTCTGTCGTCGTAGTCATCGTAGTGGAAGCAGGCGCCGCTGTGCTATCCTCAACAGCCTCCTCCATCACGTGATCCTCATCAGCTTTGCCCTCTCCCTCTTCCTCAGTAGTAGTCGAGACGGTGGTGGCGGTAGCAGGGGCCGACTGCTGTTGTGACTGGTGCTGCTTCTGCTTCTGCGCTTCCTCGTTCCTGATGGCGTTGGCCGCCCGCGCCTGGCGGATCCACTCGGCGTCGTGCATCCCCGACCGCAGCGCTGCCTGGTACTCGGCCACGTCGTGCCGCAGGTTGTCGTTGCTGGCCAGCGCGGCGAGGTCCGGCACCGGCCCGTCGTATGGCCAGTATTTGTGCACCTCGGCCACCTGCTCGGGCGAGAGCAGCTTCCAGATCTCTGGATCCAGTATCAGTGCCTGCGGGGCGTTAGTGACAAGTCATGTAGGACAAGCAGATGAGGCTTGCGCTTCGCGTTTCGCAGAGCTTGCAGCAGGGGTAGTTGAGATGAATGGTACAGAGATGCTCATCGGCAGGTGTGGTATAGACGAAGATATATCAATGGTCAAACGGGGAATACGAGCGGGGTCAACATTGGATAGCAAGAAAGATAGATGGATACTTACGCGAAGATTGGTGTCCGCCAGAGGCGACTTCTCGTCGACCAGCAGTTCCATGGCGAAGAAAAAAAAAATCAGTAAGACGAGATGAAAGGTTGGCAAGCGGTGTTGTGATCAGGTGATGGATGGAGGCGTGCTAGGCGTCGTAGAGGTCGTCTCCGTCCTCATAGGCCAAGCGGCGGCGCTTGGGCGTCTGTTCGACAAAAAGGGACGACTCCTCATCTGACTGGACCTCGAGGGGCTGGTGCTGTTCTCCCCGTCTCGTTGCGGTACTGGCCGGGCTTGCGTAAGACGTAAAATCCTGATCGGTTTCTGAGTCGATCTCGATTGGCAGGTCTTTATGTCCTCGCCCATGCTGGGAGTCGAGCCAGGTGCTGAGAGACGTAGTCTTCTTGGCTGGGCCGGTGGTGGTGGGGCGCGGGGGAATGGTCCAGATTCCGACCACCGGCTGGCGGGACTTGGTGGGGGCCGTTCTCTTTGACGGCACCGCCTGAGGCGGTGCCATTGTGGTCCGTCCCTTGGCTGCCGCTCTCTTGGCTGGTGCCTTGCCTTTTACAGACGGTTTGGTAGGCTTCTGAGCCGCAGGGTTGGCGTCTGATTTCTGGCTTACACCGTTCGGCATCGTGGGGGCCATAGCTTGGAGGAGTCTGTGGTTAGTGGGAGGGCTCGGGTACATAGATGTGGTCGCCTTGGGCCAGGTGCCATCTGCGGCCCGGAAACTCAGCTCAGGTTCGTCGAGAGGGTCAGAGACATATCCGTCCCGCAGGTACGGGATCTTCAGCGTGGGTCGGGGTGGGTTGATCCAAGGCAGGTTACGAGTCTTGACCACTTTTCTCGCTCGTGGCTTGGGCAGGCCGTCCTCAGAGTCCTGGCCATCTTCGCTAACATCGTCGGATTCAACATCGAGGTCGGTCTCCTCGTCACGCGTCTCCGCAGGCGGGGTCTCCTGCTTCTGTTTCTGCAGAGCTGGCGCTCTCTTTGCCCGTGCTTTTCTAGCCGCCGGTGCCTTCTTCTCCGCCGGAGTCCCCTGCTTCTGCTTCTTCGGAGCGGGCGCTCTCTTCGCCCGTGCTTTTCTCGCCGCCGGAGCCTTCTTCTCCACCGGGGCCTTGTCATCAGCCTTCGATTCTTCCCTGGGAGCCATGGTGAGTATCGTCCCTAATCTTTCTGATGCGATGCCTGGAGTAATGGGCAGAGCTTTGATGGCACAAAGCGCGAGGACTGGGCAACGGTTGACGGGTCTACGTATGTTGGTAACTACAGGCAGCTTGAAAGACGCTAGCCGTATCTGTAGCCGGTATCGATACGCGCTAAGGAAATCAAAGAACGCTTTGACCTCCTACACGGCATTTCCATTATTCTGCTTGTTCGATCTCCTTCGCATCGTGGCATTGAATCTCCTGACGGGTTGTTGCGAACTTGATTCCTTCGACTATAAACCGACTTATACAACCAACTGACTCCACAGCAGGCTTATCGCGGCCTAGCGTGGAGTTAGTCGGACGCTACTGTCTTATCGGGTGAAGAGGCTCAAAGGCGCCACGCCCATTGGCTCAACCTGCTCGAGCTGGCGTGCACGGACATTCCCGGCCGGCAAGGATTAGTTAGGCCCTTTTGCCTTTAGGCCAGGCCCCTGACGTCGCCTGGCAGCGAAAGGGGATTCTTGGCCAGCTGGCGCCTACCTACAGGCGAAGGGCGTTGTTGAAGATACCTGGTCCCAAGAGGACGGGGCGAACTGTATACGCTGAGGAGCCACCACTGACTGCGAAGCTTCTCGAGAGCTACCTCCCGACCCAGGCACCGCACTCTATTCACTCGAGTCACCGGCAGTCCACAGGACTCACTCCCATCGCCGGAACGTCAGCGCCTGTCGGTTGAAGCCACGTACGCTACTTGTCGGCCCTGTCGTGTGTCCTCTGCTGGACCGCCTGGCGACTGGGACCTGCGGAAGGGATACAACACGCGCACAAGACCTCCCACCGTCGCATAAGTGGAAGCAGAGCACCAATCCAGTGTCACTCCACCAAGATGATCAGGTCAACGCAAATAGCCCGCGTGGGCGACGGTATGCGAATCCAACCCCCTAGCCATCCTCCTTCCCGAGCTCCCTTATGCAGCAAAGCAGCAGCGCACTAACACGGACTGTTCTTCCCCCCTTACAGGCCTCATGCTGTGCGCCTCGGTCGACGAGGAGTCGATGGAGTCGTCGCTGGCCGAGATCAAGTCGCAGGTCAAGCTGATCCTGCGGCGGCTGAACCGCAACGCCGAGCCGCAGGCGAGCATCGAGTCCGGGCCCTACACGCTGCACTACCTGCTGCAGGACGACATCGTGTACCTGTGCATCTGCGAGCGGTCGTACCCGCGCAAGCTGGCCTTCACGTACCTGGCCGACATCGCGGCCGAGTTCGCGGGCTCGTACCCGGCGGCGCAGCTGCACGCTCCCGGGCTGCGGCCCTACGCCTTCATGGAGTTCGACACCTTCATCGGCCGCACCAAGGCCACGTACGCCGACGCCCGCGCGACGCAGAACCTCGGCAAGCTCAACGACGAGCTGCGCGACGTCACCCAGGTCATGACCAAGAACATCGAGGACCTGCTGTACCGCGGCGACAGCCTCGAGCGCATGGGCGAGATCAGCTCCCGCCTGCGCGACGACAGCCGCAAGTACCGCAAGGCCGCCGTCAAGATCAACTGGGACCTGATGCTCAAGCAGTACGGGCCCTTTGGCGTCTTCGGGCTCATCGTCCTGGTCTTTATATGGCTGCGCTTCTTCTAAAGGGGGAGGACGACCAAGTCAGCAGCCGAGGGACCATGGAAGAGAGGCTATGTTTATTTTTGGTACGAGATCACACTTGTCGACACGGAATCGGCTGTGAGACTGGAAGAGAAAAGGACCATCTTGTGGAAGGAGGACGAGGCATCCAACAGTCGCCTATACTGCAAAGATGCGACGGTATCGCGTGCCAACACATATGAGCACTGTGATTCCAGGAGCGAAAGCCTGGTGGACTACTCCACACGGAGCTGCGAGTAGTATGGTAGATGGACAGCCAGGTGCACATACGGTTTGCACCACATGATATTGACGCGATAGGAAGGTTCAGCATCACGATCTTGGTGATTACAGCAAATGCGAAGGTAGAGCCTACGGTGTACCAGTAAACAAGTACCACAGAGTGTCTCAACTCAGGACTCGTAACCTTGCCATCTCATCATGTGCATGGCATAGCGATCGAGATTAGGCACGAGGAGTGAACGGAATCGGTTCAAAAACTGAATGCTGAACTGGCATCACATCTATCCCCCTTTGTGAAGATTGTAGCCCCAAACGTAGACCGGCTTATATGCCGGAACGTTTGGAAGACATGGACTTTCTCGGACGGGACATATTCCTTCGACAAGTCTCTATCCAGATCAACTCGTAGTAACGGATATCAATCAAATTAAGGGCTGTTATGCTATATTCCAGAACGCCAATGCTCCATTTGTGCCGCAACGCTGCGCTAGCGATGCGCGACACCCTCGCCCTGTTGAACGCCTGTGGTGTAAAGACAACACTCGTCTATTCCTGAAAGCCGACGGCACGACATGCATTACTCCCCCTCTCCCAAGTCCAGCACCGGTGAGATTTCGCTCACATGATCTGGCAATTGCTCGTCGTCGCGAGGACGCCCGGGGCATGTGTCCACTCGAGGTGTTCCCGAAACTCGGCCATGCCCTCGTACCCGCCTTCGTCTTGGTTCCATTTGACCCTATCCATGTCGTCCTCGCCCTGCTCCTCGGTGTAGTAGTCCTCGCAGAGCGGGCACAGGATCCGGGCCTGCCACTCGCCCGGCTCCGGGGGCATGTGGTTCGCGATCGCCACGGGGGCGAACACGACGGCCTTCTCCTCGCCATCCGACATCTTGAAGCCCGTCGCCTGCCAGTTGGTGTCCTGCGATGGCGTCATGCTCGTCGCACTGGTCGGTTCCGGAATGTCGCCGGTGGTCGCGGCCCTGGACGAGGGCATCTCACGCAGGTCCTCCCACACGATGTAGCCGTCGCAGAAGTCGCACACGAAGGCGATGTCCCTGTCGCCGAAGCGCTCAAACTTGCCGGTCTGGTTGCACGCCATGAGCTCCTCCAGACTCCTCTGCTGCGGGTTCTCTGGTGCCCTCTGCACCCGAAACACCTGGAAGGCGCCGAGGCACCGGGTCGATGTCTCCTGCTCCGAGTTGAATATCCGCCGGGCCGCCCGGCACTGCGCCCTGTGCAGCTCGCGGCGGAGCTCTATCGTCTCGCGGGCCCATATGGGGTTGATCGGCCCGCCTGTTCGCACCCACTCCTTGAAGTTCTGCGCGTGCAGCTCGAAGCGCGTGCACAGTATTCGAAGGTCCTCGAGGGAGTCACCTAGACGGCAAGAGCTTATTAGGTCAACTTTTCTCTTCCACAAGTCCTGCAGCTGCAATCGGGGTCTGGGTGGGGTTTGGACGCAGGCCCACGAGCCTCACTCGCCGGGGAAGGAATGTAGGGTGGTGTTCGAGACGTACTTTTCCTGTCATGCTCGTAGTAGCCCCTCCCGTGGACCAGGGCCGGCAGGGACTGGAAGTCCTTCTTGGCCTCGTCGATGGTCTCCTCCAGTAGGCGGAGCTGCTCGAACTCGTCGGGGCCCCAGGCCCGCTTGTCGGCAAACATCAGGATGCGCAGGCCATCGTTGATCGAGTTCGCGATGACGGCCAGGAGCGAGCCGACGCTCTCGTTGTTCATGTCTTTGCTGCGTCCCTCCGGCGCCGAGCGGCTTGCTGGCCCTCCGTCCGGGATGGAGGCAGGCGGGAGCGGTCCTTTCCTGTGACGGCAGCCTGGGGGGTTCAGGATTCGGTCGCTCGTGGGCTACGCAGGTCCGGCGTCCGCTTGGAACGATTGTTTGGTGGAATAGGGAATCCTCGCTCTTGGTCTAGTCCGGGATTCGAACTCGCCTGGGCTTGTAAAGGGGAGGTAGTTGTCGTGTTAAGTCTCAATGACGGATCGACATGTCATGTACGTCCTTCAGGTGTTCGCTGTCCAGTAGCCAAGACTGGGGAAACGCAGATCGCTCGCTCGCTCGCTCGTTCAGGGTTCAATGCACGATTGCGGATGGCGTCACAGGTCCATGGAGGAAAGCCGTCGTCCAAAGAAAGGGGAATGCAATGCCAGCAGGGGCCACGTAGAGATCTAACTTGGGGAAATCGCCTTGCTATACGAGAGCACCCCAAAATCTGACAAGTGAAGGGCCACAGTGCTCACGTTCCTGTCTTGCCCTCGGTTGCAGGGGGCGTGTCAGCCAGGTGAGAGGAAATAATTTATTTCATTAGGAGGCCTGCGGAGCTGTTTCAACCCTCGGGAGCATTACGTTACTAGCAACAACCGACGCCAGTAGGGCGAGCGGGTACCAGCGTCCTGGGAGCTGGGGAGCTGGGAGCTGGGAGCTGGGAGCTGCCGGGCGGCCAGGCGGCCAGGCGGGTTGGCGGGGATCGTCTTGGATCTGGCGGGTCTCCCGCTGTCCAGGGCCCCCCAGCGTCCACTGCCCAGGGCGGCTGTCAAAGACCGGCTGTCACAAGCCAACTTCCATCCAATGGCATCTGGAGTCGAGGCTGATTGGAGCGCGCAACGCTCGTGGAGCCCACTGTCCTGAGGTTCAGGATTACCGTGCGACGCGTTTGCCGATTAAACGATCCGGGCCACTAGCACCCGCTGACGAGACACCCTATTGGAAGCCAGAACGATTGGATGGTAGTTCCAGAGAAACGAAGTCGCTCCTCATAGGGCTGAATACATGTACGTACATAGTATGGCGTAGTCGCTTCGCTCTCCCCCTACCGACGATCCCGCCGTCTTGGCTTTCACGCGAGGGATCAGGCGGGCAGGCAGGTACCCGTGCGGCTTTCAGCTCTCATGCAGTCACCAGAGCGTGCGTACATGTTTAATCCTAGAGACACCTAACAACAATGCATTTACCATCAGGCCACGGTGCTGGTAGGACTTTCAAAACACGGCGTTCAGTGGCTGTCAGTCGATAGGTAGATTCTAGCCTCAAACATGCTATTTTCCCTGGACTCAACGCCTATCTCGAGTGAGTCGAGATGATGTATCAGTACACCCAATCACTCAGTCTACTCTACAGCCGCGCTGGCGTGATCTTCTGGCGGACATATTCAAGGCACGCACCAGCCCATTACTTTCTCTTGGTGGCCTTGCCAGTACTAGCACCGGTAGTTTGCGGGCCACCTCCAATCTTCTCCACGGTTTCCGCGTCAGCCCTTGGCAGTGACTTGGGCTGCGCCTTGAGCTCCTCCGCCGGCTCATCGTCGCCACCCTGTCCAAACTCGTTGACACGGGTGTAGTCGATCTTGTAAGCCCACCGTTGGTAGATGTAGATGAAGAAGATAATGTCGTCACGGAACGTGGCCAGGCGGTGGAGGAAGGGCATCTTGATGGTGAAGGCGAAGAGGTCGTCGATGAACGTGTTCAAGAACTTGTACATCATGGCCTTGCCTGGCATGTGCGCCACCGACTTGAGGCGGTAGTTGATGTACAAGGCCGGGACCATCATCAGGAAACCGTAGGCGTAGACAGACCCGACGAGCGTCGTGATGATGTACGAGTACCACGACTTGTGCGTATCGTAGAACAGGGAGTAGATGGCGTACGCGATGAGCAGAGGAACGCCAGCCCAGTACATGTACTTGAAGGCAATCTCATCGTACTCCTTGGTCTTCTCCTCCGTCTCGCTAAGCTTGTGCTTGTCTTCAAACACGATGCTGTAAGGGAACAGAGAGCCGGGACTGGACGGCCGAACACGGACGTTGACCACGGTCGTGACCTTCCAAAGCTCAATGAGGATACCAACGCCCTGGGTTCCCAGGATCATCCAGCTGGTATTCTGCGAGTTGTCGACCAGGTACAAGAAGATGACAGTCTGCATGAAGACGTTGGCCAGGATGGTGCGAACAGAGATGCCAACGTTGTCCTTCTTCTTGCGGTAGTGGGCAATGTCGGACCCAAAAGCAAGCGTTTCAAGAAGCATGTGGGCAATACTGACGACGATCGTGATACCGAGGAGGATGGGGTTCGTGTCGATGAAAATCTCCTTGACCATCTCAATCTCGCTACCATCACCGCCACCGGGAGAGGGGTTGCCCAAGGCGGCCTGCCGAGCCTGCTCCTTGGAGTTAAGGTCAACGGTGGCCATCGTGGTGAACTGCCAGTTTCTCGTGTTTCCAAGATCGAGCCTCAATGGTAGAGTCTTGACAGTGTCGTTGAGGACCGTCATATGACTCTTGAGCTGCCAGAAGGTGTTGATATACAAGATCGGGTAGTACCAGGAGTTCTGGCCAGTTCCGTCGCGAGCACCAGTGGGTTCAATATTCAGAAATTGCCGGACTGCTGGGGCCGCCTTTGGCAGGTCCAGGATGCCAGTATCGGGGACGAACGACAGGGTGGTATTGGGGTGGTAGTAGCTCGCGATGGTGAGTCCAGGCTTCTCGTCCTCGACCTCGATCTCAGACTCGTCCTTGGACTCCAACAGGTTTCTGGTCTTGGCGACCTTCTTCTTTGGAATATACTGGGTCAGGGGATACGCAAAGTGCAGCGCCGTCGCAGGATCGAAACCGGGCTCCTTGGGATCCAAGTTGGAACCGGCGAGGCCAACGTAGAAATGTCCCCATAGGGTGCCATTGTTCTGAACAGCCGAGGGTACGTCAAAGGTCGTCTCGATCACGCGCTTGTCACTGTGGTTTCCCAGCTTGAAGGACTTCTCGTCCAGCACGAGGTACTGCTCGGGGGTCTTCGCGATGGGCTTCGGGACAAAGGTATCAGAGAGGGTCACGATGATGTCCAGGGAGCTGTCGGAAGGCCAGATCGGGGCGAGGCGCTGCGGGATGCTGTTGTACGTTGCGCCCTCGTCTAGGGTCTTCGGTCTCATCTCGTAGGGGGGGATCGGTCCGGTGTTGGCGGGGACCTGGACGACGTTGCCGGTCGCGTCGGTAACCTCGGTCGTCTGGGCCTTGTTCCCTCCCACGAACTGCTTCATGAGCAGCTGGACACCATAGTACATGGCAACGCCCTGCACGATCTTCATGACCAGGGACTGCTATAGCACGGACGTGTGGTCAGCCTCGGTCGTCGACTTTCGCGACGCGTTACTTACGCCGCCCTGCTCCTGCTGAGCCGGCCCGCCGGCCGCCGCAGCATTTCCCTCGGGCATGATGAGTATGCTTCCCGGGATGCGCGCCGTGGAGTGTTCGAATGGTTGATGACAAGTCCTGCGTTGGCACTCGTCTCTTCTTCAAAGCTGGCCGTGTCCTTATTTTTTTTATTTCGGGAAGATGCCGATAGGACGGCTGGCAGAGGAGGTCTCGTTCTAGAACCCCGAACCCCATGAGTGGGGTCCCTTATATCGCCCCGGCAGGTCGGCGAATGGCAGCCCGACACAGGGCCACGGTGGCGCTAGGTCCCCTGGGGTCGGGCAGCGGGCAGCTTAGGCTCTGGCGGGGGGTTAGCAGACCGTCCGCTGGCGGGTCAGGGGCCCAGCGGCAACCTACGGTGTATGCAGTGAGGGGACAAGATGCATCTCCTCCGAAGGAGACTGATGGCTTGGCATCCCACTTTAGGCCATGTTGATGTGAGAATGACTCAACCAACCATCAAGTCATCATGGTAGCGCGCTCGAACAGTGACCGGTGCAAGACGCTTCCTCTCTTGCAGAAGGCCCTGGGAAATTGCTAGTAGTGAGCCTCCCATCTTCGCAGGATCCGAGCTGCACGCCGTATTATCTAAGACACTCAAGTAAGCTACGTCATGGCGAATTAGAAGGAGCACACGATAGCCTCGTCTTCCGGCCACATGATAGCAAGTGCCCAGCCACCTGTCAGGGGACATTGATTATAACAGCCTCTACCTGTCTAGTATGACTCTCCCTATCGTGGCATCATCTCTCTCTCTCTCCTCTCGTAATACTCGGCCCGACCTGTACCGGACAACCGTCGACCACTCTTAGGCAAACACATACATACTCGCAGTCCCGTTGGGTTTCGAGTCCACCGCCTCCTCCCTCGTCTCCCGCTTTTGCCTTGACCAACTTCTGCTTCAAACCCCGGCTAGACTAGGCATTGTTCACTTCACTGCTTGACCCTCTCCTTGCACCGAATCTCGTACCAAGCGGCCCAAGCAACCCAGCAGACTACCGCCGGCATGGAGTCGGGCGGCGCATCACCGTTTCCGGCGTCGAGGACAGCCACCCCGTCCGGGACGTCAAACCTGAACCCCAATTCCCAGCCCAACAAGAAGGTCAAGATATGCGTCTACTGCGGCTCCGCAGGTGGCAAGAGCCCAGAGCACATTGAGGCGGCGCGGCAGCTGGGCACGTTGATGGCCGAGAACGGCATCTCATTAGGTAGGTCTGGAGGACCCCCCGGCCCCGTAACCACTGCGCGCACAAGATAGAACCCTTTTTTTTTAACGCTTGAATGATTCCTAGTCTACGGTGGCGGCACGGTCGGCCTCATGGGCGAGGTGGCCAAGACCATTGTCTCGATCGCCGGGCCGGACGCCGTGCACGGCATCATCCCCGAGGCGCTCGTTAAGTACGAGCGGGACTCGACGTACGCGGGCAAGGCGGACGCGAACGGGTACTACGTACCCGAGGCCGACGTCTACGGGCGGACGACGGTGGTGCCGGACATGCACACGCGCAAGAAGATGATGGCGCAGGAGGTGCTGGACGGCGCGCCGGGGAGCGGCTTCATCGCGCTGAGCGGCGGCTACGGCACCATGGAGGAGCTGCTCGAGACGGCGACGTGGAACCAGCTGGGCATCCACAACAAGGGCGTCTGCATCCTCAACGTCAGCGGCTTCTACGACGGGCTGCTGCAGTGGGTCAAGAAGTCGGTCGAGGAGGGCTTCGTCAAGGCGGCCAACGCCGACATCCTGGTGACGGCCACGACGGCCGAGGGCGCCATCCAGGCGCTGCGGGATTACAAGGTTTCAGAGGCTAGATATAACCTGACGTGGGAGACCGAGTAAACGGCACGTTCACCAAATCTGCTCCGCTCCAGCCTGTGGCTGAGGATAGACTTGTTTTAGATGTCGATTTAGATCAAAACAGTTTAAACAAAATAGAAGATTCAATTCGCCCAAGTGCGAAGGGGTATGCGATAATGAACTCGGATGACCTGCTGAATGCCAACCCCAAAAGACCCCCTAACCGACAAACCCGTTTCCCCGGACTAGATTCCTTGGATGCTGCTGGCGTATAATACATCGTATAGAACACATCTTCTATTTCGGCCCCGGGACTCGACAACTGCACCCGACTCACGTGCGCGGACGGCCTAGAACTCCTGGTCCTCCTGGAAGAACATGCCGAAAGAGATAATGGTGCCGTAAATCAACAGCCCTCCGATGATGCTCATTGCCATGGCGGCGGCGTTGATCAGCGTGGAGTGGTAGAGTACGACGGGCAGTGCTGTAAAGAAAGGTCAGCCGGGATTCTCGGTCCGTGTCCATCGTGTTGCGTCGAATTCCGGGCCCAGAGCCGCGGCCGGCATGATAAGGTCCTCATTCCCAGGCTGTTGTCCAAACGAGGAGCGGAGATGGTACTCACCAATACCCATGACGACCAGGAATCCAGTGCAGAACCGTCCGAGGTCGAGAACGGCATTTCCGCTGCTCTCAACAAAGTCATCCGGGTTCGAGCAACGGCTGCAGATCCAGTTCGGCAGGGGTGCCAGCACGTAGGTGGCCACGACCAGCAGCGGGTAGTAGACCTTGAACAGGGCGCACGACAGGATGACCAGCAGGAACCCGACGGCCAGGACGAAGGAAAGCGATATGATGGTCTTGATCCCCGGCATCGCTGCGGTATTTTCAATGCGCTATAGCCGGTGCGGGCCCGAGTTGTCGTCCGACGCGGAGCTGTGAGGTGAGGGCTGGGCTGCCGCCGAGCACTCGTTGAGGAGCTGGGGGACGATGGCGCGGAAGCGGATGATCAAAGGGTCGTTGAAGTCACGCACGGCGCAGATGAAGCGGCAGCTGCCCGAGAGACTGGTTGGGTGATTCGAAATCCGGGGGATGCGCGGGTGAGGGAAAGGTCGGCGTCGGCTTGCAGGCAGCGGAATATGGGGATGAGGCTCTCGGGACCAGTGGTGGTGTTTTGGGTGTGTCGTCAGCTGCTGCAGTCTGGATAGGAAAGCTTGCGCCACAGCTGGGCTTCCCCCCCAGTTTGGGTTGCGCGCCCCCCAGCCGCCAGCGAAGTCGCTCAGCGAGCGACCTACTTAAGTACGTATATCCATGGGAAGTATTGGAGTGATCGTTTGTGCACAGTCACGGGGGCATTTACGCATCTTATATGCGTAGTAGTAGAAGAAGAAGAAGAAGAAGAGCAGTCAAGGATAGGACCCTACTTGTCGTTTTGGACAAAATATTTCGGGGCATCCAATATTTCCAGCATTCTTGGGCATCGAGTGCTATGAGCAAAGCGTGGCTCGCGGCCTGTGTTCATTGTGGGAGCTCTGGCTACAAGGTACCTAGGTGGTTGCAGTAGTGGGCATGGAATGCGCTAAACCCGAAGGAAAGCACCTGCTGGGCGTTTCCGTCCCTTGGCGAGGACCTGACGAAGCTCCAGCTGCCTGCCTCGCCAGACGTCCACGGCGACTAGTAACCAGCGACCAGCGACCAGCGACCTGCGACCTCATATCCATCAGCCTCGCCAAATACACAAACGCCCCGACGACGCAGAGTATCGCTGCTCCCGACAGACTCGCCTCCATCACCACCTCGATCCATCTTCCCGAGACTGCATCCCCCTGACCAACCCATCTTGGTACTCTTCTCACAATGTTTCGCAACAACTACGACAACGATTCCGTCACATTGTAAGCTCCAGCGCCCGACATCACCTCCGTCCGTGCTGCCTGTCCTCAAAGTCCGCCATACTGACAGCTCCCCAAGCTCTCCGCAAGGAAGAATATTCCAGGTCGAATATGCAGGCGAGGCCGTGAAGCAGGGATCTGTCGTCGTGGGCATCACAAGCAAGACACACGCCGTCCTAGTAGCGATCAAGGTAAACACATCGCCATACCACACGTCCGAATCTCGTACTTCCGGCATCCCGGCCAACCACCTCACCCTAGAAGACTGATACGCTGACACGTTGCTTGCCCTCATTCAGAGAAATGCCGAGGAGCTCTCCTCCTACCAAAAGAAGCTCTTCGCCGTAGACGAACACCTCGGCCTCGCCATCGCCGGCCTGACCTCGGACGCCCGCGTCCTGTCCAACTTCATGAAGCAGCAGTGCCTGTCGCAACGGCTGACCTACGACCGTGCCCTGCCCGTCGAGACCCTCGTCAGCCTCATCGGCGAGAAGGCCCAGCTCAACACCCAGCACTACGGCAAGCGCCCCTACGGCGTCGGCCTGCTCGTCGCCGGCGTCGACGAGACCGGCCCCCACCTGTTCGAGTTCCAGCCCAGCGGCATGACCCAGGAGATGGTCGCCTGCGCCATTGGCGCCAGATCCCAGATGGCCCGGACGTACCTCGAGAAGAACGCCGACAAGTTCCCCGACTGTGGCCGCGAGGAGCTGATAAAGCACGGCCTGAGGGCCCTCAAGGAGACCTTGGTGCAGGACCGCGAGCTGACGGTCGAGAACACGAGTGTGGGCGTCGTGGGGCTGAAGGAGGCCGGCAAGCGGGGCATCGACTTCTTCAAGGTGCACGATGGCGCCGAGGTCAAGGACTGGATCAACAGTGTAGGCGATGATGCCGAGGCCGCTGGTGAGACGGCCGAGGGCGAGGGTATGCAGGTTGATGAGTAGGGTGATCTCCCAAGTCACGGTCAGCTTGGATGAGCTTCATGCTTGAGCGTACATGCGTCGCGATTGTGTGATAGCATGGGCACGGAATTGGAACCCCTAAAATAGATCACGGTTCTGCTGGGCGTTATGGACGATGGCGCCACGCCAGGGAACTATCTAGAGATGTACTATAACCCTTTACGCCGTTGAGTAAGTCATGATGTGTTCCTGTGAGAGTGTTGTTTGTCTTTGGGAAATTCTGGTTCTATATCTCGTCTTCTTCGTCATCAAAGTCATCTTCCCGGCCCATCTCGTACAGAATCCGGCCGCCCTCCCCTGCTCCTATATCGGTCTGGGCATCGAAGTACGGCAGCACAATGCCTTCACGATCCCGCCGCTGCTTTTCCGTCAAGCCCAGACTAAACGTCGTCTCGGCGTCTTCACCTTCATCTCCCGCGCCGCCGTCGTCGCCGGCCGGCTCTTTGAATTTCGGGTGATCGGACAGCAGTGCGATCTTGGATGCCAGGCTCATGTTCTCTCCGGGGACCAGCACGAATTTCTCTCCCACAGACCGCCCGCTCCGTCGTCTCACCTCCATCTCGACCACCAGGCCGTCGCCGTCCTCCTTGCTCAGCTTCTCCCTCCCCTTGAGTCCGATCAGTACGCCCTCGCGGCCCTCATTGATCCCCCACTCCGGCTCCTGCAGGCTGCGATCTCGAGCCTCTTTGCGCTTGATCGCCTGATACAGGCTCCCAACCCTCAGGATCGCCGTCGCCAAGTGGCACAGCACGGTCAGGGGATGGGGCTCATACTCGCCAAACGACCTGGGCAGGACGACGGGCACGTCGGCGTGGTAGAGGGCGACCAGCGAGACGGCGGGGCCCGTGATCAGCGACGAGAGGAGATGGGGCAGCTGGGAGGGCGCCGACGCGCACAGCGGGTTGAGCGTGTCCACCACCACCAGCACCTTGTGCGCGTGGCCCGGCGCCCCGGACGGGTAGTGCGAGACGATCTCGGCGCGCAGGGCGTCGGCCGACTTGCCCCGCGCCTTGACGAAGACGTCGACGCCCGCGGGCTTGCGCAGCGTCGCGAGCGAGACGTAGAGGACCTTGGACTTGGAGACCTGGAGACCGGCAGGGTGGCGTGTATCAGCACTTGCTCATACATGACGAAGGAAGAAACCAAAGAAAACATACAACATTGCATGCTATGTTGAGCAGAGGGGAGCGGGCTGAGGTTTGGGAGGGGTAGTCCTCGTTGGGCCACCGGCCGCTCAGGTTGGAGGGAAATGGGGAGAGGACGTAGAACAACTACCGACCTTTGCTCTGGCGATAAACTCACGAATCACCGGCCGGCCGCTCTGCTCCAGAGTGTCGAGAACCAATGTGAGCGGGCTGGCACTATCGCGCAAATTGAGTAATTTCTGCAGGAGCAGCAGCGCGTGAGAGCGCGAATGCGCCTGGGCAGACGGAGGCATGGTGGTCTTTCCTCACGCCACTGCGCACGGCTTCCTGGCCCCCAGGTCACACGATATAGGCCTCCTTGTCTTCTTGCAACATGCACAAAAGGGCTGGACCGGGGCAGCGTGGGTGAAGCTGACTGCTGACTGCTGACTGCCGAGATCTTTGGGAGCTCCGGAGTCGTGCATCAAGCTTTCGGCGACAGGTTAGATTTTGGCAAGACCCTGATGTCACCCTAGCCGGTCCCAGGCGCCGGCTCATGGCCTTTTAGCGGGGGAGATCAGCGCCCTCTCATTGGCCCCGGGCGATCCTTGCATTGAGCACTCATATCCATGGATACCATCACCCCATCAGCGGCCGCCCAACTTACACCTCTGCGCTGTCGGGACTGGCAAAGAGCCTATATTGGTCCAATATAGTCTACAGAGCACATCACATCGCCGTCCCAAGGCCACGAGACATGCTCGCCGGATAATCGTCCATTCGACCACTGCTGGGACAGGAGAGATCATCCACGTGAAAGCATTGCCCCCCCGCAGTCTATCCTCTGATACACCCAGCCGCGCGATGCCAACGCCAGCAATAGAGCAACATGCCGGTGATAATTCATTGCGCGGCCCTATCGAGTCCTCCGCTACGTAGCGTGGCCAGGTAACATCGCATGGAGCTGAATCCCATCCGGATGGCGTCCCATTCTCATGATCGGCAGTAGGCATAGTTTACAAATAGGTGCAATATGTCCTGTAAGCGCGTCCAGGCTTCCTGCCAAGGGCTGCTCTCTCCCCCTTCATACCAACCTTATCTCCATCATCCTATTCCTTGACCAGTCCTGGTCAGGCTATCTCGTGAAGAGAATTTCCGTCATGGCTAGGCATTTGTTCCAGGGGCTTGTCTGGTCCCTTGCCCTCGCTCTATGTGCAGCAGCACCAACCCAAGATGAACTCGAACCTCGCCGTAACTACATCGCTGAGGCCGGTCTTTCCGTCACTGAGAATTACCATCCCCTGATCAGGGTCCCGTTGGATCGGGAGTCCTTGAAAACTTCGCGCTTCCCGGAGGTTCAGGATGGTCTTGACGCACGGCAACTTGGGCCCGGGACTGACCACATCAAGGCCATCCCGCTGCAAACCCAGTATCTAATGCAGGTCGGCATAGGAGGCAGCAATTGGTCCATGATACCCGATACTGGAAGCTCCGACACGTGGCTCATGTCTTCAACGTTCCAATGCCTGGATCGATCGCACCAGCTACAAGCGCAGGGCTACTGCAATTTCGGGCCCTCGTATAAAGGAGGTTACTCCGGAGGCAAGATTACTGGCCAGCATATGAACATCTCATACGGCGGCGGTGATTCTTTGAATGGTGATTTTGGCTATGCAGAGTAGGTCCTATAGGGTCCAAAGACATACACTTGTGCTGAGGTCTAATCTGACAATTCCTAGTGTCACTGTAGCGGGCATCAAAGTTCCCAAACAGCAGATGTCTCTTGTGACATCAGCCAGCATCCGAGGAAATGGTCTTTTCTCCGGCATCCTCGGCCTGGGGATGCGCGGACTGACGACAGCATATCTGGGGACCGATCCGACGAAGGACAGCGACGCGAATGCTGCACGATATGCCCCTTTGGTCGAGACCTTGGGTCTAAACACAACCGTAAAGCCTATCTTCAGCGTTGCTATGTCGAGGAACGATAACCGCTCCTTCATATCTTTTGGGGGTGTCCCCCCTGATGTGAAGACTGGGGAGTTCGCTACCATCCCTATCGCGCAGGTACGTACAGTCCTGAATGGATCCAGTAATCCCTAAGTAATTCCTAACTTATACCTTTGCAGATTAGCCTCAACGGTAAGCCGAGGGAGTACCTGTACTACGGTCTCCGACCGGAGAGCGTCACCTTCAACAACACGCAGACGCACTCGAACTGGACTAAGCCCGGGCTGATGATCGTCGACACGGGTACGACGCTCAACTACTTCCCCCGGGACGTCGCGGACAACATCAACAGCCTGTTCTCGCCGCCGGCCGAGTACTACGGCAGCGGCACGTACGTGGTGCAGTGCGACGCCGCGCCGCCGACGGTCGAGGTCGGCATCGGCGGCAAGCAGTTCCGCATCGACCCCAGCAGCCTCATCCTGCCCGAGACCCGCCAGGCCGAGTTCGACGCCGACTACTGCACCACCGGCATCGCCCGCGGCTCCGGCACCTACATCCTCGGCGACGTCTTCCTGCAGGAGCTGCTGGTCGTCTTCGACGTCTCGGACAAGAAGGAGATGAAGTTTGCCCAGCGCGTTGACAAGGTGTAAGTGATATAGCTGCGGCGCAGAGAATCATCGGGCAGGGAAATGAGAACAATTGCAATCAAAAGACTTTGAGGCTATTGAATATAGTGCGCGCACCCGTAGTTTAGCTCTCCATCTTCCTCTCAGTACACCGCAGTACCATAGACATCCATCCGCATAAGGAAGCAAACACCACAATACCTAGAAACCAATCTAGCAGAAAAAGCAGCACAAAGGAACTTGACACACAACCACACGGGACTCACCCGCTAACCTTGAACTTACATTCCTAACAGAAGCGCAAAAATAGTAGCATGATGCCCCCTACCTGTGAGCCAGCGCATTGTTCTCTAGCTTAGCCTATATAACATTTAAACAAGACTGGCCCTTTTTGGCCCACCGTAAACCTACCGTATGTCTACCGCAACCTAGAGTCCCATTTGGCATAACAAAACTTGGTTACCATATAGTGTATGGTAAGCTAGAGCATCTCAGACTCCAAAAAAGTACAGTCATCGGTTGTTTGCTGTCCAACGAGATGATGAAACCACACGCGGGGGTCGAACCCGCAACCTTTAGATACCATCCTTGCGTGTTTTGCGCAAACATAGAAGTCTAATGCTCTACCATTGAGCCAGCGCGGCTGTGATTGGACAAACAACGCTTTAAACAATATTATGACGGTTATCTTAGTCCCTCTTTATAACGATACAGTGCTCGTGTACTTTCTTTATCGTTAGAACGAGGTGTTGCAGTACAGCAGAGTTAGCCCACTCACAAATACAGGTGGGGTTTCAATATGGTATCGTGAATGGAAGAATACATAAGTCTCGGACACGTATGCGCGTGCTGTATTTGTGAGGTCTTGTACATCGGGGGCCCGTTGAATGAGAACCTAGTCTGTCTGGAGCATACTCGTGGACAGGAGAGTTGAAATGTGAAGTTTACTATGAGGAAACACAGGGTGTGAATCGTTATAATCAGGTATCATTATGCAGTGTTATCGTTATAAGCAGGTCTAGCTAGAGTTGATGCTAGGTACGGACCCGATGGCCGGCCACGCTACCGCCCACTATTCCATTGTGCCGAGAGACTGATCAAATCACAGGAATTCTTGGCTGAGAAATCCAATTTTTACGGGATGATACAATGCCTCTGTGATGGCTGAAATTCCTACGAAATCCATGGAGTTGGCCACATGTGCCGGCCCCTGTGTTGTATCGCATTAGCACGGACTGCAGGTGGGCATAGCGAATCAGCCTCGTGTATGACAAACATCAACGTTCAGTTCAGCAAATGCCATACCTGAATATCGAGCCCCTTGGGAATTACTTGTTGGTTTCTGCTAGCCTCGAAAATAACACGTGGAACGCTACATACCTACAGGTACTCATCCGGGGGTGTGTGTTCCCAACTACACGCTGCGAAGCCAAGAGTCTCGGAAAAGCGGATTGGCCTGCCACCATACGTACCCGGCAGTATGTACGTACCACTTGTCCAAGTGCTGCATGTCTATCATTACCGCATCCCAAAAGTACTGTACGTCTGGGAATGTAACCTGAATGCTACGTAGGGAATAACTCGTGTGAGGCTCTGCGTGCATGTCGAAGCTCGGAATATTCTACGGTACGTCATGCCGATTAGCGCTTCAATAGTGGCAGCTAGTCTAGTTGATGGGTCGTCGCTGCACCTCAATGGCTGAGTTGGACTGGGCCTATTCTAGGGTTGGCTGGCTTAAAGCAAGGTGAGGACGCTTTTGCAAGCGAGTGCCGTTCTGGACAATCCTCTTGGGTATGGTGTTCCGGGTTGTCCAAATTGCCGGATCCGAAGGTGATAGGTCGGCCGGGTTGGAGGAGGCATGTGCATTCTCCTTGGACAAGGATCACTTGCTCACTTTGATTCAGCGCGGCATCACTTCCGGGACCCTTGCTGTTGTAAGATGCAGGAACAATCATCGCTCGGAGAATTCTTGAATACAGTGTCTCAGTATAGAGTCCCATCACAGCACCTGGCACGAATTCATGATACAAGAAACATCAGCCCTCATCTGAGACATATTCTGCTGGTACAGATCTACCAGTAGGTAAACATTCTGCAAGCCTAATCGGTGATCGTGATGGAACCGAACAGCTTACAGTAGTTCGCTGGGTAGGCTGACAACGCGTCCCCCTGTGCTTGATAGTCGTGATGAGCTACAGCTATCAACACAAAACCACTTGCTCTCTGACGGTCGATCTTCAACCAACCCAAGCACCCTAGCCCGGCAATACCCCTCTCGTCGGTAGTCAATTCTAGTACCAAGAAAGTTGGGAACGAGAAATCACGTTAATTTCACGTACTCTTATCTTTATCAATTCCATGCCATTGCATGGTAGATAGGCATTCGAGACAGAGATTTGCGAATATGATTCACGATCGGAGAGAGGAATCGTAGATCCGGGCGAATGCGCTGAGTCTTGCCCCGGAATGGAAAAGCTGAAAGTGATCGTCTTGACTGCTAATCTTTTTCGAGCATAGTCTTCCTGACCCCGTCAGGGCTATCCATGATGGCGGGATTTTGACACCTGCGCACAGGCATGCTCCAGACAGATCAACTAGGTTCTTATTTATCGGGCCCCCGATCTCCAAAACCTCACCTTCATCGAAGATCGTGGGCCTCATCGCACTCATTCACATGAGCTCTCTGCTCGCTTAGAAAGGCACTCCTGAACTATTGCTTGCAGGCATCTGCTGCAGTAGGGGTGTCCCTTGCGTTGGGAATTTCCGATTAGCAGCTCCACTCCTAATGTTGTATATCACTTTGGCGATACTTCAGGTCGTGGTCGCGATAGCCCCCATGTGCTGGTTATCAGTAACTTCATCAGGAAGCGACACGACGACAAAGTTCGTCATACCAGAAAACTTTGAGCAAGGTTATATCCTTGGCCATGTGGGAGAATGTCTAACGTGTCTCAGCTGAGCTCTAAGTATTTTCGTTGTCGATCCGCCGAACTGAGTCAAGACGGAAAAGCCACCTACTATTCGAGAGTTTGTGGTCGCTAGCAAGCTAGCCCCTAGCTACCGAACTAGTTACCAACACCCTCACATGTCTGGTAGTGACGAAATCTATCACAAATGGATTGTACTTTGGCATTCGGCTATTGTAGTGAAGTCCAGCGGATGGTAATATGGATAACCATGTTTTCCCTTCAGACCCGGTCTTCCCAGGGTCTTGTTAGTCGGAGGTATAAGTCTAAATATGTCCGCAATTCCTTTGCCCATGTGGTTTTGCTTCGTTTCCGGAAAAGCAACCATTGACGGCTGGTAGACCGCACAAGAAGCAAGCGACCTTCTTCATAACCTAGAATCAATAGTCGTGTAGCACTGCTGATCGTGCGCCGGCCTTCCTTTCTGTAGGGTCATTTCATACCACGTCATGTCGCTCCGCCAACGTTCTCCGAGCCCGCGTCATACACCCAGCCCTCGTCCAGGTCAAAGTCCTCGTGAATCCCCTCCGTTCCGCGAAGCCGCCGGGCAGCAGAACTCTACGAGTGTCCGTTCGCTTACAGCTTTTGGCCGCAGTGGAGGCGAGAACATAGAAGACGGGGGTGCTGAGATACCAGACATACCGTTGAGAAAGTCCAGCAGACGCTTGTCTGTAGTCGAATTTATTACGAACCCGCCCTTCATCAGCAGTCGGAAACCGAAGTTCACGGAAGAACTGGGCGACCAAACACCTACCGAATCGAGAGCAGTAGAGCCTCAGAGAGCGATGAGGCAAGTCCATATACGCGCTTGACTGGTCATATATTTAACACATTCAAAAGCCCCCAGCAGAGAGCCTCGGCCGAGGAGCCTAAGGCTCGTATGGTGACCCCGGAACCACAGGAGCTATATGTGCCAGCAGGCAGTCGGTCACCCTCTACCGTCCCGAAGAGCCTTCTTTCTAAGTCGTCAAACTCGCATCTGAATTCGTCTGCGTCGTCGTTGTTGCCTCAGTCTGGGCAATCCGCTTTGCCCGCACTTCAGACCCGAGCCATTCAGGAGCACGATGGCCTTGAGCCGCTCGCCGAGGAGGAGATTGACCCATCTTCTTTCGACCTAGTAGTGCCAGCACATGCGCTGGGCAAGCAATATTCTCTGGAGACACAATCAGAACTCCTGTTCTCCGCCAAGCATCTGGGGGTGATGTTTGAGGATCCACTACTCCTCCAGCGATTCACCAACTTTATCTACCAGCTGCGGCCACAGTCAATCCCTATCCTTGAGTACTATATGGATACATTGAAAGCACTCCGGGCTATAGACTACGCCAATGCAGTTGTTGATGGATTAGTCCCCGTGCAAGGATTAGACTATACATCCACTCCAGTGAATGGCACGTTCAACCAGTTGCTCAGAGAGAAGGCGGCCAAAGCATTCGAAACACTCGCTAACCAAGAAATGCCTGCTTTTATTACGCACACCTACATTCAGACGGTCAGTTTGACTATTAAAAGACGAATTGCAGATACTCTTCCCCCGGAATTGCGAGAAATGTCTGAAGGTCTTGCCGAAGTCTTCTGTCTGACAGACCCTTCACGGCCAGATAATCCTATCGTGTTCGCGAGCGAAGGTTTGACACCCCTGAACCCCCCCCCCCCCCCT